GCGCGCGCGCACGCGCACACACGCGCACACGCGCACACGCACACACGCGCACACGCGCACACGCGCACACGCCCACACGCACACACGCACACCCGCACACCCGCACACGCGCACACGCGCACACGCGCACACGCGCACACGCGCACACGCGCACACACACACACACACACCCGCGCACACACACACACACACGCGCACACACACACACACACACACGCGCACACACGCACACACGCGCACACACGCACACACGCACACGCACGCCCACACACGCGCGCACGCGCGCACGCGCGCACGCACGCGCACACGCACGCGCACACGCACACGCACACGCACCCGCACCCGCACGCGCGCGCGCGGGCACGCACACGCACACGCACACGCAAACGCAAACGCAACACACACACAGAGAAACATGGACAGAAACGCAAACCACAAGCACACAACCTGCAAACGCACCAAGACACAAACACGCAAACACAGAAAGACGGACAGAGACAAAAAACACCACACACACCTACAAACGCACCAAAACAACACTTTCACACGCAGACACGCACACACACGAGATCAGACCCGCACCACCAGGACGCCCTCCTCCCGTCGGGTTCCCACAGGTTCAAGACCTGCAGTCGCAAGCGCGAAGCAGCGCAGGCGGGCTTTGTGAAGATATGAATTTGCCGGCCAATGTCAGCATGGACCCGTGCGGGCAGGAAAGTCGGTTTTCATGTTAAATCGCGGCAGGTAGGGGGGCCGTAGGCCTTGGCCAATGTTCCTGATCAGAATGTTGGCCATTTTGACAACCAAAGTTGCCCGGTTCAATTGATTTCCTTGTTTGGATGCCGCCATGAGGTATCTAGTAGTGGGATGTTGGACTTGTGAGCCGCACGGTCAGGCAATCCAGCCAGAGGCTGCCGGGATGCGCTGGGCGGCTTGGGGATAGGTGGTTTGGATTTTGCTGGGGGTATGTGCTTTGAAAGAGTTGCACGATCAGATAGGATGGCGGGACGGAGATCCCAATCTTTCGGCACAGCACAAGGTCCTAGATAAGGTGCAGCCGTATGAAGGTCAAACAAGTGGCTGATCTAGTCATTGCTTCAGAGCAACCTTTCGCCCCTCGTCATAGCTGCAGCCTAGAAGGTGTTTTGGGCTTCGAGAGAAAGTGCAAGTTGTTGCTCCACCACAACGCTTTCAGTTGGGCTGGGTGCGCACCAGGCTTGGCTGCCAGAACTGCGGTCCTCTCCCTTCAACCTACCGCATTTCTTGCTGGTTTCGAAGAAAGCCCGAGGTAATTATTTATCCGTTCCCCCTTGTCTCTGCCAAGCTGACTCAAAGAACCGCGCGGTGGTTTGAAGAGGTCCCAAAAAGCAGCCCACCAGGTGCCGCCGCGCAAGCGCCCTTGGGGGAGAAGGAACAGCAGCTCGCCAAGGCTCAAACTGGGCCCACTTGATTCCAAGTGGGCCGGCACTTTGAGGGAGGTGTTCTTAAAATTAAGATTTTTTTAGACTTGAATATTTAGGCAAGCATCACATGATTGTTCGCCTCCCCCCTCCCCCCCTACCCACCAATGAAAAGCCAAAAACGGGATGGAAATTTGGTCAACTTGTCCAGATCCGCTAGTAGCACCCAGGTGGTTTCAACTTGAACTAAAGGGTTCGCCCTGCATCGGTTAGGTCCGTATTTGTCTTCGCCTGGTTGAAGGAAGCCGTACCATGAGCGGTTTCTCATTTGCATCAAGTATAGACTATAGCCGTACTGCTTGACCTTATCTTCTTCGGCTTCTGGATTTGTTGATGAGCGTTTGGCAACAGCTAAATGATTGTTTGTTTATTTCACCTTGGATCTTGAGAATTTGCAGTTGTTACTCCAACTCATGACAGCTAGAGACAGGCAAACTCTGAATATCAGTGCGTCCTGCCTGAAGTGCGTGGGGTGTTTCATTCTATCAAGCTACTGCCACCGACCTTCCATGATGTGGGAGTATGGAATTCTGCCTTCCAGGCTCCAACAATTTTGGGAAGCTCTGCTTGGTGGGGTTGTTCTACTGTTAGGCATGTAGGCCTTTCAAGCCCAAACATGCGCCAAAAAACCAACAGCTGCACTGATCGGAGGACAAGACATATGTGCAATTTGCGTTTGTCCGATGCGTGCGAACGCGTAGTGCTGAGTGCGAGGTGAGGTGAGGTGGAGTGAGTGGCTTTTACACTGAGCAAATGCAACCTTGGGCTAGCATGGCAGCAGCTGGTTGCGTGTGCTTTCCAGAAACTCTGAACGTTGGGCTTCCATAGGCAGCTCAGTTTAATGTGGGGTCCCGGCGTCCCGGCGTCATGCCGGGCTTTTGCCGGACGCTTCCAGCCAGGCATTGCTGCAGGAAGAGCAGGAGCTGTCAGACAAGGGCGGAGGGTTGGAGCTGTCCTTCCCCCAGCCAGGTGCCCTGCTCTTCCCGTTTTTGTGGGGGAGGGTTCCCCTACAAAAAAAGACTACAGAAAGAAGGGGTACCCTTTTTCTAACCTCTCTACTGGAGGACCTAGATTGGCAAAACAAGGACAAAGCTAGGTGTCTAGCAAACCAAAGGGCTTGGGCCTAGGAAACCTGTGGGCCACGGAAGTTTTTGAAGCCGACTTGCCGTGAAGCTTTTCCGGTTTTTGGGAAGTGCAGGGAATGCGTGTGACGGTTTTCCCTCTGATTTGCCTCCTTCGGCTGTCATGGTATGATGCAGAATCCAGAGTTTTCTCAGTTGATCTGTTACACACGGGGCCGCTGACCATGTTCAGGACGCTTCTAGTTCTTGTAGGGCCTTTTTGGTGCCCGCAAAAACGTGACCTGAGCCAGCGGTGTCATGTCGCGTCCTGTCGGGCCATGTCCTGGCATGTCGTGTTGGGCTGCGTGGGCTGTGCGTTGTGTGTGTAATTGGAGGGTAGCCGTCTTTTGGATTGTTGCAGAGGCGCGTCCAAAGGGAAGACACCCATGCCACTTGCTCTCTTATTCGGAAGAAAACCTACATCCGCTCGCTACTTGGGAATGGCTTACTCCCTGCAAAACTGGCATAGGACCAGGGCGGTCTTCACAAGGAGATTCTTTCGCAGTCCTTTTTTGTTGGGATTTGGTATCCACCTCACTGAGAGTCCACCCTTGGACATCCCTCAAAAACGTGCGTTGGCCATGCTGAGCAGCTTCGGTTGGTTGGATTTGCTCTACCAATGAACATGGAACCCGACAGAGAAACCCTTCAAAAGGACCATCGTCATCCAGGACCCCATGGGAGAGTCAGACTTTCTTCAAGAACCGCGTTGGGAGGGTGTGTCTCATTTTGGACGCGGGGCCTCGGCTCGCTCCATCCCTCGTCGCCCACACGTGGAATGCTGCTCCCCAGTCAATGAGCCAAGATCACGCGGCCCTCCCTCGAGCTCACTGCCTGAGCTTCTGGACTTTACACTTTCTGGGAAGACCAGATCAGTGGTTACACGTTCCGACGCGTACGCGAACCCAACACAGGAGGTCTGGCGGCTACGGGAGCGAGAGAAGGCGCTCAGCGAGCAGCTGGCGGCAGCCCGCGCCTCCGCGCGGAAACTCAAGGCCGGGGGAGGGGGGGTGTTGGTTTCGTCCGGAGTTTGCGAACTTGGTTGGGCAAAACAGGAGGAGATCCACTTTAAAGGGAAGCCACAAGGAGGTTGCTTAAACCGTGGTTTCGTCCAGGCCCAGTTCTGGGTGCGCAGTAGCAGCCATTAGCTGGCCAAAGCGAACCCCAAAAGGGGGCCCTCATGAGCCGTGACTTGAAGAAAAGGGCTGTTTGGGAAACCCCTAAAAGGACCCGCACAGGCGGAGTTTTTTCGCCCTATATATGATTTTGTTTAGGATCTGGCCACGTGATTTTTCTTTTGATGAGCGTCCATTTCCGAAATTGGCCACGTTATGTATAATTGCCAGGCCCCGGTTGCCAAGAGTCCCCAACCCCAGAAATGGGGCGTCTCTTTCAATACATCACGCCCAAACTCAAGTTGAAAAATCGTTGGGCCCCTGCTCCCCCGCTGAATTTGTAAGCTTCAAAGTCTGCTGTCGGCAGGTATCTTCATCAGCTAAGTCAGGCCAACAAGTTTGAGCCTTCTTTTGGGTAGTCAACTCAGGTCACCAGAAAAGTGAAGACCCCTTGCGCGAGTACTACGAGACATCTTAAGTTTGGCTTCCGGATTTGGTTTCCTGGTTTGCAAGTGTCAGTGATTCCCTCAGGTTAGCCTTGGTAGCTCTAGCCCTTCGCGCTTTTTTTTTCAGAACAGGACACCGAGCGTGAGCTTTTCCATGGTTTTTATTATAAGCAAAAAACACACGCGATGTGGTTGAGACTTTTCCCAGAAAAACAAGAAGAACCCACCTCGTTTTTTTTTTTTGCCCAACCGGCTTTGGCCCAGGAGCAGTGGGCTCAGCAGGGTGCCAGCGACCTGGAGCGCCAGGCAGCCCTGCAGGCGGCCAAGCGCGGCGAGCCCCGGGGGTTGTGGGATTGGAGGGGGGGGAGGTGATGGGAATCCATATATGGCCATGGGGCATTGAACCTATGGCTCCATTTTGGGGTGGATGAACATGCATTTGCCCCACTTATTTTTTGATGAGGTGGTGGGAATCCATATGGCGGTGGCTCAAAATGAAAGAACTAGGGTTACGCAGGTTTTGGTCTTTGGTTCTGTTTGCCAAGGTGCCATTTTGCTACATTTATTTGTGCCACACCCATATGGCGGTGGGTCAAAACCAATGGGATCCCATTTAGGGGTAGGTGCGCCACCCGTGTTAGAACCTGTTGTAGTGGGGATTGGTTGGTGTTCACTGGAGGTACGATTTGGATCTTGACCCATTGGCATAGGGTCAGGAAAGTGGGATTGGGCAGAAGGAAGTGGGACATAGATGAGAGCAGGCAATAGAAGTGGCGTTCAGCTTTGACCTGCTCTTTAGTTTTAAGATTCTTTAAGCCTGCTTCAGGGAAGGAGCATCTGTGCAAGAAACCCACCCAACTGTGTTTTGACACAGTTTGTCACATTCGCTCAAGGGTTTGATTTAGGACATCGCCACAAGGCAGCGTTTGACTTGCATTACAGTAGCCGGCGGATATGTCTCGCTCGCCAGCCGCCCTCCTGCCGGCCCCCCCCCCACACCCAAACAGGCACTGCAAAAAAACACTCAGACACAAGCACGCGCACACACAACAAATAAACAAGCAAGCAAGCAAGCAAGCAAGCAAGCAAGCAAGCCAGCAAGCAAGCAAGCCAGCAAACAAACGAACAAACGAAGAAAAAACAAACAGTAAACAAACAAAAACACAACCAACCAACCAACCAACCAACCAACCAACCAACCAACCAACCAACCAACCAACCAACCAACCAACCAACCAACCAACCAACCAACCAACCAACCAAACAAACAAACAAACAAACAAAAACAAACAACACACAAACAAACAAACAAACAAACAAACTAACACGAACAAAAACACAAGCACAAGGACAACCACAAGCAGGCACAAACACAAACACAAACACAAGCAGACACAATCACAAACGCAAACACAAGCACACACACACACACCCACACCCACTCACGCACACACACACACAGACAAAGAGACACAAAGAGATACACACACACACACACCACACACACACACACCGAAAACACTGACAACACGCGGAAACACACACACACTGACAAAGACACAAACACACACACAGACACAAACGCACGCGCACACACCCACACACACACAGAATCACACACGCACACAAACCAGACACAGACAAACAAACGCAAACACAAGCACAAACCTAAACCCACACACCCACACACACACACGCATAAACGCACAAACACACAATCACAAACAAATACACACAGAAGCACACACAAAAACACACACCAATGCACACAACCACACACACACAAACACACGCAAACAAATACAACCACACACAACCACACACACACAATCACGCAGACACACACACACACAGAAAAACACGCACAAACAGAAACACACGCATACAAACAAGCACACAACACACAAACGCACGCCCACACACCAACACAGACGCACAGACACAAACACAAACACGCGTGTCTGTTTGTGAGTTGTGCTTGTCTATGCGAGTTTTTCTCTTTGTTGGTGTGTATGTGTGTTTGTGTGTGTGCTTGTATGTGTGTGTGTGTGTGTGTTTTTGCGTGCCTGAGTGGTTTTTCGTGTTTGTGCTTTGGCCTGCGTGCGTGTCTGTGTGGGTGTGTCTGTGTGTCTGTGTGTTTGTGTGTCTGTGTGTGTGTGTCTGTGTGTGCGTGCGTTTGTGACTTTGTGCGTGAGTGTTTGTCTCTGTGTGTGTGTGTTGGTATTTGTGTGTCTGCATTTGTGTATTTGTTTTTGCGTTTGTGCGTGTGGTTGTGTGCTTGAGTTGTGTGTCTGTGTGTGCTGTGTGTTTGTGCGTGTGTGTGTGATGTTTGCGCGTGTGCGTGTGCGTGTGCGTGTGCGTGTGCGTGTGCGTGTGCGTGTGCGTGTGCGTGTGCGTGTGCGTGTGCGTGTGCGTGTGCGTGTGCGTGTGCGTGTGCGTGTGCGTGTGCGTGTGCGTGTGCGTGTGCGTGTGCGTGTGCGTGTGCGTGTGTGTGTGTGTGTGTGTGAGTCTGTGCGTGCGCGCACAACACACACACACACACACACACACACACACACACACACACACACACACACACACACACACACACACACACACACACACACACACACACACACACACACACACACACACACACACACACACACACACACACACACACACACACACACACACACACACACACACACACACACACACACACACACACACACACACACACACACACACACACACACACACACACGCGCGCGAGCACACACGCGTGCACGCCCGCACGCACGCGCACGCACACGCATGCGCACGCGCAGGCACACAGGCACGGGAAAGCGCATCGTTTTGGAACGCGAAATTACAATCGTTTTGAAACGCGGAATTATAATCGAGAATTGTAATCGTTTTAGAACGCGTATATCTTTCCGGTCTCCTGGTTGTCTGGTTTTTCCGGTCTCCTGGTTTCCTGGTTTCCTAGTTTCTCCGGTTTCCTGGTCTTCTGATTTTCTGGTTTTCTGGTTTTCTGGTTTTCTGGTTTTCTGGTTTCCGTCTTTTCCGGTTTTCTGGTTTTCTGGTTTTCTGGTTTGTCTGGTTTCCTGGTTTCTCTGGTTTCCTGGTTTTCTGGTTTTCTGGTTTTCTGGTTTTCTGGTTTTCTGGTTTCCGTCTTTTCCGGTTTTCTGGTTTTCTGGTTTTCTGGTTTTCTGGTTTCTCTGGTTGCCTGGTTTCTCTGGTTTCCTGGTTTTCTGGTTTTCTGGTTTTTCCGGTCTCCTGGTTTCCTGGTTTCCTAGTTTCTCCGGTTTCCTGGTTTTCTGGTTTTCTGGTTTTCTGGTTTTCTGGTTTTCTGGTTTTCTGGTTTCCGTCTTTTCCGGTTTTCTGGTTTTCTGGTTTTCTGGTTTGTCTGGTTTCCTGGTTTCCCTGGTTTCCTGGTTTTCTGGTTTTCTGGTTTTCTGGTTTTCTGGTTTTCTGGTTTTCTGGTTTTCTGGTTTCCGTCTTTTCCGGTTTTCTGGTTTTCTGGTTTTCTGGTTTTCTGGTTTCTCTGGTTGCCTGGTTTCTCTGGTTTCCTGGTTTTCTGGTTTTCTGGTTTTTCCGGTCTCCTGGTTTCCTGGTTTCCTGGTTTCTCTGGTTTCCTGGTTTCCTGGTTTTCTGGTTTTCTGGTTTTCTGGTTTCCGTCTTTTCCGATTTTCTGGTTTTCTGGTTTTCTGGTTTCTCTGGTTTCCTGGTTTCTCTGGTTTCCTGGTTTTCTGGTTTTCCGGTCTCCTGGTACGACAGGCTTTTGATTGTGAACCATCGGAATCTCTCCCCATTATCGGGCTCCTCACTGGAAGCAGTTCCCAACAGCCGCATCCTGTACGATCAGCAGCTTGCGGATCACGCGGATTGCGGATGCCGAGCTGCATGGATTTAGCTTTACATGCTCCAGTAGAAGGCTTGAATCGCAGTTTGTAGCACGGATTACGGGGTGAAGAAGCTACAAGCTAGCGTAAGGATGATGCAGATTACAGATTATGCTCATGCCAGCTCCTTTACCGGATGTTGATCAGTCTAGGGTTGTCTACTCTGTTTGTACAAGAATCCTTAGAACACTGCCCCCCGGCCATGCGCTGCTTCATGCGAAAGCATGTGGCGCTGTGCTGCCTGCTGCTGCTAGCGGGCACACTGGTGCCTCCTGCTGCTGGCGTGCTGACGCGGCCGAGTTTTACCTATACGCGCTGGAGGCGCCCGAAAGACTCGCTGATTCTTTTGTTATGTGGCGTGAAGCATTCTGTGGCTGGACTATGCACGTGAGCACGGCGCAGGCTGCGTCGCCGCCATCTGCGCGCTGCTGTGCCGAATTGCCGCTACACGGCATACGAGAACACCATTGGCTAAGGTATTGAGCAATCGCAGCTACATAGCGAGGTGTGTTGGCTAGCCCCTCCATGCTGGTGAAAACTTGAGCCCATTGAGCGCAGTCTCTAGGATTTTTTTCCCCCGCCCGATCTTTCCCCAGAACTGCCCAGGTGTCTCGGCAGGACATCGACAAGAATGTGACAACGATGAAGGTATGCGAAGCATGATTTGGAGCAGCTATGCGACATGGAGGGTTACTACGAGACCAGTCAACAGGCATGTTTCATGTTTTTCTGGATTCAGATGTGCAGATGGCAGGTTGTCAACCCTTGTGGTCTGGGCATGTCCATGGGAAGCATAGACAGGACCCTCGCTACCTTGTAGTAAATCATTGGCTTATCTTGGCCGGGCCTAGACACTTTGGTTACGAGATGTAGTTATAAAGCTTTTTATTTGTGCGGCGCACCTGTTAAGATACGGCCACGAAGTACCTCGGACAGTCGAGCCATGTCTTCTTTATGAGCCCTACTCTTTATGGAAACATGAGAACGTGACCCACAGGAACGAGATGTTCCATAGCAACGTGAAGGATTCTCCCCTATTATGGGACACCTCAGTGAAACAGTCCAGCCACGGGTCCATTCGTCCTCCTTCATTTTTGCATCATAGTCGACTTACGAATATGATCACGGGATCTTTCTGATGTTACCTTGGGCTCTGTGTAGAAATTTGGGTTCTATATCTTGGAGGGTGCGTGGGCCTGTTTATACAAGGCCTCTGGGTTTTGGGGGGGGGGGGGGTCCGGACTATTCCTTAAATGCAAAAGCTATTTACAAATTAATGAAAGCTATTCCCAAAAAATACCGGACTTTTTCTAATCTTTTCTTGCAAGATCATTCAACACGGTGTCAACCTAGTTGGGAATGCAAAAGCAGAATCCCGCCCGCAACTTGAGTGGTAAGTAAGCAGGTGGACAAGTTGCGGGTGGGAAACTGAGGGAAGACCGAACAGGGGATATGTGATGTGTGTAGCGCATGGGATCAAATAGAAAAATAGTTCCCCAAAAATGTTGAAGCGCTTCAAAGGGCTGACATCCCCATATGGAATGACATTCTCAATCTGTTTGGCTAATCCTTCGTCTTTGAGCCCAGTACCGAAACCATTGCCAGGCCATTGTCAATTGAACCCTCATTCATTCATATTTGAGTTGAGGGCTGGCTCCTCCAACAAACTTCTGACCCTAGAACCCCTGGTTACTGATATAGCGCAATGCTGCAAGGCCTGTATGAATCTTGAGAGTTGAGGGAAAATCACTATCTACCGGACCCGAATTACAAACTAGAAGACAGGTGGCCCGAAAGCATTTTTGCGGCGCTCGTGCTCGTGCTCTCGGAAAGTAGCGGCACGCAAGTGCTCTGCGCAAGTTGTTCTGCGCAAGTGCTCTGCGCGAGCGCGCTGCGCAAGTTGCTCAGTCAGCACATGCTGCTCTGCGCAAGTTGGCCTTTGCAAGTGCTCTGTGGAGGTGCGCTGCCCAAGTTGCTCAGCGCATGCAAAGCACGCCGGGTGCCAGGGCCCGGCCAGTCAGCACATGCTGCTCTGCGCAAGTTGGCCTTTGCAAGTGCTCTGTGTGGAGGTGCGCTGCCCAAGTTGCTCAGCGCATGCAAAGCACGCCGGGTGCCAGGGCCCGGCCGGGTGTCGGGGGCGGGCGTGTGCTCGGCGCGCGCCGCGCCGCGCGCGCGCGCCGGAGCGCGCGCTGAGCGCGCGCGCGCCCCGCGCGCTCCCGCTCTCCCGCGCGAGCGCGCGCGCGCGAGCGCCCCGCGCGCTAGGGCCGACCCGACACGAAGTAGACCATGAGACAAACTCATGACACGCGCCAAGACATGGATGGCTTCCCTTTCGTTTCCTTTTAAACCAACCCCACAAAGGGCACCCTCATAAAAAAGAATCAAATACTCCTATCTGCGGCATTCAGTTTTCATTGGCCATTGTGTTTCCTGTCCAGCCAACCCCAAAAAGCGTACCCCACAGAGGCACGCGCGCCGGGTGAGCGCACATACCGGAGGCAGTGCCTGGATCCGCGCCCGCCGCGGCCGTGAAAACACCCACGCCCGCCGCGGAGGCGCGCGACTGCGTCAGAGGGGAGGGGGGGGGGGGCTTGTTATCCGGGGAATCGAAAAAAACAGGTGGGGGGGAAGGGGGGGACTTGTTGTTCCGGGGGGGGGGGGGGGTCGAACAACAAGTGGGGGGAGGGGTGCTTGTTTCTTGGGAAGGGGGGGGCGGAGGGGGGAAGGGCATAAACCAGCCCTAAACTCGCCCCAAACCAACCCTAACCCTAAGCCAACCCTAAAGCAACCCTAGACCAGCCGTAAACCAGCCCTGCACCAGCAATAAACCAAACCTAAGCCACCCTAAGCCAGCCATAAACCATGGATGGCTTCCCTTTGGTTCCTTTTAAGCCCTCAAAAAAAGGTTACCCTCCGAAGAAATACTAAACAACTTCCATTTGCGACCCCACCCCGAAAAAGGGGCACCCTCCGAAAAACATAAATAGTTTCGTCTGCGACAATCCTTTTTTTTTTGGTTGCGCGGCGCGCATAGCTCAGGACCAGAAGAAGCGGAGCTACGCGCGCCTAGCTGACGCCGGGCTGCTCCGCAAGCCGCGGAATTTTTGATACATAGTCACGACGGAATTGTAATAGACATGACACGTTTGACGCAGAAAAGAAGAGAAGAGTCCGCGCTGTGTTCTAAATTGATTGTAATTCTGTGTTCCAAAATGATTGTAATTCTGTGTTCCAAAATGATTGTAATTTAGTGTTCCAAAATGATTGCTTGCCACAGGCACGCAGGCACGCAGGCGCGCACACGTACACACACACAAACACACACACACAGACACACAGACACACAGACGCAAAGCCGCAAAGCCGCACACCCGCACACCCGCACACCCGCACACCCGCACACCCGCACACCCGCACACCTGCACACCCGCACACCCGCCCACCCGCCCCCCCGCACACCCGCACGCCCGCACGCCCGCACACCCGAACACGCGCACCCGCGTGCACGCACGCGCACGCGCACACGCGCGCTTGCCCGCACGCGCACGCGCACGCTTATGCTTACGCGCACCCACACACACACACACGTTTGCCAAATGAGTTGGCATACATGACTTCGCTGTTCTTGGCATGTTTTTCGGTTTTTTAGTCTTTTGGTTCTGTTAATTTTTACTGGGGGTCTGCCAAAAACCTTTTTTGCTACCATAATGTTCGTAAAGGGGGTCCCCCCCCCCCCAACGATGGGGGCACCTGGAATACTATCTTGAGATCCAGTTCAAGTGAGTTTCCATTTGATTTAGTATTGGTAGACTTGAGTTTCCATTTGATTTAGTATTGTTGGAGCTTCCTTTTGAGATTTGGAACTGAGTTTCCATTTGATTTAGTATTGCTGGAGCTTCCTTTTGAGATTTGGAATTGAGTTTCCATTTGATTTAGTATTGGTAGACTTGAGTTCAATTTGATTTAGTATTGCTGGAGCTTCCGTTTGAGATTTGGAACTGAGTTTCCATTTGATTTAGTATTGGTAGACTTGAGTTTCGATTTGATTTAGTATTGCTGGAGCTTCCTTTTGAGATGTTTCCAGGGGGGCAATGCATCAAGACTTTATAATAGGGGCCCTTGGAATAAAGTCTTGGGCTTAAAATTTGAGGGGCTGAAGTACTACCCCCTTTGTGGGTTTGATAGTGGGCAGTTTTTAAACAAGAGACATGTAAGAAAACTTGAGTTTGGGCAAGGTCTGCAGTTTGGACTTTGGGAAGAAAGCAGAAAGCTTCACCAGCATCACCTGGGATTGGTTTTGAATTTGGCCAGTTGGTTAGCTAAAGGTAACTGCAATTAGGGAGTTACATCTTTCAGGGGGGCCGATGCATCAAGACCTTATTATAGGGCTTAAAATTTGGGGGGCTGAAGTACTACCCCCTTTGTGGGTTTGATGGTGGGCAGTTTTTACACAAGAGACGTGTAAGAAAACTTGAGTTTGGGCAAGGTCTGCAGTTTGGATTTTGGGAAGAAAGCAGAAAGCTTCACCAGCATCACTTTGGGATTGGTTTTGAGTTTGGCCAGTTGGTTAGCTAAGATGTAACTGCAATTAGGGAGTTGCTTTTTTGAGGGGGCCGATGCATCAAGACTTTATTATAGGGGCCCCTGGAATAAAGTCTTGGGCTTAAAATTTGGGGGACTGAAGTACTACCCCCTTTGTGGGTTTGATGGTGGGCAGTTTTTAAACAAGAGACATGTAAGAAAACTTGAGTTTGGGCAAGGTCTGCAGTTTGGATTTTGGGAAGAAAGCAGAAAGCTTCACCAGCATCACCTGGGATTGGTTTTGAGTTTGGCCAGTTGGTTAGCTAAGAGGTAACTGCAATTAGGGAGTTACATTTTTCAGGGGGGCCAATGCATCCAGACCTTGTTCCAGGGGTGGCGGGTGCTTGTCTTTATTCTAGGTGCATTTACTAATTATTTATTACAGGTGCATTTTCTAATCCTACGTGGACATTACCAAGAGTAGAGATGATGAGAATGTCTGGATTGGCATGCGCTCAGGTGTCTGGCAAAGAGGTACCCGCTTTGTTCCTTTTTCATGGCCCGAGAGGGGGCTGCATCGTGTTCGGAAACCGGCGGCTGATGCCACACCAGGGCAGCTGCATACACGCCGGGCTTCCGCCACACGGTACACGGGGTGGGGCAACTTGCTGGGCGATGGTTTTGGTTTTGTCAAAATGTGATGAGGTTTCAACCCCTCAGTCAATCCCGGCAAGGGCTTCTGAGAATGTTGAGCCAGTTGCGGTAATTGCGGGAAGTTTTTGTGCGACAAATAACCATGCTCAAACTGCCAGTTGCTTGCTTTTTGATTGAGGCGGTTGAGGCCGCCTTGAGGTCATGAGATGGCGGCGAAGCAGCAGTTCCAAGACAGGGAGGCAAGGGTTTCGTTCAATGCCAGCTTGGTTTTAGGGGTTGGCAGCAAAAACAACATAACAAGCAAGTAAGTGAGCCAGCTGACCCAGTCGCCCATTGGATGTGGCGTTGCCTTTGCGGGCGGATGTCTGACAAGCCAAACCTTGGAGGCTAAAAACAACCCAAAGCCAGCTTCTCACAATTTTCGCCCCAAGCACCCCCAATCCCCAACCCCAGCCCCCAACCCCAGCTGCGAGGCGGAGATCCAGTCCTTGCGCCAGAGCTTCCAGGAGCTGTCCGGGCAGCTGGCGAAGAAGGACGCCGTGCAGGCGCCAATCGCCGAGCGAAGCGCGGGACGCGGCTCCGCGGCTTTTGGTGGGACCAAAAGTTCTTCCGCTTGCTGAAGCGAATGATAGCGAAGGTTTTTTGTTCTTCTTTTTTATTCCAGTCGGTTGATGACTTTTCTCCTTGTTGGTTTTAAAGGGAATCGACTTCACCACTCATCCCAAAAGGAAACCGGGGTTGAGTTAACTTTTTGAAGAATCCCCCCCAAATTCCTTCTGAAAGGAGGGAGCCTGAATTTGTAGCACGCCGGGATGGTGAATGATCAATCCCCTGCGAACATCAAGTGAAGCTTTGTAGAACATGATCCTTTGATCGTCTTTCGATTGAGAGGATATCCTTCTGTGGACAGTCACCCCAAAAGGTGAACCTAGTTCCAGGTCCTCTACGTGATGCCCCCCACACATGTCTCTCTTGGCTCCGGGCAAAGAGAGCTGGCAGAAAGCTTGCAAATTGATAGAGAGCTTGCTTGCAGCATTGTGGAGGCAAACAGTTGCTTGGCGAAAAGGTTGCTTTGCGAACCTTCATGCTTTCAGGGATTGCGTCAGCCTGGCGGAAAGAGACTGTGCTGAGCAGCTTGGATGAGTAGTTATGGGAGCCATTGAGGTTTTCTATGCAGACGGGGTTATGTGCTTGAACTCGAATCTCTCCTCCTGCCCAGAAAGTGCGTCAGGCCTCCTTGTCCAAGCAGATCCGGCAGCTGAACATGCAGCTGCAGCAGTCTGAGCAGCAGAGGGAGAGACTTCTTTCCGATCTGCAGGACGGCCTGGAGAAACCTGTGCGCAACAACAGCCGCGTGTTGCGGGAGCCGACGCAAGAGTAATTGTGTCTACCCGCTCGCTGTCATGCTGAAGCTGCTTTGGATGCTGGCTAGTCGGCCATCTCTGCAAGAGGGCATGCTTATTTGAGGCCATTGAAGTTGAAAGAGGGCGGTTTTTTGGCTATCTTACCACTCAAGCTTGGCATATCTTGGCGTGTGGGGTTATCCGAGCCGTTGTTTTTCCTTTTTCGTGGGGGGGTGCTGTGTCACGTTGGTTGAATGTCCGGTCGCATGTTGCTCGCCTTCAAGCTCTGCCTGTGCCATGCCCTCTGTGTTTGGCTAGGGGCGCCGCTTCGAGCCGGTTTTCCTCGCAAGAGGACCGCCCGAACCGCAGGAGTTCTTTGGATCCTCTCGCGCGCAGGACTACCTCCTCGCCATGCGCGAGAAGTTCGACGCGCCGACGCCGCTGGCGGCGCCGGCGGCGCCGCTTCCGCTGCCGGCGCGGGCCCTGCGGAGTCCCAAGAGCCCGCGGAGCGCTCGGAGCCCCGAGAGGCCAAGGAGCGGATGGGAGAGACGAGGCTTGGCCCTTTTTCTTTTTTCTTTTTTTTTTTTTTTTTTTTTTTTGGGGGGGGGGGGGGCGGTGTTGTTTGTTTGTTTGTTTGTTTGTTTGTTTGTTTGTTTGTTTGTTTGTTTGTTTGTTTGTTTGTTTGTTTGTTTGAGTGGGGGGGGACCACTTAGATCCCAAAGGGGGGCGTCTTGTTGCCTTGCCTGTGGACAGGATCAAATGTGGAATTGCCCATCCGGTTGGCTCAGAATGATGAAGGAGGGGGGAGAATCTAGAGATCTCTTTTTGGGATCTTCCAGGATGCCCTCAAGTAGTTTGACAGGTTTCCGAACCCAACCCGGCCACACCAGAAAGATACCGTGCCCGAGCTGGGCAGCGGGGTGCGGGGTATTCACTAGTTGTCTTCCCTTATAGGGTGGTTAGTGCCTTTTGCGAATTCAATTTGGGCCCAGAAGCCAGTGATCGACAAGACTGCCCGCAGCCCTATGACGTGTCCGCCTGTCCATGCCTCTTCGCAACGGGCGAGCGCTAGGAGCCTCAGCCCCAGCCGCTCGGAAAGCCCAACACGCGGCTTTGCCATGCGCTGAGGCTGAAATTGTCATCGCGCGAGCGCGGCAGTTCCAGTTTGCCCGACGAAGCCTAAGGAATTCCCTTGCCTATCAGGGTCTCTTGGCAACTCTGGGCTTGAACGGGTCAGGAGGCTTCGGGTATTGAAAACTGTGAAAGGAGGGAGCTGGCTGACCGGTGATGGGAAGAAGCAAATGAACACCCCCTCATGAATTCACTGGGTGGCCAGTTTGGGGCATCTAGTTGGCGCAAGCACTTGGAACATCTTGGAACCTTGGCACCTGATGTTTGCCAAGTCCTTGGTGATAGATCGGCCGGAATCTCGGCCTTTCATGAGCTGAGAGCAGAGGGGCCATTAACCAGCCACCGCTGGCCATGTGTGCGACCGACTGACCGACTGGGCTCAGCCGCTGAGTTGGCAACGGCAAGTGTTGTAGTCTTGGAGACCCATTGTCTTGGAGCCCGTCTCAACGCACAATGCTTCTACTTTTGACAAAGTGTCCATCAATTCCCATTGGCCTGAAAGCAATGTGCAGACTGTCAAACCCATGTGTATGTCTACATCATATAACTGTACATACATCATGCATAAGCATGGCAGATGTGGAAAAGGCCCTATCAGGTGGTTTACTCTACCAGGGCCATCACTTGTGCCCCAAAAGGACACCTATGATGGAAGCGCCATGAAGCTGCGGGTGCTGTGCCTGCACGGGCGCTGCCAGACCTCCGGCACCTTCCAGCGGAAGCTCGAGAAGATCGCCGGGAAGTCCGCCTCCTTCGCGGAGTTCGTGCCGCGCGGATGGCCGGAGAGGGGGGACCAGGCTTCTACTTTTTGACCAGCAAATAGACTTAAATTGAGGGGTTTCCTTTTTGGGGTACATGACCCACCACCAAATGTGGAAAGCCCTGGAACAAGGTGATCCGGATCACTTTGGGGGGGAACATGCCCCATTCATTTGTCAGACGCATCTCATCCGGGGTCAACATAAATCAGCCTGGCAGATTCCCTTTCCCACGAACAGAAGGCCCCTATGTGGAAAATGTTTTGCAGGGTAATTCGGGCGTCTCCCTAAAGACAAGAAAGATCGTCTACAATGAGCCAAGGACCTGGATATGGCAAGCCTTCCTGATAGCAAGCCTTACCTTCCCACCAGCTAACATGGAAGTGCACAGCCCCCTGTAGAAAGACTACTTTCCTCTTGGAAAGGGCCTTTTTGCACTTCCATGTCAGTTGGTGGGAGGGTACCTGGTGATCTTTTCCAGTTTTTGGAAGATTCATGCAGTAAGCGGATCGAAAGGGCCGGCAGGAGTTCTCCAGCCCTGAATCGCGGCCCGGGAAAGAACTCAGAACTTATGTCGCCCTCGTAGGCTCGCAGGCTCTCACCTTTTGCCATAGCCAGGCCTTTGAGTCTTTGAGCAACCCCTTGCATGGCGTAGACTTAGCGATAACTTTGCTATATCAAAAGGGGGGGAGGGGCCAGGGAAAGGAAGAACTGGATGGAGCCACCTTGGCATCAAGAAAGCGGCGCTTGCAGACGTCTTGTCCTTGGCTCGCAGTGCGTCAGCCGTTGTGGGAGTTTGTTGTTTGGATCCCCATTGCCGCGAAAGGCCGGGCCTTTTGCTTTTTGCCGTTGCTTGGAAAAGGCGCAGTTGGTCAGCTGCAAGAGGGGGCAGGCAATCAAACACTAGTTCCTGGCATTGCCCTTCTCCCCGAAGCTTGGGACTCGAGTAGGATGCAGGGCTGACGCGTTTATGACATAGTTCGCACGCCCACTCCTGTTGCTCATTATTGGCCCGAAGCAAGCCTCTTGTCTGTCCAGACGTTTTTTGTTTTTGCCGGGATTGGATGCTCATTTCGACACTTGCGAGGGCCAAGCCGCGAGGTTCATTGATGGACCGCTTGACCTGGCGCTGCAGCATGGGGAACGTGTGAACACGATGCTTGGCAAGGGGCCTCAGTTAGGGCCTGTCTTTTTTGAAGGTGCCCCCTTTGGTTTTAGTTGTTCAAAGGCAAAGGGAACCCCACCATTCTGGGGCCCTTTGTGACCAAGCCGCATGTTTCGCTTGCCTTGCCCCACGTGCGCGATGGCCACTGGGAAGCCGCTGCAGATTGGTTTGTACTCTTCATATGGGTTTGTCTTTTTTTGGTGTGTTGAGTTGCTTCAAAAGGCAGAAGGTGGGACCTCCCCGAATCATACCCCCGAATCATTGCCCCCGAATCATACCCCCGAATCATACCCCTTAAAACGTATGCTGCAAGATGCTACTGTTCTTCTACCGTTTTGTGTTGTTCACTGTCTCCACAACAACCACCACCAGCGCTACCCAATACTACCACTGCCACTGCCACTACTACTACTACTACTACTACTACTTCAATTACTACTTCAATTAGTACTACAACTGCTATTACCACTACTACTACTACTACTACTACTACTACTACTACTACTACTACTACTGCTACTACCGCGACTACGAGTATTACTACCACTACCACCGCTACTGCCGCTGCTACTACTACTCTACTGCTTCTACTTCTGCTTCTGTTACCCTTACTACTAACTACTGCGACTACAACCTTGACTACTACCACTACTACTACTACTACTACTACTACTACTACTACTACGACTACTACCTCCATTACTGCTACAACTACTACTACGACTACAACCTTGATTACTACTACTACTACTGCTACTACTACTACTACTACTACTACTACTACTACTACTACTACTATTCCTGCTTCTGCTGCTGCTGCTACTACTCACTACTACCACATACATCATTCTGAGTGTGTAATCAGTGCCGTTTTGCACCTAGCCGAATCATACCCGCGAATCATACCCGAATCATACCCGCGCAATGAACTGGCCTTGCCAAGGCCAGCGCCAAGTCTTTTCAAAGCTTCCGCGCCACTACAGTCGCTGCTTCTACTGTTACTACTACTACTACTACTACCACTACTACTACTACTACTACTACTACCACTACCACTACTACTACTACTACTACTACTACTACTACTACTACTACTACTACTACTACTAGAACTGATGTTACTACTACAATATTGCTACTAGTACTACTACTTCTGCGAACTGCTACTACTACTACTGCTGCTGCTGCTGCTGCTTCCGCGAATCATACCCCCGAATCATACCCCGAATCATACCCGCGAATCATACCCCGTACTCAAACCTTGCTGCCCGGCCACCCTAAAAAATACAAACCCATATGTCCCTCCCAGTCTGGGGCTTTGAGTTCTGGAATGCTGACTTGGGATTTATAGACGTTCTGGTTGTTAATCACGGCGGGCGCTGGAAGGCACAGTCCCCGCTAACCCAGCTTTCAAAGGTCCCGTCGCGTGGTTTGCAGTTGCCTTTCATCTCCTTTATGCGTTGTCCGTGTGTTTGCTGCAACAGCCCGTGGCATGGAGGCCACGCTTGCCAAGCGGATGGAGTGAGGATAGTTTTTGTTTTCCGACGGCGAACTGTCACTGGCTGTTGCTTGATATCTGTCGTTTGTGTGTTTTCCCCGTGGTCCAGCAAACAGTGGGGGGCAGAGCATCGGCCTTGGCTTCCGACCTGCACGAGGAAGGGCTGGTGGGAGGAGGGCGAGGCTCGAACGCTGGAGGTGCCACGCGTGCGGCAGGCGGGGGAAACAAGCCTGGCCCTGAGGTATCTCGGGGATCCCTGACCTTTGGAACACATTGCGCCTCTTGCAGTTCTGGGATCCCCTTCCCCGAAATACAAAGCACGGAGGTAGATGTGTCAAGCCCGAGGCAGCCTCACATAGCGCACAGTTGATCATCGCTTCCAGCCATTTTAAGGCTGGCGGTCGAGGAAGCGAAACATCTCAGGCGACAATGCCTGATGGATTCCCAACATGGGCTGGCGGTCTGCCTGACAGAAGCTGGGTGAAACCTGGGTGGCTTGTGGTGACCTTGCCAAACACGACCTCGCAAGCAAATGGAACATCTCTCATCGAGTTGTCTTTGGACCTCCAGGCAGTTGAGCTCATGGAAGCCCAGACATGGCAACGCAACTTCGCTCTGCGGAAAGCGACCCTGCGCCAAGAAAGTTGGCCCATTGCGGTTTCCACTTATGCGCAATTTCGTTGGCTTGCCGCTCGGGCCGACCTTTCCAGTTTCAGAGCAGCTGTTGGCGGAAGGGTTCCGGAAGGGTTCCGGGAGGGATGTTTCGGGGTGCTGTTGGCGCCCCGGGCTTTTTTTTGGGGGGGTGTTTGAGGGATTCCCAAGAATTCAGGTTAGTGAGCCATATGCTTCTCCCCAAGTTCGAGTTCAGATTGCATCTGTTCAAATCCTATTCTCAAGAATCAGCTTGGAAGGGGAAGCGGAAAGCATGTATTTTCATTGTGTATGGAACGAAACAGCGCGGCACTTGAGTTTTAGCATCATGAATCTCTCCTGCAAATCGATGACAGAACACATCTCGTCGCACAGGAAGAGGTGCACGCAACATCAACCGTTGCACCTTGAATAGTCAAGCAACAACCGATAGCCAATACCCTTTCCAGCAAGCCTTAGGCCAATTGGGTGAAAGAAGGATTGTACTCTTACGTATTCATAAGCTACTTGTACTTTGGCGCGCCCTTCATTTGTTCTTTCACCCCGCTTGGAGGAACTCGAGAACTAAGGGAGGATACCCCGCGGCCTGACTCTGCCAATGTGTTCAAAATGCCCAGGTTCCTCTCTGGAGGGTAGTTAGCGGCTCTTCAAGAGCCGGACCACAACAAAGGACCACTTTGCCACGACTGAACCCTCTTTGACCATCTCATGATCCTCAAGTCCAAAGCCGACCTGCAGCAACCTTCTGGGTTTCCCTTGGTCCTCTCAAGGTGCCAGAGGCTGTGGTTTTAGTGGCCCAGGTCCCATTCCAGTGGCCCAGGTTTCAGGTGAAGCTGTGGAGAAACCCCAGAGCCCAACCAGAAGCGGCAAATGCCGTCTTCGGCCCTTCAAAAAAAAAGGAAGGAAGGCCCCAGAAAAAGTGGCCGTGGTTTTGGCGGCCCCTTGTGGTCCCCCCCCACCCCAAAAAAACAACAACAACACCCCAGGTGAAGCCGTGGTGTTGGTGGCCGTCCTTGGGGCCGTTTGTAGCCCAACTTGTCACGTCGGCCCAACGGAAGGCGCTGCTGGACGCCTGGGACGCCCTGGGGCCCTTCGACGGGGTCCTGGGCTTCAGCGAGGGGGCGGCGGTGGCCGCGGCGCTCGGCCCGGAGGCCGGAAGTGCGGGGAACGAGCCGACATGGCCCGCCCGCGCGCTTGACGGGAAGAGCCCGGGCCCTTGATTTTAAAGGGAAGCCAACAAGAAGAGCTTGTTGAAACAGAAGTGGTTCAAACATGCTCAAAGGATCTCGGAAAGGCCCATGGCTCGGAAAGGGCCATGGCTCGGAAAGCGCCGGAGCTCGGAAAACCGGGCGTTGCGTGTTCACAGGTGTGAGCAATGAATGGCACTGACTGGTGTTAGTTGGGTCTGTTATGAAGATTTGTTGGCTGCTCTCGAAAGCATTTTTCTGGCGTGTCCATTTTAACAACCACTTAGCGTCTGTGAATGTCACTATCATGAACCTTTGACAACCTGGTCATGCGTTGCTTTTAGTAGGCATAAGGCCGAAACACCCTGTAGTGCCGTTTTTATCCTGCATGCGCGCAATACTTGGCAGTACTTGGCAAGTCTGCAGTAAGTGGCTACCCAGTGGATCACTGATTGAGCTTGCCCAATTGAGAGGGTCACAAACATCTGCGCGGCGAAGGCACGCCATAGACTTGGTCACAAGCCTCGAATCGGTTCGAATGATTTTGAATTGGCTTCAGGGCGAACACTTTGGAGGTGCTTGCATGGCTTGCCTTATCTTGAACGATGTTATTCTTGCTCTGGAGTGATCTCAGGATGATGGCGGCGAAGTGACCCTTGTCATGCATTCAGTGCGGATTGCGAGCAGCTGCTTGTTTCCACCCGAAAAGCCGAACTCATTCCGACAGTGGCAGCATGCACCACCTTGTGGGTGCAGTGGAAGCCCGGCGGGCATGACTTGTATGACGAAGGCGCACCCCTGCTGCACGTTCCCCTGTTGCACGATGCGGGAAAGGCAGCACAGGAATGTTGTATCAGTCACTGGGAGCTTGGTTCAGTGCACGTGGATGTTCAGCGACTCAACCCGTGAAGAGCATGCGGAAAAATGACATCGAATGCAGAGCTTAGCATTTCAGCTAGGTCCACATGCCCACACTCGGCACTCAACACGGTGTGCTCCTGTGCGAGTGGCTGTGTTTGATCGCGCGTGAAACTTTCATGTATAGTTTTTCATGGTCTCCTGCCTGCTTCTACATGTGGCACTGGTAATTGGTAGAGCCAGGTGTTCCTTTCATCGCTGACCCTTTGGTTTGTTCTTCCAGTTCTTTCCCACTGGCGCCAAAGCCCACACCCATGGGCCACGGTCGGTACAAAATGAGGACAGCTCTCTCAAATATATATATATATATATATATATGTGTGTGTGTGTGTGTAAGTGAATGACCTTGTGCTTCAGGCAGCGGAAACTGATCAAATTATGGTGTTTGCCCTGCACCAAAAGCTGAGTTGAGTCTCCGACCGTAGGCCCGCCTTCGCCAGCGTGCGCTTCAAGCTCCTCTTCTCGGCCCCTCGCGTGGCGGAGCTGCCGTTCGGGGCGCAACAAGTGGCGTCCTTGCACGGGGCCTCCAAGAACGACACGGCGGTGCCGCTGGCGGAGAGCAGAGAGGCGGGTTTATTGTTGTGAGGGCTTGCCGGAAAAGAGTCCAAGTCATTAGATTTGTTCATGTTTGTTAGTTTTGAACATTGCCTTTCGGGATTCAAAGAGGGTGTGGTGCAAAAGGCGAGGGAGCCCATCGGCTGGTGGCATGGATGCTGGGGATCATGACATGGAAACGTGATGTTATGGACAGCAAGGGAGCTGAGTGATTGACAGACAACTGCAGTGTCAGGAGTGCAAGAGAGGCATCAGGATTGAAACAATTGAGGGGAGTGTACACATGAAGGGTATGTTTTGCGACTGGCGTGCCGAGCAGCAGTGGGCCGGAGGAAGGGCAAAAGTCAATAAAACCACGTCCTCAACTTGCAAGCGCTGAAGAATCGGAATGACTTGCCATCAGGTGGCCTCGCTTTTCGCTGGCGCCGAATGGTTGGAGCGGGTTCGGGGTCGGGAGATGGCCGGGAGTGCGGCTTGTGGCCGAGGCCAACAAGCGCTTGGTACCTGTGCGTGGGGTTGGCCCGTTCGTCCTATGGAGCGTCCTTGGAAGTGAATTTCGCGCCATCCATGGGGCGAGTTTGAGTGATACCCGAGGCAAGAGATGGCGGAACGTTGGTACTCGTTTTTCTTTGGTGAGTGGTGCTGTCGGGCTGCCCTCCTCTACCATGAGCTGTCATTTGGCTTTGTCAACGAAAGCATTTTGCCACCTGGTTTGGCTGAGTCATTTTGGACCTCTTCAGGGAGGTTTCACCTTGAAGGGACGCCAGGATAGAGGTCGACGAGTTAAACAAGTGAGGTCAGGACGGGTCACCTCCCGGTTTCAGTTTGCTGGCCATGCCTATGGGGCCATCCTTTTAGTCCAACCCCTTGTTAATTTTGATACGCGGTTGCGGCATTTTGGAGTGTATCCCAATCAATTTGGGATGCTGCGGGCTAGTGATTGCGAGCCAGGCTGAGAGAGGCTGTTTCTTGCCAGCTTCATGTAGCTCTGGCAGTTGGATTATTGAAACAGTCAATCAGGGACAATCAGGGAGCCTTGCGCAGCTGGCTTTGCCTGTTGCCTAAGCCCACGAAGTCGGTGAGAATCACCACAGCGAGCGGAGGGACAACGTTATCACTCACAACGTTTCCCGGCAGCGTGAAACTGGCAGGGATATCACCACCCTGAACTGGTTGCAGCAGCCACCCCCCCCCGCGCCAACACCCACCCTAGGAGCACGAGGGTGGCCACGTGCTGCCGACAAGGGCAGAGGACCGATGTCCAATCGAGGGCCCCAATTGAAGGTTGTTTTGACAAGTTACAGGTGCTTAAACGGTTGAATGGGCAGCCATATGGGGGAACACCTAAATACAAGGGGTCCCTGAAATTGTATGTGTATTTTGCTGTTGGTTTTCTCCCCCCCCCTGGGAAGCAAGAACAGGTCAACCACAGGTACTTCCGGGTAATGATTGGTGCAAGCCTTGGATTAGTCCGAAGCACTGCACAAGGAACCCCACGAATCATCGCCTTACCAAACGGTGGACCACTGATTTGCACTAGCACGGGTCCAGATTCCGAGGTGAACGTCCCCTTTCGGAACCGGCTTCTCCCAGCGTTCGCGAGGACATCAAGCGAGTCGCGGCTTTCCTGGAGGCTCAGCGCGAGGCGCCGAGCGCCGCGCCGGCGGCCTTGGAGGAGGTGGAGGCGCGCGCGTCGTCGCGCGCGTCGGGAGGGGAAATTTCCCAATTCACGTGGAGCCGTTGGACGTATCCGGGGGAATTGGTCCTGGTTTGGACCATTGTCCTTTAAAGGGGCCCCCGTCAAGTTCCATGTGAATTGGTGGGAGAGGACATTTCAGTGATAATGTTAGCCTCGGAATCTGGAGGACCCTCCTTTAGGCCTACTTACCTGCTTCCTTCACACCCTAGGCCTGCCCTAGGCCTACGCCTCCCTCTCCCTAAGCTATACCGTTTTTGTGCACCCTCTAAATTGCAGCCACTTTAAGGGACCCAGTAATATTGGTGACAGACAAACAATTGGTATTCCCGGGGCCTTCTTTTAAGTATCCATAAATGATCCCGCCAAGACGCCCCAAATAGTTTTGAGTGTGGCTCAACTTGACGACGGGCGGCCCGGAAGCATGGAAACATGTTAAATAATCTCTGACACCTCCCCGCCTGATGAGCAACAAACCGTAAGCATGTCAACGTCTTTGCTTAAAGCTTCTGCAAGTTCTGATGAGCGAGCTTAGCATCATGCTTCACAATCTCTACTGCCAGCTTCTCTTGCGCGCGATGCTTTGGATTGAGGCAGTGTGTGAAGCCGTGCGTGATGCTGCGCGTGATGTTGCGCATGATGCTTTGCGTGATGCTGTGCATGATGTTGCCTTCATCTCCAGCTCAAGAATCGCCAAAGTGGCACACGAAGTACACTTCCGCAGGTAAACCAAACTGCGCACAGATATGGACAAGAGAGGTTGGCAAGAGAAACGGACATGACAGATCGGGCAAGAGGGTGCTGAGCATCACGCGCAAGAGGGAGCATCATGCGCAGCATCATGAAGTTTCATTCCCGTGCTGCTTGTGCATTTTGAAGTTCCGAGCTGGAGATGCGAGCGCGCTTTCCGTCAAAAGTTGTGATTTTCGAGTACACGTGCCGCGCAACTTTTGTGCGTAGAAACTGTTTTTTCAGTCGGAGCTGCGGCAGTTCACTTTGTGTAGAACTTGTGCACGAATTAAAAGTTGCGAGTTTGGAGCTGCAGGAGGGCGATTCGCGCACTTGTTTTGTACTTGAAAGTTGCGATTTGCCAAGCGGAGCTGTGGCAATCTTCGCGTGCTTCTTTCGCATCCCGCGAACCGAGTCACGCGGTCATAGCGCAACAAGCGCATATGTATTTACTTGCGTATTATCATAGCATAACTATGCACATATGCACGCTATCCGTATAGCTTATATTCAGCCAGATTTTCCTTCAAGCACGAAGGGCCCTTGAACCCTGGTTCAACATGAGCTTTCCTGCACCCATTCACCTTCAGGTTTTTTCTCGTGCTAGGCGGACCCAAGAACCAACCAGGAGCAGAAGGACGAGGTGGCGGTGCTGGCTGCCATGTTCGAAGAGGAGACGGTGTGAACGGCAGGAGTCATTTTGGGTTTGCCCCAAGAAATGGAACCATCAAACTGCGTGGTAACTTCAGCCTTCAAAAAGGGTGCCCGCAAAAAAAATAACAGAGGCAAAGCGGTTCCTTTCTGTGTGCTTGACGCATCTTTTTTTTGGCGAACAATAGTCATGTCATGTGACAATGTACCACACGCATGCCATGTTGGCGCAAGAAAGGGGTTAGACCTCAGGGGCCTACTGATGGCTAATTGGAGCTTTTTGCTCTGGGAAGGTTGCAACTTCCCGCCGGTCAAGGAAATAGGGTTTGTGAGCGCCTCATTCTATCCAGGGGTCCCATTCGGACATAGACTTTACCAGGTTGGTCACCATTGGTCGAAGGAGTTGGATCCTTGCAAGGTTCTTACACTACAAAAAAATCACTGACAAAGCAGCGACCTACTGACTCTTGTGTTTGGACTTGGCGGCCGCACCAAAAATCGTCGGAGCCTCTGATCTAAAACGCATCGATGTTGCAGACGCCAGGCGCTGGCGCGTTTCCACGGTTTCGTTTTTTTGGGCTGCGTTCTGCTGCCAAGTTTTTCAGCAGATTTGCAGTTTCCGAACTTTCGCGCGCGCGCAGCTGTTGCCATCTCGCGTTTCCACGGCTCCTAGTGCCGAGCCGCAGGAAAGAAAGGCGCAGCACCATCGTTTTTGGCGAAGTGGTGTTTTTAGTTAACGTGGCGCAGGCGCGTCTGCGTTGGCTTCTGGCTGGGCGGGGTCAAACTGTTTCTCTTGCATGACGGTGGGGCCCTTGAGCGTTCACAAGTTTGTCGACCTCGCGCTTCTGAGCCGCGGCAAGGGTTAATAAAGGCAAGCCAAGCCCGCTGAGGGATCCTTATTGTTGGGAAACACCCAGACTTCGAGCTAAGGATTGCTCTGCGCTGACTCGAATGTAGGCATGTCGGCTTCTCACCTTGACGCGCACGCAGCACGCGCGGGCGCGAACGAACTCTTGGTTTGCCAGCTGCGGTTCGTGATGACATGCCAGCGATCCCCCCACCATTGCCGCGTGTGTCCAGTTGCAAAAGTGCGTTTACTTGTTCGGCCTTGTATTGAACGTCATTTCCAGCATGAATTCCGGAAGGCTGTTGGAAAAGCGGAGTGCCCCGCCCCATTCTCGAAACGTACCAAACCCCTGTCGCGCAGCGCACGCGCTGGGTTGCAGACTGTCATCCAGTTGTCCCAGGCGTTTGTGGAGTACACACATGCACTGACTGATGCATTAGATCGCTCATCCACTGCACTTTCGATTAGAATGTGTCCTGCGCAACCTACCCATTTTCCCAGTGGTTTTGGCTCGACTTGTCCAGACCCCAGGAACTCACCATCTGGCAGCCCACCTGGCCAGTGCGCCTCAGTTTGCGCCTCTTGGCCAAGTCGGGCCCTTCCGGCGCCCTGGCGCTGCGCTTCCTCTTTCCCCCGGGATACCCACAGAAGGCGAGCTGTTGCTGCGAGCTGGAGGCGGAGGCGCCCAAGCGAATCCCCGGGTCGAGCATCATTTTGATCTTCGGCCTTTCCATCAGCCTATATCCATGGCACTGTGGCCCGAATTTTCCTGACATCGCATGCGTTGCAATGCTTGCTGGGCGCATTGCAAAAGCACCATGCTTGTAACGTTTCGTTCTTGTTCGGTCACACTGGTAGAATGCTTATGTTGGCCTGACATCGGCTGGCTCTAGCGCCCATTAAGACCATTAAGATTGGAGAAATGAGGCGGGTGCATTGGATACTGTTTTTGAAGCATGGCTCCACATGGGTTCGCCCCGTAGATGAACCAGCAGTTGTCAAATTGACCACAGAACACCTGAGCAAAAGTTCAAGCGCTTTGATAGTTTCACAGCAGCGGGAACTTGCCAGATACACATGACTATCACTTGCGGCCCTGAATGTGGGCTGAGCTTCAGAAAACTTGGTAGAAACCACAATTGTTTGCATGCCTGACAGCACCTGTAAGCCTTTTGAGGGTCAGGGAGGAGTCAAGACACCGAGATTCCAGCAAAATCTGGGTTGTTTTCAGAATCTCTCCCTAATCCTTCCAGCGGTTTGTCCTGTAGTGGTGTCCCTCTAGGATCCCTCCGTCTTGGCAGAACGGATTTGTGCGTGATGCTTGCTTGGTGCCTTGCCATGGCCTTGCCAGGATTTCGCGTGGCAGGCGCACCGCCGCGAGCTGCTGGAAGCGGCGGAGGCCGGCGAGGGCTCAGTGGCTGTGTTGGGATTAATAAACCCGCCCCATGATTAGGGTGTTCCCTCCAAAAGTGATGAATCCCCACTAAAAGGGGACACCCCCCAATCAAAAGCAACCAGGGTTTTATTAATCCGGGGTTAACATTATTCCTTGGATCCGCTAGTAGGGGTTCCTGTCCAGTAACCATTGCTTTTAGAACCAAGCATTCCGCCAGAAACGAGACCGCGATCTCATCGTTGTGGAAAACCCAGCAAAGTGAAAAAGCGGGCATGGAGATGGGAATTCCATTTATCACAGAAAGGGTGATTTGCACAACGAAGCTGGCAAGCTTGATGTCAACAATGGGATGGAATAGGATCACGGGTGCCAAGAGCTTGTTCTCTTACCTACCTTAGGCCTGCTCTGCTGCCTGCCTGGTTCGATGCGCGTAGTTTTGTGCCGACCCATCCCAAGGTCGAGAATGGGCGAATGGACGAGCTCAAGTGCACTGAAATGTCCGAGCACGGTCTCCCTGCAAAAGGTGTACAACCTTACAACGCGGAAGAAGATTTAGACCCTCCTTTTTCAACCATACAGGAGGATTCGAACAGCTTCTCAGATGCCGACAGCGTGAGGAAGGTCCTTAAAGGTGGACGCTTCAAGCGCACTGTTGGTGAACAAGTTGGGGGCCTCGCAGCTGTCTTTGGAACATGGCGAGCAAATTCGGCCGTCTAGCTCATATGAAATCTATTGGAAGCCAGCTGCCCCCAAGGCACCCAATCCTTTTTGAGCCCCATGTTGAGAGTTGAGTTGTTAAAATCCGTGTGCCGCTTCTGGACAAATTAGTTTAAGTCAAACCAACAGGGAAACCAAACTCCGTTTTTGTGGGGGTGGATGGGTCACCCACTTTGGGTGTTTGGCCAAGTAGATAATGTTATAAGTTAAAACTCGCTTTAGGAAGTCCCAACTGAATAGATTAACCATGTTGGCTAACCACCAAACCTAGCCGAACATCCAAGACCCTCCCACCAATCAACATGGAACCCGACCGGGCGGGGGGGGGGTTCCTGGGTCCCGACCATTCTCCTTTTAAAGGGACCATTTCCCTTAGAAGAAAACACACACCCTCTATGTTAATGGGACCATGCCCTCTATGCTTTAAAGTGACCATACTATCCTTTAAAGCATAGAGGGCACGGTCCCACTACCATGGAAATGGTCCCTTGAAAAGGAGAATGGTCAGGACCCAGGACCCCCCCCCCTTCTCAGGTGGTTCCATGTGAATTGGTGGGAGGAGATGTTTTTTCGAGAACCAGGTGGCCCGGGAGCCTTTGGGCTTCCCCAGCGTGGCGGCCATGTTTGGCGCGGCCCAGGCCTGGGTGGAGGAGCCCTGGTTGGGTGGGCTCCCCCTCCCCGCACCCGCGAAAAAGCGAAGAAAGACCAGAAGCCGGACGAACCCCCGATTTTTCGGCGAGAAACCAACTTTTGTTGCGGCTTGATCAAAAGGCCTTTGGCGTTTTGGGAGGTGTGGTGGAATTGTTTTGCCACTGAACAAGCATTTAGACTGGCCACCCAGGTTTGAACATGTTGAGCCAGTATTGGGAGGTTGGGGGGTTTGAGGGTGGGGTTGGGGGAGGGGGCCTTTTGGGAGTTCTGGGGTTGGTTACATTTGGTTACCATTGAAATCCATTGAGCATCGTTTTGGTGTCTGTTGCATCCAGTGAGCACCGCTTTGGCATCCGTTTTCCTTTTCAAACGAAGCGAGGAGCACGGGCCGCGCCTGGCCAAAGCCGGCGTCGGCGTCGCGGAGGAATGGGGAGATGGGAGGGGGGCAAGGGGGGAAGGGTTTCACCTTGGACCTCTGGTGGCTGCCGGCGGGGGTTGGCACTGTTAAGGTTGTTAACTAAGCCACCTGTTTGGGAGGCACATGCGCTTTTGTGTTAACTGTTAAGGATGCTAAGGCCGCCTTTTGCGGAGTGGCTTTTGGGATATGATAGTCCACTTGGATTGGACACGAGTGGCAAGGGGCAGCTGGCTGTTCCCCCTTTTTGTGTTGCTTGTTGTACAAGCATCCCCATATTTCTGCTTTAGTCATTTCGAACCTCTCAGCCTTTGGCCGATTTTGGCTCCCAATTTTGGGGAGCCATGGGAACCCTGTGGTGTTTGCCTGTCAGTACGGTCCTGAATTAATGTGCAGCCAAGCCGATTTGCCAGGTCAGCGGCGGCTCCTTTTGTTTTTGTGGTCAGGAAGAGACCCTATGCACCTCCGAGTTTGTTGGACGGGTGACTTCATTCCAACGGCCTGCACAAAGTTTCGGTTTGGGGTTCCCCGTCTCCAGGAAGCAGAGGAGGAGGAGGAGGAGACGGACAGCAGCGCTTGGCTGCTGGGACAGTGCCCAATGAGCTATGGCCATATGGGGAGGTCCTTTTCCTGGTTTGGGTTGGCCAGTTGCTCTGAGGAACACGGGGGAATAGCCTCGACACACCCCCGACTAGCATTGGAACACTCAAATTTCAGGAGCTTGGCCATCAGATCGAGTTGTTCCATCATCTTGTTTGGGTTTCTTTTTGTCGGGCCGAAAGGCCCCGTGTATTTTTCTGGCATCACCCGCCCAGGCAATTGGAGTCGGGCTGAGGAACCTTGTTTTATGGGTCCTTTGGCAGGGTGCAAGCCAATCTGGGGTTGGTCCAGAATGTCCGTTGCGTTTTGGCTACCTGATGTCGGTTGCGGCCGGACGCTGGATGCTCAGTGGCAGCCCGCTTTCCCTGGTTTGTGGTCATTGGGATTTGGTGTTAAAGACAAAAACCGGGTTGCAACTAATTCATTTACTTGTTTTTTGCGTGAGGGGGAACCACTTAAAACAATGCAGATGACTTCCCCTTGAAACCAACAAAATCAAGCCAGGGGGCTACCAACTCAAGCCGCCCCCAGGCTGTTTTTTTGGATTTAGACTCAACATTTTTTAAGGAAAATTTGTTGTTGTTTTTTTCACTAAACCCCCAACAAGTTAAACTTTTTGCAGGGGGGTCGTTGCAGCAACCAAGTTTGGACGCAGGTGGCTCCGGGAGGAGTCGGAGGTGGACGAGGCGCTGCTGGCAGCAGCGGAGCAAAGGGCCCGGGAGCTGCTGCCAGAGTCCGACACCGCGGCTCGGGCGTCGGGGGGGTTGGGGGGTGGGGGGTGGGGGGTTGGGGGTGGGTGGGGGTGGCGTGGTGCGGGGGTGTACGTGAGACTATTACGAAAGCTCATGATGGGTGGCGGGGTGAGTGGGTTTGTTTTCCTCAGGTCTTTCTCCAAGCATTTCCTCAGGCTGCCCATTGGAAATCGAGGCTACGGCTGGGTGACAGTAGAAGGCGACTTCAATTTTGACTTAAGGTTGAGTCATCCGCTTTACCCAAATAACAGGAATTGTGCCATTTGCTTTCACCCTGGCAGAATTGGGACACGAGTCAGCGGAAAAAGCTAACACGTAGCTTGACAGTGGGATTCAGTAGATATCTTGAATGCCGGATGTTGATGACTCGCCTGTGGGGGGATATCAAAGAGCATCCGGACCCCCACCGAAAGGCGGGCCCCCATCGTTTTGGGGCCATGCTTGAGTGCATCTTGAGTGCTCAGGAGAGTGGCTGGGCGCGCCAATGCGGTGCCGGCAGCTATGGGTGACATGGCCAAGAAAAAATGGTTGCGACCTGTTTGGCATGTTTCTTGAGGATGTCCCTTTTTCATTTTTTGGGTCTCTCAGAAATCCAGGGTCCACATTGTCCCATGTCCCCTGGAAGGGGCAATGGACTTGGCTCGCACCTTTTTGGTCCGACTCAAGGACCAGGCCCTACATAGGTGACTACATGAATGATGAATTATATTTGGATCGGTACGAAGCCCGCAAGTTGAATGACATGCAACGCCTTTGAACTTTGAACTGATTGAACGTGGATCGATGGCACCTTTCCCCGTTCTTTTTGTTGAAGGATAGCTTCCGTCAAACATTCTACGCAACCATTGTTCTTTCCAAAAACCAGCCGTGTTCCCTGGGTTTCCGAAAGTTTTCTAGAAGGAAGGATCCCTGGAAAGAATGGAAATGGAAGGTACTCATCGGCAAAGAAACCAAACAAGGAATAATGAAACGGCAAAGCGGAACGAGGCTTTGCAGGTTCCATTTTGGAGGGTGCTCTGCGGCTTTTGTGACTGGTTTGGGGGGGAAGCATCATTTGGAGGAGGCTTCCCAGCACGCAACCCACCTCTATTCAGAGGCATCTCCATTTCTTGGGATCCCTTTATGGTCTGTGGATGGGGGCACTTGTAGCCAACTTGTAGCCAACTTGTAGCTGTTTGTTTGTGCAATGAAGCGGGCTGCTTGTCAAGCTGTCCCGACCAATGCACAGAGGAACATGTTCCCCCTTTGTCCCAGCTGGCTTCCTCTGAACCTGAACTCGAATTCTTCCAGGAGCCCCCGGCTGCAAAGCTCAGAGCTCAGTTCGGTGAGCCCCGAAGTACTTCGAAGTAGCCTCCCAACGAAACATGGAAGTGCACAAACCCCGTGGTTCCAAGAGGAACATTTCTACAGGTGTCTGCGCACTTCCACGTTAGTCGGTGGGAGGGGCCGAGGGTGGCTCTCCTTTCGCCGTTCGCTGGCGATGCAGGCGGTCCTGGGACTTCGTGGTGGGTCTGGTGGGCAAGCCCTCTGCGGGCAAGTCCACGCTCTTCAATGCGGCCACCCGCTTGCAGGGGAAGGCCTGGCCGTTTCGGCCTCTGGACGTCAGGTATACATATATATATATATATATTATGGGTGTGGTTGGATTGTTTCACCCGAAGAAAAAGGACATACCTCGTGGGTTCCCTTTCCTTCCACGACAAAAGGTACCCTCAAAAACGGACATACCGTATGCTGTCCAAATTTGGGAAAGAGGTTTGTGCTAGCAGCCAGCCACTTCCCCGAAGCAAGCTGGGACGTTGGCACGTGCTCGTTTGGCTGGAGAAGATGACGGTGATGAGATACCATGCGTGCTTGAACCTTGAACCCTGAATTCCTGAATGCCGCATTGAACCAATTCAACCATGATAAGCCACCTCGTGGATTCCGATGCTTGGGTGCTCCCCCAAGAGTGATTTGGATCTAAGCGGTGTTGCGCCCTTCCAATCAACCAGCGAGTCAGCTTTACCTGAAACGGCTGACCCCCCCCTCACCCCGTTAGAGTTTCCATCATCAGTCTTACAGCTCATCAATCCCCGAATTCCTGTAAGCTTCGCCGCCCCCCGTCCCCCTGCCCCAAAATTTGCGACGCCGGGTACACATCCCGATTCAGGGATTCATAGAAAGAAGTTTGTGCTCCTGTTGGTCAATCAGGGGTTCTGATTACATAATTCCCACGACTCTGAATTAGAATCGGTAGATGTTGGGGAGCGCAACCCATTTGCGAATGAACATCATCCGTACCCCTCAATAAATCCCCAAGCTCCCTTAAAGCATGCATTTGGGCCCGGCAAACTCAAGTTCGAGGACTCCCCTGTAGGTGATTGTTTTGAGTGTGTCTCTTTTTGCGGGTGCCTTCGTTTGGTTTGGAAGGGAAACCAAAAGGACTCCAGCCATTGCCAGGGGTCCGACCTTGAAAAAAGACACCATTTCACCGAACCCCATGTGGCTTCGCGCTGGGGTAAAACCCGAGAGGAGGCGGCCATGGCACCACATCCTTTCACCACCATCGACCCCAACGTGGGGCCCGGGTGGTTTGGGGCGCCTTGCCCCTCCGTGGAGCTCGGTATCCAGGCGGAGCTTAAGGGCAATTTGTTGGCCCAGTTTTGGTGAAGGTCCCAAAAGGCGAAGCTTTTGAGCATCCAGGTTTTGTTTGAGACAATTTGATAATTTCCTTGCTTGCCCACTTGAATGGCCCATTTGAGGCCATGTTGGTGAAGGTATTCTAAGAATAGAGGGCGCAAACAGGTTGGCACCTGTTAGTTCCCCAAAACTCCAAAAGGGGTTGGCCATCATTTTCAGGCGGGTCGTTTCGAGGGCACTTGTTCTCGGGGTTTTGAAGGGAAGTCGATTTCTGGCATTGATTTGGTGGAATGGGAGCTCTCCCCCCCCGTCCAGGAGGAGTGCTTTCCGGAGCACGGGCGTGTGGGCCTCTTGCGGCGTTTCCCGCTGCTGGTGAAGGACGTTGCGGGCCTGGTGCCAGGCGAAACGTCGAGTGGATCAAAGATCTGGTCCTTGGTTGATATTTTGAGCTGAATTTCTGGTGAACTGTTCATACGTACCAGACATGTTCACCCAGAAAACGTCCAGAATGATGGATGGAAGGAGGGTATGCATTGAGAGTCAACCCCTGGCTCTTGTAATGTTCTTGTAATGTTATTGTAGGGGGAAATGGGCAACCCCTTCCTAACCAGCAAACCACCAATCCACACCACCAATTAGGGGGAAGCTGAAAGAGGCACGACTTTCTCTGACCCCGGAAGCCTTCTTCGGCAGGTTTTCGGGGACTAGCAACTGAGGGGTGCCATGTGTTTTTACCACACAAAGCGAGCAAACCAGCGTTGATTGGGCAGGGTGGCGTGCTCCTGAAGGCCCACTGTGTCTTTCTGCTTTTCGGGCACCTTCCAAAGTCTGATTGAATCCGTGGCCAGTTTGGACCACGAAGGGTGAGAGCTTGTCATATCTCACCCCACTCTCAGTACACAGGCTGCTGCGTTTTCTCTGTGATTCTTCGTGGCGATCCGGGCCTCGCTCGTTTGTGCTCGGGTGGCTCGTGAGGCTGGCTGAGTTTGCATTGTATTTGGGGCAAAGTCCTTCTGTACCAAGCTGTTCCTGTATGTTGCTGCCCCTCGTGGAGTTCAAACAACTAAACTAGAAAGTTTGAAGAACTGTGCCGTGCGTCCAGAGACTTGGGTGTGACAAGTCTTCACCAGGCTCCTTTGATCTAGTTATTGCTTCCTGGATATGGTAGTCAGCAGACGGGCAGTTGCCGATCTTGAGCACAGCAGCGCCACCCTGTTTCAAAAGGTTTGTTTAACTGATTCATGCAGTGCTTTTCGATCAGCCTTGAGTAGAACCCCTCCAAAAAGCAGCTCCCTTCATTTTCCAAAGCCCTCCGGATGGCTGAGAAAGGCTGGTCCTTTGCTTCAAAAGCATGTCGCACCTGGCATTCACCCGGCGTTCTCTTCAGGTCCCTGAACGAAAGCGTTCGCTGCCCAGGGGCCTACATGGGCCGCGGTCGTGGCAATGCCTTCCTCAATGACCTCTGCGACGCCGATAGCCTGACACTGGGCTTTGATACAGGCCTCCTGATGTTGGCAGGGACAAAGGGCGGCAACCCACTTGCATAGGGGTCGCTGCAGTTCGGGACATGTGTTTCCTTCTGTGCGCCGCTGTTCAGACCCACTCGCCTCATGTTGGCCTTTGGGGGTTGGCCCTTCTGCACTGCAGAACATTACACGCCGCTTGCTCCCGAAATGCCCCATGCCAGTTATGCGGCCTTCATTTTCTCGACCTGCAACAAAGAGACTCCAACAGAAAGATTCCAGCTGGCATTGCTGTGTAGCATTGTTGCCCGTCCCCCCAAAAAAATGCAAAGACGGGAACAAAGAAGAAAAGCACAAAAAACAACAGAAAAAGAAAGAAAAAAAAAAAGAAACTCCCGAACTCCGCCCCCCCCCCCCCCCCCCCCGGCCGCCCCAAACAAGCTGAGGAGGTGTTTCGTTCCGAGGATCCACGTGGTGGATGCCAGCGGGCGTAGCGACGCCGAGGGCGTGGACCAAGGCGCGGCCAAGGCCCGCGCAGAGCTGAGCTATGGCGAGCTGGGAAGCGGTGGATCTGGCGGTCAAACCAAAACGGAGATGGATTTCCGTGGGTCAAAATCCAAATCGAGCCCCCAATAAACGCCCCAATCCCCACTAAAATAGACTAAAATGGGTGGTGTACCTATCCCAAAATGGGATCCCATTTGTTTTTGCACCCAGTTGCTCAGTGGATTTCGTCTTTTTTCAACTTTTTCAGGGGAAGGGTTCCGATTCCTTTGAAGTCAGCCAACCAAAAAGGATGCCCTTTTTTTCCCATGGCCACTGGGCATCTGAGACGGATATGGATTTTCTTGGTGGCTCCCAGCCATCCCCTTAGCTTTTTCAGGTTTTTAGGGTTTAGTTCAGAAATATGTTTTTATTGGGGACTTAAGCAACAGCAAGTAGCTAACAAAAACATGAACATCACCCGACGTTAATGTTGAGTGAGGGATATGGCTATGAACTTTGAACAAATTCATGGTGACACGAACATCGCCCTCCCAAATGATGGACATTGTCCAGTGACGTCCACCAAAGAGTCCCCAACTCGAATTGCTATGAACTCATTATTGGGAATCCAATGTTTCAGTCGTTGGCCAGCATGCCTCCGTATCTCTGGAGTCAACGTCCACCCGGCAGGGCAAGCAGAAAGAAGGCACCGACCCGCTGGACGAGGTGGGCTGGGTCCGCCGGGAGATCCATCTCTGGATATTCTGCAACTTGGCCAGAAGCAATAATTTTCATAGCAGTTGTTCAGTGGGACCCTTTTCCTTGTTCAGGAGACGGTTGAATCATTGGCAATGCAAGTGGAACTGGCAAGGACTCAGAAACGCGGTTGTCTCAAGACGAAGACCAAATGAAATACGAAAAACAAGACATGCCCAAATCAGAGCCATGTTTGGACTGGTTGCCTGGTTGGTTTCCTGCAAGTGGGGGCCTGATGTCACCATCCCATACAATGAATCTGCAATAAGTGCTTATTGAAATTGGAGACCCCTTGTGGGCCTCGTTCCCAGGGAAGCCAAACCAATCATATTATTCTGAGGGCTCCTTGTTTTTGGACGCACTCATATGCACCCATTGTTTGGCTCATCAGGCAGCTTTGTAGGGCCCGACTATTAGGCGGAACCTGGCTCTGGCTTCGCTCGAGGTCAGTAGTTGCAGCTTCGCCTTAGTGGGGACCTGCATGAAGCCGCAACTGCAGTCATGTGTAATTTGTTTTGGTCTTAACAAATGTAGAACAAGCATTAGCTGGTTGTCTGTCCAGCCGTGGCTGAGTGCCACGGTTGTGACATACTATGTGCTGACGAACAATAGCTAAGCTGCAAGTCGGCATCTCGCCCAAGATTGGTAGCGAATATCATGCGGATCCAGATCACCAGGGTCGCAGAGACGGTCGCAGAACCATGGAATTCAGCTGAGCTGAGTTGCAGAAAGGCCCTGCAGCAAAAGGAGATTCTTCCACAAACTTGTTTTGATTTGTTCCCCGCATTTCTCTTGTTTTTTCCCTGCCTGAATCTCGCCCAACGTTGCAAACCAGCTCAGGCAACGTGCGGGCTAAGTGGGACACGGTGCGGCGCAAGGCGAAGCTGGCGCGGCTGAACAGCTCCCTCCAAAACTTGGCGGCGGAGAGGCTCTTCGCGCTCTTCACAGGCAGGGCGGTACGGGGCTGGCCCGCGTGCTCCCCCCGCGCCGGATGTTCCCTCGGACAAAAAATGCTTTCCCCCTTACACATGTCCTTTTCCCACTTGAATTAACATGTTCAGTAACCCCAATCTTGGGCAGCATCCTTCAAAACATTGTTCGAAGGGTGGCCGCGGGCTGGGATGCGGCAACCTCCATTTTTAAGTACCAAGGATTCTTTTGTGGTTGGGAGGTCCATAGCCTGATCGACTTGGACAAACCATTTTTGATTTCGCGAGGGGTTCTGGCTTTCTTGATTGAGCAGTGTTTTGTTTGGGGCTTTTGTATGGCAGGCGGGTTACCTCATTCTGCATTTCGAGTTGAACTGGTTGGCCTTTCTTGAACCAGAGTTGGCTGGGTCTGATTGCCCTGTTGGTTTGACGTTGTCATTTATGAACAATAGTGTGCTTTGTTTTGGTTCCCGTTGCTTTTGGAATCTTGTGTGATGTGTGAAGCTTCGCACATCTTTCGTTCTGCTTTAGGGGCCGGAGTGCATGTCAGGCATGCACAAAACGTGGAGCAAGCGCATAAGATTCGGCGCAACAAGGGGGCGCTAAAGCACGCTTGACGGAGACAAAGAGTGCCCTCCGGCCTTTCGTCCCACATAACTTCTAACTCAGCAATGGGAGTTGTTCTTGTCTGAGATGAAGACCAATTGATGCTAGGGGTCATATGTTGATAGGGCTGAAGGGCTTTTGGCAAGATCTCGACTTACCAAAGGAGAGAGACTTGGAGAGCTCCTCACCCTCCATCTGAAGCATCCGTAACAAGGCTCGGGACGTTCTTGGCCCTTGGGGGCTTCTCTCTAAGTCTCCCGGGTTTTTTGCACTAGGTCCCGTAGTGCCCTTTCTCACCCCTTTTTTGGGAGGGTTCCCCTGCCAAAATGGACAAAATAGACGAAAAAGGGTAGCCTGATTCTAACCTCTCTGCTGGAGGACCCAGTGTAGGTCTCCCCAGCTTTGGCTTCCTCCGAACATCGAGGCTACCGGGCCTCCCAGCAGCTGGCGGCCCAAGTCTACGAGGCGACGGGCCACCATTTGGCCAACCTGGCGGAGGAGCGGATGGGGGGGGGGCTGGGGATGGGGGTGGAGGGCATAGAAAACCAGAGATGGTCGGGCGGAGGTGTTTTTTTCTTCTTCTTCTTCTTAAAAAAAACAAAACAAAAAACACAATGTGTTTGGAACTCCGCTTTGCAGTCGCCATGTTTTCTGTTTGTGTTCTGTTCTTCTTCTTTTTTTTGGGGGGGAGGGAGGAGATCAGATAGAGTCGATGCTGACAGTTGGATGTGGAAACCTGTGCCAGCCGCTTCTGAAAGCTTTCATCAGTATTGACTCATTTGACTTCGAGGTAAAAGGTTCCATTTCCCGATTTCTTTGTGCACGAGGCGTTTGGTTGAACGTCTGGCTGCCAGGATGTGCTGACGTGGACGGAGCTGCATCTCCACATTCTGGTGGCCTGCTTTTTGCGGGTCCGCTTTCCCATCGTGGTGGCATTGAACAAGGCGCTTCAGGGCACTCAGGGAAGACATGAGAGGGACAGCCCCGACTGCATACAGCATGTTCACTTGACTTGTTAGGGGAAACCAGCGACCCTTTCAAAGATGAACACCCTCAAGGGCAAGATGATGGACCCCTGGGTAGAAAATCGGTTGGGGTAGTAGAACATTGGTTTAGCTTTCTGCTACGTTTTCCTACCATGCGGGCCATTTGGTCTATCCTTCCATGTCCTGCCACAGTGATAAGCTTCATCGCCGGGAGCTTGTGGCTGGGACCGTATGTCTCGGTTGATTGTTGGGGTGGTTGCCTGTGGCGAGGATGCTACAGAACCTGCGTGCCAAGCGCTGGATTTCGCGCTCTTATTTATGTGCTGGCTACGGAACCCAGTCACTGTCGTTCTCAAAGAAACAGGCACCACATGTGTGACGGGTTACTTGTCAAAGGACCGGAGCGGAAAGTTTTCGAGTTAAGGTAAAGCATGTCCTGCCATTGTCCGGAACAGCGGTCAAGCAGGGTTCCCCATGGTGGCAGACTGTTGCATACCTTTGACTCACAGCCTGCCGAGTTACAAATCAGGAGGTTCCCAAAGAGCTTTTCAGGTTCTTTTTCTGCCAGTATTCGGCACTCGTTTGCAGACTGGCAGGCCTCGCCAAAAAGGCAAATTCAATACCATGTAATGGACATGTCACAGCCGTTTTTTGATCATGTTTGATCGTGCTGACCCTTCTGAGTCACGTCCGGAGGCAGACACCGCCGAGGCAGCAGCGCATATCCCTCGCGTGCAGGCCCGGGCATGGAACAAGCGCAAAAGGAAAAACAGTTACTTGCTAAGCTTCCTTAAAGATGGAAGCAAATTGCACACCAGCATGGATCTCTGCTCAGCCTTAGCCACATCGCGCCAGGCGGCTTTGGGCCGTTCTGCTGTGCCTGTGTCTGCGCGCAGTGAGCTTTGGCTGCTGCAGCAGCAGAAGAAAGGCCGGGGGCGAGGAGCGTACGGATTCCACAGCCAGCTAATAACCGTCGTATGCAAACTGTAGATGTGGAGGTAGCCGCGGACGAACGAAGCGCAACCCTCGTATCCGATTGCTGCAACTCCCTGGAGCTTGGAACAAAATCCGCTTCTCATTGCCATGGGCATCAAATTTGGGAAAGCAAAAGGAAACCAACAGAACCAGCCACGGGGCCATGCCACATGGGCATGGCTCCATGGTGTGGTGTTTCAGGGCGATTCCTTTGGCCACAATGGGCAATAACATCATTCGGCGCCATCATGGTTGTTGTTGGGAAACGTTTTGCATTTTTGCTTATTGTGGTTTAGTTGGAAATCCACACTTAACTGCTAAAAATCATTTTTTTGCTCCCCTTCCAACGTCAACCAAGCCATGGGGATGTCCCATGTCAGACAAAGGGTTTTCCCTCCTGCTCACAAACATGGAGCCCACCAGAGGCTCGGTCCCTTTTTCAAGCAAACTTGTCTTCCAGGAGCCCTCACAGTTTCCATGTTGCAACGTGGACGGGAGGGTATTCTTCCGTTTGCTTAAGAACATGTGTTTTCGTGTTTTTTTTTGGGGGGGGGTTCCCTTTTTTCAAATGCCCCCGGTCGTAAAGGGAATCTTTCGCCATCGCAACTCTTTCCAATTTCTCCCCATGCCTCCGTCGAGGGGCTGCCAACACGTGCGGCCCAGGGCACCTGACCTACGCGGAGGGCGGGGGCGCTGAGTCGATTTCTTTGGCCGCCACGGCGCCGGCGGAGGTCAAGGAGCAGGCGCCAGTGGGAGCTGGGTGGGGCTTTGCGCGGGGAGGTACCCCTTCAAATCAGCCTGGGACCTACAAAGGTGGAGCTCTTAGGTCCGACCCAAATTACTAAAATCGGTGTCAAGAAAGGAGCTTCCTCTACGAATGCTTGTTCTGTTGGTTCCATCTTAGTCTGAGGATGACCCAAATATGGATTTAGGAAGTCTGCCTCAACAGGCCTCATCAATTCCTTTTGGCATTTTTGCGGGGGGGGCCCTCCCGAGAGAAGCTTCGGCGACTCATGACGTTCGGTCGCAGGCAGTCTGCGAGATCCCTCCTAGCCTTAGTCCCCACAGTGGGATGGATTTGCCACCCCTCCATGTTGAATAGCCTGATGTAGTGCAAGGCTTCCTGGGCAAAAAAGGCTTTCTGTCGTGTACTTGGACGTTTTGCCTTTGGATGTCTGTCTTCAAAGCTTTGAAAGGGACCATGTTGTGCTACGACCACACTTGAGGAAGACCGCTTGGGAAGCTTGGTGCGAGCGACTTAGACTTTGCAGTCTCCAATTCTTGCAGGTTGAGCGAAACATGCCATTGGGCCTACGGACAGGCCATGGCAGACCGAGCTCGCAGATGAAGGGGGCTTGCGACTTGTTGGAGTGCATGACCTGTTTGTTTTTGTTTTGTTTTTTTTGGGGGGGGGGGGTGCTCGAGTGAAAAGAGGACATCATCATGGAAGGCTGCCACTCTGGGCAATGAATAGGTGCTAAGCAACCATCACTTGTGAAATGCTGCTTCTGGTACATGTCTCAGTATATACATGTAATAATGGTTAAACAACAAGCCTATGTGAAAGCTTGTATTCTTGACTTGTTCTTCAGAGCTTCGCCGTGCATCCTAAGCTAGTTAGTCCGTTTTTATTTCACTTCCCATGTTTCTGCCTGACCATTTCGACAGTTTCGACTGGGCTAAAGCCGAAAGGATGCCCCGGCAATCATCCATTTGCTTAAGAACCGTTTTATCTTCCCCTGTTGGTGTTTAGAGGGAATCTATCACTTCTGATGGACAACATCCTGCATCACCTAAGATTCCCTGGAATGATGATTCCCCCGCAGATACCAAGAAAGAATGGTTTCCCATGATTTCGAAGTGGTGCGAACGGATTTTGTCATCCACAGTACTGGAAATAATATTAGTTTTTTTTTTTTTTTTGCCAGGGGGCTGCAGCAAATGAAAGCTCTCGAGTTGCTGCCAGGTCGAGCAGCTGTGCAAGCGCGTTCTGGGGGTCTACAAGTCCACAGGCGTCATGGAGGCTGGGATCGACAGACACGGGCCACGTGTCTTGCCGAGGTTCTGTATGTTTTGCTTCTACGAACCCCGGCGTGTACCGGCTTAATTAAATTTATGGGGTGTAAAAAGGAACGACCTGGTTTCTGAGTGGCCTTTTTCCCTTTTTGCTCGGGAGGGAACCTCCTCTGAACATGGTCAATCCCAACAAAGGGTTCCTTTCGTCGGCACCGGTAACCCCCCCCGCTGCTTCTAGTAGTGCTGAGGATGCTTGCGACCTATGGTGCATGGACAGAAGGCCTCCAGTTGGTACGGATACACCCTAATAATTTTGGGCCTTTCGGCGTATCAGCCCCCCGACTGGTGCCACTGGCGGCGAGTTTGGTCCCATCGGGCCGTTCTTTGCTTCGGCTTCGGTGCGCCGCGTGCCAGGTGCTCTCCCAGGCAGTTTCCCGAAGGAGTCCCATCTTCTGCTGCCCCGTCTTGGACTTCGCCTCCCTGGAGAGCCTGCAGAGGCCGCCCGGGCGGGTGAGGTTTGCGATCCTGGAGGTCAATCTGACAGGGGAAAGCAGGAGATCTTTCCAGTAGCAGGGCGCCGCGCTTCCGGTTTGAAGGGATTAGGTTGAAAAGAAACCAGTGCATATTGAACAGCTGATTTCCGGCGTGAAATGATGAACTTGTTCACGTTAAAGCAAAGCATGGGTGCTTGGAGCCAAACACCAAACAGGTCTAGGCAAAGTGTCGCACTCCTTTTTGCAGCCACGTTCCTTGATCGAGCAGGAATAAAAGGTGTGCCTAGGCGTGCTCACCCCAGATGTTGACTAGCGTAACGGAGGCGGCCCCACACTCGCTCCAAAGTGAGGACTCAAAATTCCTTTAAATAGGAAGAACCCATGTAGCCTCTTAAATCCCATGACACTGTGAATTTGGGGATCCCCTTTAAATAAAGACTTATGATAAACAGCCATTTTGAGGATGTTAAGATGCAGATGAGGCGACATTTTGAGGATGCTTCAACTCCTCGTCGCCCAGGAATTCGGGCGGCTATGCCACGGCCAAAGCGGTGGCCAAGCCGAAGCTGGCGTCCATGGTGATGTTGCGGCCCCTCTCCACGGTGGAGGAGGCGTCGTGGGAGCCGCAGCCGCAAACCACAAGCCGCAAGTGAATCAGGGCTCCTTAAAAGATGTTCGTTTTGCAACCACTTGAAACATGGCTTACTTTTTCCACCAAAATAAAAGGAAACCACAATTTACAAGTTGCAATATTCAGGTGTTAATGTAAGGCTCCCTGTTGAGCTTGACCCCGGATTAATAAACCTCTGTTTGTTAATATGCTTTTTTTTGTTTCCCCTCCAACAGTAATCAATCCCCACTAAAACCGTGGAGACCCCCATATATATTATCCGCTCGCTGGCCTCTTGTGACACAGCCAGCAATCCGGAAGGCTTCCCTATTTGGAGACCCGCAGCTCTGCTCAGAGCGGGTCCAGCAACTCAAGAACTGCAAGCCCACTTTGGCGAGTCATATGTTGCAAGTACTTTGGCTGATCTGTGATGCTGGCAGGGGTTGGTTGCCTCAGCAGCCAAAGTCGGCATGCCTCCAATGTGGGGTGAGAGTGAGCTCAGTTTGGTCTGCCAGGTGCATGCAGCGCTGAAGAATGAGCAACATGGCAAGACGAGCGTCTTTTTGTTGAAAGGCCGAATCCCTCAACGCCAACCCCCAAAAAGGCTAGGAAGGAACATTCTGAGAAGGGCCCCTTTTTGTTGGGTTCATCACTTTGGGACTTGCGGCGGTGCACAGATACGGGAAGCTTGAGGTATCTTGAGGTGGCCCAACGCAGTGCCCATCCTCACCACCAATCCGAACCACCAGTCAAGCTTCGATTTGCTCACGGTAAATCCTTGGGCCTGGGATGCACATTTCCGTTGGGTAGTGCCCGAGACGCCAACGACGCCAACGGATTATTTCTTTTGCTGTTTGCAGGGGGGGCCGCTGCCCGTCGGTTGGCGGACTGGGCCTGCGGGGGTGCAGGTGGCGGACCTGACTAGCTCGCGACCGCATTGTGACAAGCGTAGCGTCGTAGCGACAATCTCCGCTTCCGTGGTGGAATTGACGCACCCTTGTAGCTCCCAACCCTGAACCTCTGGTTCGTGCAGTGGGGATGCGGTTGGCATTGGCTGCGTGAACCCAAGCTGTCCCACACGCGCACACACACACACACACCAGGCGCTCGCCCACCCGCCTGCCCAGCCGCTCGCTCGCTCCCTCACCCACCCACCAACCCACTCCCTCACCCACCCACCCACCTCGCTCCTTCACTCCCTCGCTCCCTCACTCACCCGCTCTGTCACCCGCTCGCTCACTCACTCACTCACCCACTCAGTCGCCCACACACACACACATACACACCTGCGAGCGCGAGCCATTTGCTCAAGATTATGTTTTGTTTGCCTCAAGTTTTTCCGTGGCAAGCGGCTCAGTAAACGGTCAACATGTTGGTTGCATTTGAACTTGACGAAGTAGATGTTACTTTGCGATCGCGCCGCATGCCGGTTGCCAACCCTCTGATTTCCGAGATGTGAGTTTCATTTTATTTCCAAGTCAAAAGCTCCCAGGATAAAACAGCTTGAGTTCTTGGGTCATCTGCATCCGGAGGCAGATGCTGCGGGGCGACCTCGTGCGCGCGGAGCTTCTGAATTTAGAGGCTCCTCCGCAGGCCCCTGGGCCTTGGTTTGTTGCCGGGGCCGAGCTTTCGGGGCCGAAGCTGCAAGGAATGTACGGAAGGAACATGGCACCAGTTTTCGAGGGAAAAATGAAGCTGGGCGACGATTTGTTCAACCAAGAGTCCGGGATATACGTTGTGCGGTCCAATTGCCTGCCAAGTTGGGGCGAGCCGCAGCAAGCCCTTGTTCTGTTGATTCCTTCGGTTCAGGTGCAAAGGGTTGAAATTGGTGTTGTCTCTCTATGGCCGCATGTAGCCAAGAGTCCGCTGGCTACAACTGCCAGTTGATGTCCTGTGAGAGGGGTCTTGGCTGGACATCGTGGGGCGCGCCAACCTTTCCTCGCGTGCCCTTTGCATACCTCGCATCTGCTCTATGAAGCTGAGGGGGAAGGTGTGGCATATGGGTTGCATAACGCCTTCTTGGAGGGTGTCAAAGGCACCCTAGTCGAATCCACAATTCAGCTTGAGGCCTTTGCAAAGCAGTATCCTTCATGATCCTTGACCATTGCGAGCTCAATGTACCCTGATGAGCTTGCCAGATATGGGGCAAACTGACACAGCCCAGGGTTCCACAACAGGGAACGCCGACAGGTGATGCGGCTATCCAAAAGTGGCGGAACCCGGCTCGGCTAGTGGCCAGGGCGCCCGTCACACTGAATGCAAACCACCGGAATGCATGGCAAACGACAACCAATGGCAGAAAGAAACTCGCTGAAAGAACGCCTGACAGCTGTCCCTTGACGTCTTGATTGCTGGCTTGGATCTTTCGACTTGAGCACTTCTTGTTTTGAAATCTTGTTGGTTTTCCCATGAGCCCCTCAAAAAGGTAAAAGCTTTTTTCGCAGAGGGGTCGACAGCTGTCCCTTGACGTTCGGGTTTCCCATTTCCAAAAAACAAGTTTAAAGCAGATAAACTCAAAAAGGGTTCCCCGTTGAATTTCCCCAAAACCAAATCAAATCTTTGTGCCGAGGGGCCGAGTGCTGTGCTTGCGAGGCACAGGTCTTGCGCCGGGAGGATGTGCTGAAGGGGCCGAAGGCCATGGTGCTGCGAATCCTGACCAACAAGAAGGCGGGTCTAGGGGTGGGAGTGGGATCTCTGTGGTTCAGGACAAAATCCATTTCGCAGCACCTACGAAACCATGAGAAAGGATTGCTTGTTGGCATTTACAGGGGAAGAGTCATGTTTAGGTATCTTAGGTGGAGGATTTCGTCCATCCACAGTATGGCACTTGAAGAAACAGTAGGAAATAATTACAGATGAGCCCAGAAGAGGCACGCCACGTTTTGACATTGGTGAACTCCTGCCTGCGCAAAATTTAGAGCAGCTCATTACCGTTGGGCCAACTAAGCGCGCATCACTTTAGCCTGGGTGTTGAACACGTCCTGGCGCTTTGGGCGGAAAAGTGGCGTTTGGAAGTTTTGGTGGTTGCTAGTTGCAGCAAAGGCCGTGGGTGGGCGAGGCAAGTTGAGAGGGAAGGGAAATGCGAGCTCCCTTTCACAACACCTTTTGCAACTCGTACTCCGCTCGGCCTTGCCATGCCGCACTGAGGCAAAGTGACTGAAACTTGTGATCGCCCAGCATGCTCCGCCAATTGGCAGCTCAACTGCAAAGATTGGGTCCCGTGGCCTGGTGCTGGGAACTTCCTGTCTCCGGTCCTTTCTTGCGACCCCTTTTGCAAGACAGGCGGACGTGGGAAAGTGAAAGGAAGTTAGGAGTTTGTTCGGTTTAAGCCTGTCTTTCTTCAAGGTCCCCGGCAAATTTGTTTTCTGCTTTGTTTCCTTTTTAACACCACAAAAAATGGTACCCTTAAAAACCAGAAGCATTTTGCAGGCTGGGTGCCCTTCAGAAGGGGATTGATCGGGCTGCATTTTGGGCATAATCTTGAAGAGGGTTCCCTTAATTAGCTTGTCAGACATTTGCTGTTGAAGTGATAGCGAGCTCTTTTCACGATGGAATGGCTTCCCCCTATGCCCTTCGGGCCATAAGTGGAATTAATACTGGCATACCTTGGCAAGCGTATTGGCAACAGCTTTGGTAATCAAGCATACGGTCAAACGGCTGCCAAGGGACATGTTTCATCGGGAGGGGCATTTTGTCAAACCTTGTGGCTGCCATCAAAGGTTGGTTGGCACTCGGCTGGAAAAAGTGTGGGTGTGGGTGTGCGTGTGCGTGTGCATGTGGGTGTGTGGGTGTGTGGGTGTGTGGTGTGTGTGGTGTGTGTGTGTGGGTGTGGGTGTGTGTGTGTGTGTGTGTGGTGTGTCTGTGTGTCTGTGTGTCTGTGTGTCTGTGTGTCTGTGTGTCTGTGTGTCTGTGTGTCTGTGTGTCTGTGTGTCTGTGTGTCTGTGTGTCTGTGTGTGTAAGTGTGTGTAAGTGTATGTAAGTGTGTGTAAGTGTGTGTGTGTGAGTGTGTGTTTGTTTGTTTGTTTGTTTGTTTGTTTGTTTGCGTGTCCGCGCGCGCGGGTGCCTTCGTGCGTGCGTGCGTGCGTGCGTGCGTGCGTGCGTGCGTGCGTGCGTGTGTGTGTGTGTGTGTTCCACGTGCTGGGTGTAGCATGTGTCCGGCAAGAATGGATCGGAATTCATCCGTCTCGCACTGACCAAGCACTGCACATTTAGTCCTTTGGTTTGTCCCTACTCATGTTGATGTGTCCGCTGACCTATTCGTGCTGATGGTGAACTTTCTCCCTCGGCATCCGTGTTCCTCCTGGTAAACATCATGACCCGGTGGAAAGAAATCAGCACAAGAGGGTCCACAGGGATGGTCATCACGCCTCTATCGAGGACTTTGGGCAACCACCGCATGGGTTTATTATCAGAGGTTTGGCTCAAAAGTTGAGGCTCCCCCAACCCAAGCTACGGCGTTTGCAACATGTTCCTGCACCTATATAAGCTCAGATTACAGCTGCATCCGGCAATTCCTGGCCATGAATTGCTTGTTTGTGGTCACACCTGTGGTTCATGCTCAGCTTGTTTGCACCGAAGGTGAGGCTTACGCCCCATGAGCCGGGAGCTGTACAGCTGTACAGTTGTGGCAATTTGGTGCTGCGCTGGGAATGAATGGATTGCCCCCTGAAAAGAGTTCCGCCTGGTGCTTGCACGGACGGGCCGGGGGGGGGCATGCGTGTGGTCCGCTTGCTCCAGTCCACTGGCCGTCCATAAGTTAATCTGATTGGAGTGATCGGCAGGTTTTGATGGCCTGTTTGGTCTGAGGACTCTGGGGACTCTTTCAGGGAAGCTGATTGAACCCATCCACTTGCCAATTGGTCGGGGATAGCCAGTTGCATTCCCACATATCACATAGCTCGCTTGCAACCGCGAAAGCGAATCCACGCCGATGCCCACGGCTGCATGGCTGATCTGCCTTCCCGAAAGTCTGCTCTTATGGGTTGGTGGCCCGCAATATCTAGAGGAACCACCCCAAGGCTCCGATTATAGCCTTGTGACGGGGATAGTTGGAGTCCGCCTGCAGGCTTACCCAGTTTGGTTTGGACCTTGCAAGTAGGACATCAGGTTCTTGGTATCTTTTTGGAGGCTGAAGAGCCGATTGTATTTCCAAAGCACGGGGCCCCGACACCCGCCAGAGCTGCAAACACCTTTTCGGCTTGAAGGCGATTTGCGAACGAAGCATTTACCGCAGGCAGCGTGGTGGAAATGCATCGACGGTCAACTGTTGCGGCTTTGGCTCAAGATATATCACGCGGCCAAAGCTTGACATGCTCTGGAGCAGCCACGTTTCTAGCCTACTTAATTTTTGCCAGCCGTGCCCCAGTCGTTGTTTGTCAGCAGTAGTTGTCCGGTGGCAACTGCTGCCGAACATCTGTTTTGGGCAAGCACGGGAGGTGCAAACGAAGCCTTGAGCCCGAGCTCATCACACCATGTGCTGGTGCGGAGGAGAAACAAAAAAAAAAAAAAAAACGGTGTTGTGTCGCTCCGATTTTGTCACTTGCCTCACTCAGACCAACGTGCTCCTTTTGCCTTTTGCCCATTCGGAGGATTCCAACCCCCCTTTGATTTGCAGCATAGTGGCAGGCGATGCTGGGTTTGGCCGGACCCGCCTTTGGCCAACTTGGTGGTAGCTCAACCTCAGCCAGCGCCGGACATGCAAACCGGAGCCCAACCCACCTCCTTCAGCACACATAGCCCTGCGGTCAGCAATCGTCTCTTGTTCTTAACTTAGTGCCCTTGGCACTCGATGTTTTGTTTCTTCTTGTATGTTGACAGGTCCGAGGTCGTTGGCAACTTGGCCCTTCTGGTTTATTAGACTCAACGTCCAGTGGCAATATGACAAGCTATAAATAACTAGCAAATTGTTGCTTCCTGTTCGCGGCTTAGCTCGGTTTTAGGAAAAAAAAAGCACCCCAATTCCTACCCTCCACTCCAAGAACCTTTGAACATAAAGGGCGCAAACAAGCAACCGGGTTTTGAACCTGTTGCTTCCCAATCTCTGCCATGGCCCGGGCGTCGCCGCTGGCGGGCCGAATTCGCCTGGGCCTCCGCTGGCAGTCAACCATCCGCCTGGAGAATCCCACGGCACAGCCAGGCCAGGTGAGCGCAAGCCACCATTTTTTGCCTGGAATCGCGTTCCAAGAAGCCAGCTCTAGGAAATCCTAGAGGAAATATGTGTTGTTTCTTTTTGGTGGGTATTTGGACAACTTCCTGATGCCGTCTTCGTGCCTTTGGTTCCAAAGCTTTTTGGTACTCGCCTTCAGGGCTTCAGGGCTTCAGGGCTTCAGGGGTTCAGGGGTTCAGGGGTTCAGGGGTTCAGGGGTTCAGGGGTTCAGGGGTTCAGGGGTTCGTGCGTTATACTAATCATTATACCCTGTGTATGCCGCCCTGTGAAGTTTCCGATTCGTGCTGTTTGTCTTGAGCTGTTTTGCTTGCTGCGCCCATCCGCCTTGCCATCCGCAAAGGGAATGATTTGCATGCAACCTGACGTCCTGTGCACTAGCATGGGCTTTTGCTGCTTCGCGCAAGGTCAACGGCCCTTCGATTTGGGCCCATTTGCCTGCCATCGAGTGCCGCAGGCCACCTGGTCGATTTTGCAGCTTCATGGGGTTTGAACAAGTGCAGCGGCCGGTGTGGCCGGTGTGCCAGTTCCATGTTTTTGAATCTTCTCCTGAGATCCAGGTGCAACTATGGTGGGTAACCAGGTTGTTTCTCGCCATTTCAGACGATCCCAGATCGCCGAGCGGCAGTACGAAACAGCACTCGCCGGCTTGCTTGATTGGCCTAGGGTCAAAGATGCGCGACGCATTTTGCCCGGATGACGACCATGTCATGAGTCTTTCATGTTGCATGGCTGCCTGCCGCAAGAACACAAGCAAATCTAGCCAAGCGGCCTTGACAACAGCAAGAGTCGTTCGGGGGGAGTATGGAAACATCTAGCTCTGTGAGCCGGCGACACCTCATTGGCCCACTTGTAAAGAAACTACAATGAACTGACAGTTTCCCCCAGGCGCTAGCTCCGGACGCGGTGTTGAAATGGTGCACGACTTTTGTTGCCTGACCCCGGAGACTGAACAGGATGCGGAGCCCATGCGATTGGATCGGTGGCTGCTGAAGCACGTCTGTCCCTGGGATGAATAAAGAGGCATCGCTGTCGACCGGGACAGCTCGACGTGCCGAGCCTTCGCTGTTCCAAGTTTAGTGCCGAGATAGGCCAGATTCGGCCAGATCCGTCCTGCTGTTTTGCATTGCTCAGGCCCGATTGTTTTTGTTGTTTTTGTTTGTTCCCTTTTGTGGGGAGGCCTGAGGCGGGCCAAAACTACTTAGGCAAAGCAGCCCCCCCACCTCCCTGAAAACGCGGACACGCTGTTCTGGACTGTTCTGACTGGAAACCGAGGCCAACTGGAGCACCTAGAGGAAGTCAGGCAACCCCCATGTTTGCCCTTTCCCCGGTCACTATGGCAACTTTCACTGCGGCCTTAGCTTTGGCCGTGTTTTTCAAGAAGAAAATGACTCACTTTGCCCTTGGGTTTCCTACGGTTTCCCACGTTCCAATGCCCCGATTTCAACACGTCCCTTGGGGACGGGCCACGGGGGTCTCGCGGCTCGAGGTTCCAATTGGAACGCACGGCAGAAGCTCATAGCCTCCAAGCAAGTTTGGGCGGCTCGGCGCACCACTTGGACAGACCCGGATGTTAAAAGGAGCGGGGGCTCCCTTTTTGTTGCATGGATGTTTTTTTTGGATGTTTCTTGCTGGATGGCTTGTTTGGGTTGGTTTGGTCTTCACACCGCCCGTGGGCGCGGACGCACCGGCACACGCATCCACACATGTGGCAACACCATACAGAGGTAGTTAATTATTTTGACCGTTTCTGGAAGTTTTCAAAATCAGACGATGGGGTTGTTTCCCTTTAACCCACCACTTGGGGGTGACTTTGATCATGTCAAAACAACGAGGCCAGCCATAGTAGCAGTCTTGTGAGTGGGGGCGGGCATTTAAGTCCCAGTGTTTGAAGTTTGCCAAGGATGGAGTTGAGCGGCGTTTCTTTTTCGAAAGGCACAGCAAAAGACATGGTTGTTGTTGCGACACATTTTACATGTTGGCTTATTGTGGTTTAGTGGGAAATCCGCACTTAACTGCTAAAGTTAAAAAGTTTTGCTCCCCTTCAAGAGGGCCCAAAGGGCCTTTCGGTGCATCATTCAGGCTGACAAGCCATGCAGGTCTTGGGTCCCCAGTCCACCCTGGAGCAGCACCGGGGGAGCGTGATGATCCCCCGGCTGCGGCCGGGCTGCAAGGGGAAGACCACCTTGAAGCCCCAGGCGCGGCCGGTCCGTGCTGAAAAAAAAAATCCAGGGGTTTTCTCTCATGCCCAACGGCATGCGCCCAAATGGCGCGAAAGAGACAAACATGTAGAGGTATGCTTGGCACGTTTTTTGTCTTTCTTTCTTTCTTGCTTGCTTGCTTTCTTTCTTTCTTTATTTCTTTTCGCTGTGTTTTTTTCCACCCCCCCTTCAAGGGGAGATGCAAAGAAGCACATGTTTGGCCTAGGGATGCAGTCCTTGGGGTTTTGGGGTATTTCTTTTTCTCATTTCAGCCAAGGGTATCCCAAGTTGAGTTGTTCCCTAGGTTTCCCTCACTTTCGCTTGCCTTTTTCAGGTCACTGGTTGTAGCTTGATTCTATCAAAGACAAATTCTGGCATGGGACGCCAGGTTTGGAACAGCGAAGTCTTTGATTCAGACCCTGGCCTTGGCTCAGAGAGCTTCGTGGTTTGGGGGTTTGAGGCCCAGCCCTGAACCGCCAAACCGCCGGGCTCCAAACCACCAATCAGGGGGAAGCTGAAAAGAGGCACGATTTGGTCTCACCCCGTCAGCCTCTTTGGCGGGTTGTCGGGGACTAGCAAATGAGCATAGGAAGCCAGAAAGGGATTATATATCTCTCTTTTACCAAAAAAGGAGCGCCCCTCTACAAGAACCAGGGTCTTGAAGCTGACCACGGCCCATTGGCCCACCAGCTTGGGGTCCAGAAGCCAACCACGGCCCCTTGGGCACGTCGAGGACTTCGTGTACTTCCCCAAGGTCATGACCCCCGTGCCCAAGCGCCGCGAGCCGGCGCCCAAGGAGCCTCCGGGCTGGCTGCTGCGCCGCAGCCTGGCGCGAGTTGGGGGGCGGGGGAACCTGGGAACGACGTGCTATGAGCAAGCAACCCCTAGGGTTTCTAGGGGGATGTGTGGAGGAGAGTTTTTTTTTTGGGGGGGGACCCCCCACAAATTATGGCTTTCCTTGCACTTTCAGCTGTTGGGTAACAACATAATGCTAGACAACTGTTGGCCCAAGGCGTTGAATGGGGCCACACGTCCAGAAGTCCTGGGCCACCCTGCAAAACGTTTGCTACTGTGGATGGACGAAATCCTGCACCACTTTGAAACCACCGGAAACCATTGAGATGGTGCAGGATTTCGTCCATCCACAGTATTTCTTTGAACTAGGCTCATCGGGCTGGAACAGGGCCGGCTGAAGCCCTGGACTTGGGTCTGACACCAGCTACCTTATGATTTCTGCCGGGGCCACTGCAAAAAGTATCCAACCACGCCTTCGATTTTGCTCCGCAACATGGCTTTCTCCCCTTGTGCGTCATTCGGAGCCATCTAGCCAACGCGCATGTTTCAAGAGTTCTCGTTTTGGGGGGACTTGTTTGAGTTGCATGGTGGTAAGTAGGAGGCAGCACATTTCAAATTGGATAATTAACTTGTTTTTGTGCTGTTTTTGTTTGCTGTTGACGGAAGCAAGCAAGGCAATTCAAAATCTATTCACGGCACCAAAGCATGTAAAAATGAGTGTATGGACTCAGAACCTGATTGAAAGGTAGGAAAAGGAAGAGAGACTAAAGGTAGTCGACCTTGTGACCTTTAGTTTTGCTCGAGGTGGCTGAGGTGTTGATCGCGGCCCCTGGGCCTTACGGGGCTGGGCCTTACTGGCCAGCACCATGTCGCTGTGCACGGGTTTCAGCACCCTCCAGCGAAAGAGCGGGGGAGTCCCTAAGCTGCTTCAAAAGAAACCCAAAGAAACCGCAGATCACTGCAGTCACAGCATCTTGTTGAGCCGTTCCTTTCGCGCGAAACAAGAAACGTGGCGCTTTCAGAATGCACAGCACAACAACGGGACACGGAGAGAGAGAGAGAGAGAGAGAGAGAGAGAGAGAAAAAGAAAAAGAGAGAGAGAGAGAGAGAGAGAAAAAGAGAGAGAGAGAGAGAGAGCGGCAGTCTGTTCGAATTCCAAGCTGGGCAAATCTCAACGTGTGTTGCGCATTTTCGGCTGGAGCAAAGCCAATTTGCTCATCCGAGGGCTGATCTACAAAGACACCGACTTCCTGGCCATTGACAAGCCCATCGGCTGGTCAGTGAACCCGGGCAAGCATGTGGGCGGCGCCCATCTTCAGAAGCTCCTGCCGAGCCTGAAATTTGGCATGGAGGACCGAGCTGGGAAGGGGGTTCGGTTTCCTGTACCAGGGGGCATCCTTCAAATTTGAGCAATACCCCCACCTTTTCCAACAATCATCTTTATGGCAATTTTGGTTGGATCTTTGGACTTGAACTTGGTTTGGGCACAGGGGAATTTTGTGGGGGGTGGCTGGGGGATTGTTTTGCAAACTCCTGTTTGCGGCTAGGCGCCAAGTAGCTGATCAGGGATGCGGATGGTATGTACTGGAAGGGGAGGGTACAAGATTTGCGCCTCGGCCTTTGGCGACAAACAAATGTGCAGATGTGTGTCCAAAGTGAAGGGGCATCAACTTGAGACATCTTTGCTTGACTGCTACTGGGTTGGATCTGTAGACTTTAACTTTTTGTGAAGTCAAGAGGTTTTCCACTACACCTACAAAAAATGATTCACTTTTTGCAGAGGGTTCAACAGCAACCAAGTTTGGGGCGAGGAGGCGCCGAAGTTTGTGCACCGCCTCAGCACGGAGATCAGCGGCGTGCTGCTCTTGGGGCGGCACAAGGCGGCAGTGGCCTATGCCAAGGAGGGGAGCGGAGGGGAGTGGCTGCGGTGGATTCCCCGCACAATTTGTGGTTTCAAGTTGGATTGCTTAGTAGTTGTATGTGTTCAAGCGGAGGCCCATGGATTTGATGGTCCAACAAGAGTGTAGGTCAAGTTTGTGGCTGGGTGTCCCATGGTTTTTGGGATGTAACTCACCTATTGCTTTGATGGTGCCCCAAACGCTGAGGGTCCCTGCCAATACTGTTCCTTTGGTTCTAGGTGCTGCCACGCAAGCACCTTGCATGGCTTGCACCCTCCAACCACAATGCAGTGGCGAGTTCACGCCTTTTTCATGGGGCAGCAGCATGGCTGCCATGGAGCATGAGCTGTAGAAGCAAGTTGGCACGGGAGCAAGGCGTTGCTTTCACCAATGCGGCATAAGAAGCATGTTCAGCACCGCAGTCCATCACACACTTTTCACGTGGGCATCTTCACTTTCATTTATTCCAGGGCCGTGGTTCGGGACACCTCACCAGCCACTGCGGGTCATCGATCGTCTCGCAAGCGAGGACATGATCGCGCAGCGCGCCTTCTGGCAGCGAGAATTGTGGGCGCTGGTGTGCGGCCGAACGCCCAAATCTGGCCAGGTGTCCATGCCGACGCTTGGCGCAGTGGCTGGCGGTCGGTCGGCGGGGTTGGGCAAGACTGGCCGCAACAACCAGGGCCTGGCGGGTTCACATCAAGGTCACCTGCCAGATTCCACATGCTCTTCACATGTTCGACAGCCCGACGGGTTGACAGACAAAAGCCTATTTCGAGAAGCCCCTGAACCGCTAAAGCACCAAAGCTATTGCGCGAGTCAGCGTGTTGGCACCGGAGAAGTCAGATGGATGTAGATGAACTTAGCCGCGGTGGTGCATAGTCCTTCCCAGGGATCTCAACCGCTGCGTTTGTGCACGCGCATTTGCCAGCACCTACCTGAAGCAAAAGAGAGCGCACGGCCAGTGCGTGGAGGCAGGTGGATCAAAGTACATTCTTGCAAGAAGATGGAATGCAGAAGTTGTTGTAGTTTTACCTTGAATCAGGCCACATCAGGCTGGTGGGCTGCCTACTCAAATTCCATGCTGTGTGTGTGGGATTTGCCAACTTTGGATGGAATTGGGAGCCAGTGCGATCCCCACAGCGATCTTCATGCGAAAGAGGCTTGAAGCAAAACCGCCAAAGTTTCCGTTGTGAACCGCTGGCAGCTGGTCGCGCAGGGGCTATGCTTTGAGACGAGAGGCGTCTACTAGGTCATCCTTTTTTGGGGGAGGTTCTCCTACTATTAAATAGGCTACAGAAAAAATGCAGTGGGTACCCTTATTCTAACCTCTCTACTGGAGGACCTAGGCCAGGCTGTTCTGATCATTTTGAGGCTGTCCCTGGAGCGCCACGCCAAGAAGCACGTGGCAAAGCCCATGCGCGAGGACGACGGGGGCTTGCCCGCTTTGACGGAGTACAGCAACATCCGCTACTCCCCGCTGGCGGGGGGCTTGACCCTTTTATCCATGAATCCCTACAGCAGCTCGGCTGAATTCCGGGCGGTGCTTGCCTCGCGAAAGCCAGCTTCCTAACTGGAGCCCCACTTGTCTTTGGCAAGTGATGGGGCCTGTGGCCCCCACAATGCCGCAATGTATCTCATTTTTTTGCCGCTGACTGCGGTTCAGGAAATTCGGTTTTCAACATCATCTTTCCTTGACGGGCACCTCCGAATTGCGAACCCCACACTGATTGCACCGAGGATCCAAGGTCTGGGTGAGGTTGGTGAGCGTCATTTACACAAGCAACGATTGTTTTGCTCTTACTCAGTTTCTTTTCTTCTTGATTGCCACTACGCAAGCCACGGCCACGCAAGCCTGCATTTAGCTTTCTGTTCCGCAACCCTCTTACTATGGACCATGGCCGGTGTGATGTGGATCCAAACTGCGAAGTGTCAGTCACCTAAGACGCTCTGTGGCGCGCGCGCAGTCCAGCCCAAGACGCGCCAGAGGTAGCCCCTCAGTAGCTTTAGCCTCGGAAAGTTTGGATCGCCTTTTGTAGTATTGCTTTGCTTGGGCAACATTGCTTCTAGCGCCGTGCTACAGTTTCTCCCTGCGCAAATCTAAGGAAACTATTTTGCAGTTGTCGCCAGTTGCTGCTTGCTTTTCTACGTCGGTCATAGTTTACAGTGCAAGCACGGTGGAAGAATCAGATGCAGCCTTGCATGGCAGAAGGAACATCAGTGGAATAGAGAAGCAAGCAGCAACTGGCGACAGCGAGCTCGGTGATGACTGACCCTCCGCGCCTGGGGTCCAGAGCACACCCATCATAGTCAATAGTGGAAGTACTGTGGAACAACAACTAAATGCAGTTTTGGAGGGTCGAAAAAACATCAGTGAAACCGAGAAACAATGTTAACACCCACTTAGGTGTTTGCAGCAAACACGCCCAACGAGACGCGTACCGAATCTTCAAGCCTTAGCTTCTGACTGCGAGGTGGCCGGTACCACCAGACGCGGGCGCATTGCGCCTTCGGCCTGCGAGCGCCGATCGTGGGAGATCCCGTCTACTACGATCTTTCCAACCACCTCTCTGAATCAGAGGACTTCAAGCACAGGCGCGGCATCCCTGAAGTCTGAAGGAACGCAATTCTTGGTAGGGTCCTTGTCCAAGCGCTTTCTTGCCACTCCCTTGTTCCGAGAAACCTCCCTGCTTTTGCTTGGAGAAGCCTTCCCCATCAGATGAAACCATTCAATTCTTCAGTTGTTTGTTCATTCGTATTTTGCAATTACCCCGCTAGAATCTAATTGGCCATCTTCCTTTTGGCTTCCTTCTCGCCAAACCGGCCAACGTTACGCCAAGTTTCAAATAGTTCATTGCCAGACTTCACTGGCCTGTTTTCCCTTTGGTCGTTTCGGGCCTCCTTGAATTTCCCTTTGAACCTCCTCCATTTTCCCTTGGAACCAGCAAGCAACCATCCAAAAAAGCAGCAACTTTTGGCCTGAAGCTTTCAACCCTCGCGCGACTCGGAGCGACGAGCCACAAGCCGGCAGGTACCACTCCACGGAGTCGCGCCAGGAGCGCCAGACGCTGCTGGGCGCGCAGCGCCGCGGCTCAGCTGCAAGAGCTTTTCCGGCAGTTTTTCTGGACGTAGCGGCTGGGGCGGAGGAAACCTTAAGACAAACAAATCAAACAAAGCATTGGATTTCAGTTTCCACGCAAATCAGGGCAAATCCTATGTGACCAGTGCCTTTTGGGAACAGTAGCGATGTGTTTGCTGTCGCCTGGGATCAGCCAAGGGTTCGCGGATGATCTCGGACGCGACCAGCCGCGATTTCAAGGTCATACTCACATGATACCAACAAAGTTCAAAATGCCAAAGCATAGCTTGTAACAGCTGTGCAGTATATTTCAGATGTTTACTTGCGAATTAGGTGTGCCAGCTGCGCCCCTCACAAGAAAAACCCCTATTTCGGTTGAACATGCCGGATTGCGGAGAGCATTGGTCCTTCCTCAAGCGTCTGGCTGACATTTCGCACTCAGCGCGTCCACCGCTTGGTGAAGAGTTTTGCTTTACTTTGCATCTGTTGATGGTAGGATGGAAGCAGTGAATCCATGGCGCCTTGCTGAGCATCGGTAGCTTCCCTCAGGCCACTTGGGACTGAATGGGACAAATCTGCTGGGAGTGGTTTTCCCGTTGCCTTCTGTGGCTTTGATGTCGCTCCGCCCCACTTGCCGAGGCCTCCACCTGCACAGCCGGCAGCTAACCCTTAAGACCTTCGCAGGGAAAGAGATCACCGTCACCGCGCCGGGAGCCCAGACCTGTGGGTTTGTTGGTCCTTTTTCCCCGCAGGTTTGGGCTTGTTGGAGATTAAGTGGTATGTGATCCTCATCACCTGGTGCGGCCAGCTAGTCTTTTGCGTTTGTCACATTGGGGTTGGTTGATTTTGTGGTGCTTTGCGCAGATATCCGTGCAATAAATGGTGACAAGCGCGTTTGAGGGAGGTGGCTCTGCCACAGGGAACGGCAGACCGGTGGATGTTGGACAGCAATCGCAGGAGCCAGCGGGTCTGTCGTCAGCATGTGGACAGTGCGTTCAAAGGATAGGTGCCGCCGGGTAAGGCGTGAGACGCTTCCCGGGCTTGCCCCCAAAAGCTGCAGGATCGGTGACGCCGTGGTGCCTGGAAACGCGAACATGGGGCCGGTAGTTTCTAGCGTGTTGTTTACAGTCAATTTGGTAGAGTTTGTGTTTGCAATTCGTGCCGAAGCTTGAGGCGTTTAGAACAAAGGTATTGAACATGCATGTGTTGGATTGTCATGTTTCATGTTGTGCCATTGCGTTGGCACACATCTTGGTTGCATGTGCATTGTGAACGGATTGTAGGGGCTGCATTTGCTTGCAGTTCGGAAGGTGGCAAAGGCTTGCTCGCAGGCAGCCAGGCGGCTGCTGACACACGAGAGTTATCCAGACATTGTCGCCCAGACCACTTCAGTGGAAAGTCCCAGTCCCAACAGATTTGCCTTAAAGTCAAACAGGTATTTTATATTACCCTTTGAACAACCCAGTTCTGTAATGCGAGGCCGGTGCCACAGCACATGGCGCGGTCCTTCCAGGCGCTGGGCTGGCAGGATTGGCTCAGGCGCGGGCGCGAGTGACCATCGGCTGGGTTTTCCGACTGATTCGTTTGTTTTAGATGTTTGTTTTAGACGTACAAGGTTTGCTCAACTCGGAAAAAAAAGGGTCGATGGTTGAATCACTTTGGGATACCTGGGGCCCGGGCTCGAGTAACGGAGCTTCGCCTTGAGCCGTCCGTCCAGGAGCGGAGAACAGAGCTGAGGTTACCTCAATTCCTTGGCGTCGTGAGTCGGTTCGCTAGGCGCATTCAAACAGTTGCAACATGCCAGTGGTCAGTGTGGAGCATCTTTTTCACAGAACAAGTGGCTATACCAAAGTTCCAGGGAGCCAACAGGCTGACTACCAGGTGTCAACAGCGCGGCGGAGTGCCGCCCTTCCGTTTTTCCCTTCGGTCCAACCCCCCCCCCCGGCATCCCCCGGCGCTGGCGACCCCAGGCGCGCGGAGGGCCGCGCACAGCGGCTGGCGCCCTGGCGCGCGGAGGAGGACAAGCACCTCATGGAGGCCTTGGCGCAGGCGCTGGGGTTCAGGTACCTCCCTTTTTCCTCCATTTCTAGGTCCCCCAGCTAGGTGCCCTTTTACCGTTTCTTTCTTGGTTGGGAGGGTTCCCCTACTTACATGGACTACAGAAAAAAAGGGTACCCTTATTCTAACGTCTCTACTGGAGGACCTAGATTTGCGGAAAGACAATTTTTATGTTTTCCCCTATTGGTTTTCAACGGAACCTGTCACTACTGGACATATAATTTTAGTTGTTTTTCTTTTTTCAGGAGACTCAAGCAAATGGAGGTTGTTTTTTTTGTCTAGAATCACGTCCATTTGCTTAATGTTGGGAAGACCGGGGGTACCTCCGTTATACCTAGCTGGGAAGTCGACTGGAGGGATCCAACAGCTTCCATTTGCTGAAACGAATTAGCACTACTGGAAAACACGTATCTTTTCTTGGGGGGTTCAGCAACTCGAAGATAATGGAAGTAGGGAGCCAAGATTTTTGCAAGAGCCAGCGACAGGCAACTACGATGACCCTTGAGTCAACGGTAGAGAGTAAAAAAATGCAGATATCGGCAACATTCCGCATTCGACGATCCGCTGCCGCTTTCAACCGGCCGCTCTTGGGTCGGCTGCGGTCAAATGTGCCACAAAGATGGGTGCGGGAGATGGTTGGATCTTTCGTTGGTTTGCAAACTGGGATCCGCTTGGGGCGGGGCCGGCTGGGCTTATCCAAAGAAACAAAGAAACTAGGTTTGTCCCCTCCCCCCCTTGACCTACAACTGGGCGCATGGGACATGTGTTGAACTTAGCTCAGGTGGCCGCTGGGGTCACCTCCCACCCGCAGCCATGGGACCGAATGAACTGTTGCATGCAACTGATCATCTATGAGGTCTAATCTTTTCAGTAGACCTACCAGAGGCCTAGCAAGGGGAAAAGCGGCGGGAGGTCCAACGCGGGAGGATTCGTTCCTTCGTTCGCTTGGCCAGGCAGCATGGGCAGAGCTGCCTTTGCTCATTGTACATGCCAGTTGTTTGACCTATCACGAGGGGGTCCAACAGCGGTCCAACCCCACTGATTCAAAACCACCAACAAAGGCTTGCCTCGCACCAGCCTTGTCAGAGTGCCAAAGAGTCAGGGCAGAGCCACCTGAATTTTCCCCCCAGTTTGCTCAAGCCGACTTCTGTCAGGTGCGAAAAGAGACCTCACCCCATGCGGGCGAAGAAGCTGACGAAGCTGACGTTCTTGAAGACGTTGAGGAAGATGAGCTTGAAGAGGCCAAGCCGCTAAAGGGATCGCAATTTGGAAAATCGCTTTCTGCCGGTCTTGTCAAAACAGAGCCTTGAAGTGGGACCGAGGACATCTGCAAAATGCTCAGTGACCGCCAGCTTGCGAGCAATCTAACGTTCAACTAGAAAGAGCGGCAACAATGAGTTGGGGTAGTTGCATCCTGTTCAACACAGGGCCTCCCGGAAAAGGAACACCAACAAAGCGAGACCAGATGAGGGAGAAGCAGTGAATATATGTGGGTGTGGCTTTTTTTAAGTTCCCCCCAACTGTTGGTTTTCCTTCAGATTCTCTTTCAACACCACCCAACCAAGGGTACCCTCATGAAAAGACCATATGTGGCATACCCGGCAGCGTATGGGACCGTGCTGGCTTGACTGTACGTCAGCTCGCGGAATCAGGGACAATGGGGATTCGTAAAGCAGGCCCCACTAGTTTGATACCCCTTTATGCATATATGCGCATCTGAATATAGATAAACTCGTGTTGGTTTAAAATACCGATTCGTTTATATATATATATATATGTGTGTGTGTGTGTGAGTCTCAGCACATTTATATATGTACATATATATATATATATATATATTGATATATATATATATATATATAATATACATATAGAGAGAGAGTGTATATATATATATACACATATCAAATGCCTTATCTTGTTTCCCCCCTCATGGGCGGCTCAGATTGTGGCCATAGGAGCCGGAGGAGTCGGATGAACTGGAGGAGCCGGATCATTTCCAGGCCGGAGAGGGGCGCCAACAGCGCGCTGGCGTTGCGAGGTGGGGGGTCGGCTCAGCACTTCATTGCTGCCAGGGTGCAGCAAAAAAAAAAGCTGAAAAAAGGAAAACACCCTCAAAGGTGGAGGGGTCGGAGGTGCACCGGGATCCGGATAAAAAAAATGACCCGGTGAGGATGTCTTTGAGCTGGAGCGCGGCGGTCGCCGTGGGCGAAGGCGGGCCGGGGGACTGGGCGCAGAGGACCGATGAGTTGACAAACATGGATGCTGACGGGGAAGACGGGGGCGGGTCCTGACTTCCTAAAGTGACGGATTTTGTGGCTGCCCAAACTGACCCGACCCCCCTCGGGTGTGTTCCAGGTTTGGACAGGAGTGGGCAGTGACATCAGGTTGCCCAACGTTTCGCTAATCAGCCAAGTAGCCACTCGCAGGTCCAAGCGGCGGTGAGGTGAGGATCTGGTTTGTACATAGCTTTCCGGCGCAGCTGCAAGGCGCTTTGCGCAGGAGTGCGAGAGGAGTCCTCCGATTCCAACGAAAAGTGCGGGGAGCTTTGACCAGCTGGCGTGACTCAAGCGTAGGGCCTTGAATTGTTGGTAGAAGACATATGGCTGCAACACATCGTGACATCACCTGGGGTAACCGGATTATAAGCGTGATGGTTCCTGTAGCTGGCATGCCTCATTTCCTGTTTGCCTTGCCTTGCCTTACTTACCTCCTTGCTTTGCCTTGCTTGCCCTTGCGTTGCCTTGACTTGCCCGCGCTGCCTTGCCTTGCATGCTGGCTTTGCTTTGTTTGCCTTGTATTGCTTTGCTTGCCTTTAAAGCTCTGCAGCCTATCAAATCAGAGTCTAAGATAGTGGGCCAATAATCGCAACGCCACTGTCCTGCGGCGGGTTGCAGGAGCAGGCGTCTTGTTTTGCATCTGAGTTAGCTTCAAGGCGATTGACCAGGCAAGCGTGACACGGGCTGGATTGAATCTCGTGGTGTCGCAGAGTGCCAGCTGCCTGCATGGCTCAAACCGGAGTTTTCGCACATTCCACGTAAAAAGCCTCCAAGTCTCCGCTTCGGGAGCGTCATTAGCTTTGTTGGGTACTTTGGGCATCGCACCCGTGTGGGACCACGGACTTCCCTTGGTCTTGTGTGCAAACCCGCTGATTCTTGGCTTCCCACGCGAAAATGAGAAGACAACTCAAACAGACCTGTCGCAGCTTTGGTGCTTCCTGAATTTGAGGAGAAAGCAGGATTAAACGCCGTTGGTTGGGGGGGCTCCCCCTGCGTTTAGACGCCGCCCTTGCGAGCTTCATGCTCCTTTCCGGCCGCCCGGGCCTGCCAGTGCCGGTTGTGCCATCATGCCGGCGCCCGTCCCAGCGGGAAGCAGCGGCTCCATTTGGAGGCGGCCATGTGGCTGCGTGTCAACGGCAGGTACCACGAAAGGGACCCTTGCTGCATTGCGCATATGCTAAGTTACTAGCGTGTTCGTGCTAGCATTGGCATCACGGGTTTGGAACAGAAGGTCCCGGGATTTTCATTTCGTGTTGGTGTGTGTTTTGAGATTCCACCGGGATTAATGGATTCTTTTGGCCCTCGGCTTCAGCGGAGGCAGCCGCATCCTGCCGATCCCCGCCGTGTCTGCCGGCGTGTCCGCCGCGGCGCGGCGCTTGGAGCGGCGGCGCCGGGCGCTGCCCGAGGGCTTGGCGCGGCTGGAGGCGGCGGCGGACTGCTCGTGGCTCCGAGAGCTCCAGGCAGAGGGGGCGGAGGAGGCGGAGGAGGCGGAGGACAACCGGCAGCAGCTGGGCCTGGACTCGGGGCAGATGTTTCTCTCGTTTTCTTGGTTGATGTTTTTTTTTTGGGGGGGGTGCGTTGGGCATATGCGTTGCTAGCAATTCTTGCAAAAGGATTGTTGTTGCTTTTGTCGGGCGGAGGGTAGATGGCGGTCGCGGTTTTGAGTGGCGCATGTCGTGTCAAGCGGAGGCTTTTGCGCTTTGTGTTGCGGTTGGCGACAGTGTATTGGAGGGCGCATTTTGGAGCTTATGGGATGTGTTGCTTAGACGCTAGCCAGGAGTTTCCATCATTCACACGGGTCGCTCAAGGCGAAATGCCTATCAGCCAGCGAAATGGAAGCCCGCGCATTTGCCAGGTGATGTGAAAAACACAAGGAAGGAATGAAATCCCTGAACCCTTACTCCGTGGCTTGAGACTTTTGCCAGCTCGCCCAACTTAGGAAGCGCCTCGTCTCCTCAGGCTGGAGGGGACGCCGAGAAACCGGGAGTGGGTACGCTTAACTTCCTAAACTGGAGGAGGTGTGCTTTGTTGGCTTAGTCTGGTTGAAAGCGCTGCAGGCAATGTAGTCAGACAGTGTCGGAACAGAGCGGTGTCCTGCTTGCTAGCTATTCGCATTGAGTTTGGTGCTTGGCTGATTCCGGAAAATTAGATCTTCCTGTCGCCGTGGCTTTGTTAGACAGGAGCGAGGCCAGGGTCATGGTGTTGTTTGCAAGAGGGCTGGCATACACAATGTCCAGTACTGTATTTGTTTGGGTCTTGGCTTCCCTGGCTTTAGTCTCAGGCCACTATGTCGAGGTGCGCCCTACACCCCTTCATGACACATGCCTTGCGTCTCGGCACACGCTGGCTTAGATGTCGTGGTTTGTGGCAGGAGCGTGCGAATGGGAGGGGCAGGGAGGAGGGAGGGAGGAGGGAGGGAGAGAAGGAGACAGAGCGAGAGAGAGTGAGCTCCCTGAAAAGGAAAATCATCAAAATAACGTGTGCGGTTAGTCCGTTGTCCCTAGACTAATTTGGGAAAGTGAGTTCCCCTCGGAAAAATGGGCCCGCTAGACGTACATAAATAAAGGGGGTGATGACGTGACCCTGGGTATTGATGAGAATGGGCCAAACACTCTCGGAGGGGATGAGTTTCAAAGGGCTCTCTCTTGCGGGGCCCGCCCAGACCGCTCTTGGACTGTAGAAGTGTTTAGCGCACGTTTTTCTTTTCTTTTTTTTCTTTTCTTTTTTTTTAAATTATAACCACTATGACACGACGACAACAAATTTGGCAGCTTTTGCGGAATCTGCTACAGTCCTGCTGAAAAAGGGGGCGTGTACGCCTACGTCTTGGTGGCTTCTAAACCTGGACAATACATACAAAAATGTATACATTTACCTTTACATATACATATACAAATACAGTTGCATATACATATACATATATACGTACATACATGCATGCATACATACATACATACATACATACATACATACATACATACATACATACATACATATACACATATATATACATATATATACATATACATATACATATACACATATATATATACATATACATACATACATACATACATACATACATACATACATACATACATACATACACATATACATATACATACACATACACATACACATACACATACACATACATACACATATACATATATATATATATATATACATATTCATATACATATACATATACGTATGCATATACATATACACATACATACATACAAACATACATACAAACATGCATACATACATACATACATACATACATACATACATACATACATACACATGTACATACACATATACATATACATATACATACACATACACATACACGTACACGTACACGTACACATACACATACATACATACATACATAAATACATACATACATACATACATACCTACCTACCTACCTACCTACATACATACATACATACATACATACATACATACATACATACACATATACATATACATCTACATATACATATACATATACATACACATACACATAAACATACACATACATGCATACATGCATACATACATGCATACACGTATATACAAATATGTATATATATACATATCTCTCTTTCTCTCACCCATGGGTTCCTTGGGAGTTGTTGATTTGGGACTGAGTGCTGTGTGTTTGGTTGTTGTTGTTTCTTCCCTTTTTGGCCTTTGGCTTCTTGGAGTGTGAGCCTTTTTGGCTTCTTGGCTTGTTGGTTTCTCGTCTTTTGGCTTTTGGCTTTACATTTTTGCGGCTTTCCGCATCCTCAGCATCACCAGTAACACCCCAGCATCACCGGCTTTTGGCTTTCTGGATTTTTTTGTTGGTGGCTTATTGCCTCCCAGGTTTCTGTAGATGGGGCCCCAACCCCCCCGCTTCGTTATAGGGCTGTTGTTTGGTCCTGAACCAACCCCAATGAATCCACGCCCACCCCTAAAACCCACGTTTTGGCACAAAACCACCCGATCCACCTAAACCACCACTAAACCCACCCTAGACCGCCACTTAAAACTAGAACCAATCTTCAAACAAAACCGCCAACCCGAAAGAAACCCTAAAAATACCTTAAACCAACAAGACTCCCTAAAAAGACTTCTAAACAAACCCACTCTAAACCAGTAATAGACTCTCCTTAAACCAACTCTAAACCAACCCTGAACCCCTAACCACCCTAAGCCAATCCTTAAACCCACCATAACCCCACCTAAGTCCGCACTAAACAAGCCGTAAACCACCCCCCCTTAAGCAAACCCTATACCAACCCTAAACCCACCCTAACCAACCCCAAGAAGCCCACCATAAACCAGCACTGAACCATCCCAGTACCTAAAGCGCAGCCGCCCCCAAACTTTCCCTAAACAGGCCTGGAACCCACCCTGAACCAACACTAGCCAACCTTGAACCCACCCTAAGCCGAGCCTAACAAAGCCAACTCGTGATGCTGATGATGTTGAAAAGGATGCCGCCGAGTTAGAACTATGCCGGGGATGTTGGCAGCGCTGGTGCCAAACGAGTCAAACCAAGCAGAACCAAGGGAGATCGCACCTGCCAGCTCCAAGACAGAAAAACCGGCAAAAACTCCTGAAGCAAAACGGGAACAACTCCCAGAACAAATCCAGACCCATTTGGGACGTATCCAAAGCACTCCGCATGGGCTGGAAGCCGCATGCCCCCCCCTCTCCGCATGGCCCAGGTGGGCTTCAGCGCGGACATGGCGCAGCAGCTGGGCCTCGGCCAGGCCGACTGCGGCTCCTCGGAGTTCCTCCGCTTCATGCGGGGCCCTCGGGCGGGAACTAGCGAGCGACTCCGCGATCGGCGCGGCAACGGAACCTTCCCCCCTTCTGACCCGGTTTGAAGAGACTGAGATCCCCCCCTTCCCGGGCTTGAAGGGAGATCCACCGGTGGTTGAAGCAAAAGTGGCTTGAAGATGGTTTGACAAGGGGCGTGAAGCCCTGGGAATTGGCAGCATTGCATAGCAGGCCTGCGTTTTCAGAGCTCAAGTGACCCAGATCTCCAGTGCCCTGCTTCAGCCCTCTTCCTTTTGGGTGTGGGAAGACTACTTTCGCTTCGACTGGGACTGGCCACTGACATGGTCGGAAACTGGGTGGCTGAGGAAGGCCCTTAATGGGATCCGTTTGGGCTATGCAGGTGAACAACTTGGGAGGCCCAAAGGCAACCAACAGAGAGATCATTCTTTCAGACCCCTTGTGTTTGACACCGGCTTGAGTTCTGCAAGTCGGCAAGCAAAAGAAAGCATGTCTTCCCAGTTGTTCAGTGGCGCCCGTTTCCATGTCTTTAGTTTGTTACGTTTCCCCCCAAAAAAAACAACACGTTTCCCAAAAACGTTTCCCAAAGAAAACGCACATGCCCAGCCCCCAAGAAAGAATTGGTTTCCCCCGTTTCATCTGGCGTGGTTGGGCTGCAAAGACGAGGTCTGGGCACATGGAGGTCCTGCCAAAGATGCAGAGCTGGCGGCGTGGCATATTGCACACGTCGCCAAACAATTGGCCGGGCGTGGTCAGAACTGAAGGTCCTGGGATGGTACTGGAGGCTCGCCACTCCGAGGGGCCCTTCATTTTGTCGATTTCTGTTCCCATCAAGGGATCCGGAGCTTGTTTAGTTTCCTAGAGCTGGGTTTTACCGTTTACCTCTACCTTCCCATCAAGGTCACAGTGACTCGTTGTGTCGCTCGATGCTGGCTGCATCTCTGGTGGCACGGCCCAAAGTTGTGCCAGGCCTTGTGCTGCAAAAGGCAACCACTGCTAAGGTGTACGCCCTACACCCTGTCCGTGGCCGGCAATGAGATCAGTACGGGGAACATGCACCTGGGCTGAGATGTTTTGTTTGGGCTGGTTGAGGGGAGCTTAGTAACTAGCTTGCAAATGCGAGTATGAAGGGCCGGATGGCTACTAACTGCGTAAGTGGCCAATCAGGCACCCAACATAGCCAGGTAGGAGCCTTCCCCTTGGCCAATTTGCAGGTACGGCGATGGGCGCGCCATCTCCGTCGGGGAGGTCCTTTCGGACTCGGAGCGATGGGAGCTGCAGCTGAAGGGCGCCGGGTGCACGCCCTTTTGCCGCTCAGCTTAGATCTCGGCTTGCTCCGTTGAACATATGATATATCTTAAGGTTGGCTAAACATGAAACAGAATCTAATATGCTTTGTGTACAGGGTTTGGCCAATAGATGGGTAGCATGTTTAATACCCTTCCTCCCTCACAACAGCAGCGGAGGCTCAACGCATCACCCCACCACCAGCGAATACACATTCAAAGCAACAACCCTTAGAAGATTGGAAGATTAGCCCCCCCCCCCCCCCCCCCCCCCCACAGCCCGAAGGCGGTGGCGCGGACGGGCGGGCAGTGCTGCGGTCCAGCCTCCGGGAGTTCCTAGCCTCCGAGGCCGAAACCAACGGGGCGGGCCTTGCCCCGGGTGTTTGGGGCGCTTCTTTTCGCCTTCTCGTTGCCAAGGATAGCCCAACCCGATCAGGGGTGAATTCTACCACTCAGGACTTATGAGTCTGTTCCGTTAAACACCCGAACGGGTACCGTTACAACTTGCTAACTTGGCCATTTGTTCACGGTAAAGCCCAGCAGCAGAGGTTGCGGTCAAAGACATCTCCGTTTGCAATGCATGTTTCCACTCAGAATGCAGGTGGTCAAGCCACCACTGCCCCTGCATCGCAACAAAGCACAAGTGCCCCTGAAGATGCTTGAGCCGGTTCCGAGTCGCTTGCATGGCGGAAGGGCGTGGGATGTGATGAAGTTCTCATCAGAGACACCGAGCTCGATTCAAATGAATCGTGGGTTTGTTCGCGAAATCCGTGAGGGCTGCGATGGGTACGGTGGGCGGTGAGCAACTCTCCAATCCTGCGCATGCATTATTTTCTTATGATCGAGTTTCCGTTTTCAGATGGGCATCAAGTTGAGGTACCACACCAAACATATTCAGTTTCATGCTTTGCTTGGCGTATTTGAAAAACGTTTATTGGTTTTGCACATTTGACAGCATGTCGTTGTCTAAACACAGGTACGGATGGGCTGTGACCAGTGTGGCCTCTTCTCCTAGGAACCCGTTTGGGCAGAAGGCGCTGGGACCCTACGCCAAACGATAACCTAACAGATTTTGGGTGTTTGGTTTGGGGAGTAGGCCCAGTTTCCAAAATGACACAGGACCATCCAAATGCAGAAGAGGCAATTTGATCACGCTTGCACAAAAACCACCCGAGGCCATGCACAATTTGGGGGTCCCGACCACCAGAGCCTTGTGCCTGGTCACCTCGCGCTCAGACTCCGCGCTGCGAGCACCTGGCTCAAATGGATCGAACTTCCCAGAGAAAAACGAGCTCACAATGGCCCTTCATGGGTTCGGTTGGTTCCTAATTTCGGGCTCCGGAATTCTTGGACAGTTGTTTTTCTTCTTCGGAGGCTTACAACGATTGCATTATTGCTGCGGTTGCAAGCCAGCTTGTCGGAAGACTTGGTGCTCAATTCGCACTTTCAATGGTTTCGTAGGAGAATTCCAAGTGGGTCATTGTTCAATATCAAATGCTTCCTGTGCCGTGGTTAACACCTGGAAGATCACACCTCGCAGGGTGTTGGTGTTCAACCTCGGGCCCAATGGAGGTTTTGTTTCGTTGGGTCCCTGATTTCGGGTCATGAATAATGCAAATTTACCCAGGTCCCTTGTAGTTGAGTCTGTTTGTTTGATGGCCATGCCTACTTGAGCAGAGATTCTCAGGCGCGCCATCAGACTTGGCAGGGACGGTCACCGGCATGCCGCGGGTTTGTCCATGGGCTTTGCATAGAGGATCCACCCCCTTGCACTTCAACAATCTCACCCAGCCAGTGGGCGCACTTTACACGTTTTTGCCTTGGTGGCTCTCCCTTTTATTTTAGTGGTGGCCCAAAAAGGGTGCACTTGTTTGTTTTTTTTGGGCTGGTCACTGGCCAAGTGAATAATTCATTAATTCATGGCCACTGCCTCCAGGCAGCTCAGATGTGCCTTGGTTGTGAGACCAAGCCGCTCCATGCCAATAGGGATGCTTTTCAGCCCTTGGATCAGGACAGTCATCGCAATTGAACTCATCTCACTTGATGCGATCATGCTTTTACATGTTGAGCTAGCAGAGATGGCCATTCACTCTTTTGGGAGTTGAAGATCAGAACTGTGGATTCAACCCCCACCGGTTCCATCCGTCTCAGCCCATCCAGCCACAAGTCCATCCGTCTCAGCCCATCCAGCCAGCTGCCAGCTCAGCCAAGGAGTGGCTGGGGGAGAAGCTCTATGAGCCATGCGCCATCACGTGTCGGGTCTCAAGTCGCTTGGCCGATCCCTTGGGATGGGCGGCGGATTTGAGTTCTGGTCTCCCGAGGGATGCCTATGAGGGGTCATGGGTTGCTGGAGTCTGCTGGAGGTCTGGGTATGCTGGAGGTAGCGTGGCTCTGTGTTTATGAGGGTATAGCTGGTGCATGCAGCAAAACGAAGTTGCCGAACCCCACCAGTGTAACAAGGCACGGGCCAAGCGGATTGGACATCCAAGAAGTAGCAAACCAGAGTATCTAAATCCCACGCACCTTGCGGAAAAAACAAAATCCAGATGACGTTCTGAGTTCCCCACCCTTCTTTGGATGTGTTTTTGTTTATGTTCACACACACACATATATATATATATATGTATTGATTCGGGGTTTAGTAATTCGGGGCCCAGAAAAAGCGACACAGGCGTTGCGCACCTCACTCCCCATGGCCACAGGATCCTTCCTGAGAGTGGGCCACCTCGAGCTCTTTGCGCGGAGGTGCAGAGACTGGGGGAGCCAAAGCGCGCGGAGGGCCTCTTGGCGTCGCCAAGCCCAACTTTTGAGACTGCCGTTGGTTTGGAGACCAAAACCTTTGGTATCTTTGAGGCTACCTAACTTTGAGGCTACCTAACCTTGAGGCTACCTTTGGTATCTTTGAGGCTAACTTTGAGGCTACCTTTGGTATCCTTGAGGTTATTGAGAGGCGTCAACCAAACTATGCACAGCAACCTACTTGTCAACTTCCATTTGCTTAAGAATATGTGTTATTTTCCTTGGTGGTTTTAAATCAAATGCACTTATCACTACGTAGTACTGGAAATATCTTTTTTTCCAGGGGTTTTAAGCAAATGGAAGTCAAAGAGCCACTCTGTTGATGCCAAGGAGTTGGAGCAGTTGCTGCGCCACGCCATCGCGCGGGAGTTCCCGGAGTGCGTGCATGAGGCCCCCTCACATCCGCAGAGTGTGGTGCCCGTGTGGCTGGTGCGCAATTGGACGGATATCTCGGCAGTGGGGCGGTTTTGGACCCGCTAAAAAACTAAATCTAATGCCTGGCTCCGGGGCGAGGCCACCCGGGCGTTCTTTGACCCACAATATATTGTCTGGAGTCTGGGGGTTACGATCTTGCAGCTGTTCCGCACGGCTCTCAGTTGGTTTCCACAAATTGACCCCCAACACTTGAAACACATAGTACAAAGCTATTCTCCCTCAGACTAACATGGAAGCTCCTAGAAGGCCTCTGTAAATGGAACCAAGTCTTCCATTTCGGGGTTTTGGAGGCTTCCATGTTGGCCTTGGGGAGGGGAGGGCAACTGGATATATAAGAATCTGCTATTTGCATTATCAATGATCAATTGTATATAAATATGTATATATATATATATGCACTTCAGAATGTTTTTTTCCCCTGTACCCTGTTTTCCTTGGCTGTTGGCTGCATATAGCGAGGACCTGCCAAGATCCGCGGGCCAAATGCTGCGGCCCATGGCCCTGGGCATGGCGAAGCTGGCGGCGGAGTGGTGGCGCGTGGGCTTTTGCCAGGCAAGCTTCAGCCCCGGGCGCGAGAGAGCTCCATGCTTCAGCGTTGCCACGTGTTTAGGCTTGTTAAGTTTTTAGGTTGGTTGGTTCTGTTCGCTGTTATGTTTGTGGCAGTGATGCACATCTTCGCTCGTCTCCTCTTGACACTGAAATCCTGACACACACACACGCACACGCACACACAGAACGAATGGAAGACAAACTACATAAGGGATGGCACCGTCTTGCCAAGCCCATATGTTGAAGACATCATCAACGCCACACGCCAAAGCTACACACACCTCTGTTTGGGGGATCCCGTTTTGGCCATGATTTTAGAGTCTATTTAGAGGATGGGCGCAACGGAGGAGTCTGGGACGATTCGCCGCGGGGCATTACGCCTGCTGCCGAGAAAGTGAGAGAGAGAAAAAAAGAAAAAAAAACAGAAAGAGAGAGAGATAGCGAGCCCTTCATATTTCTAAAGCTACGTTAGGGTTTCAGGGGGCCCCAACAACCCCAGCCCCAGCCTTGGCGTGTCGCAGGGCAACTTCCAGTCGGACAATTGCCACCTGGCCGGGCGCACGCTGGACTTCGGACCCTTCGGCTTCATGGCGCCCCGGCAGGCAACCACTTCCGGCCATGTGACCATTGGGCCATTGGTTTGTACGCGCAGACGAAAATCCCTTGGCCAGGTTTGCGAAGGAATGGCCACTGCGTGTTTGTCACTCAAAGCCTTGCAGGAAACAGTCAATCCGGAAGGGTATTTTTTGGAGGTTGCCAATGTGGAGCCTTGAGTTTTCGTGAAGAGAATGCCGGAAGTGTCCAGCGTTTGTTCCTTTAATGATTATAATGAAGCCAGGTTGCTGCTGCAGGCAGGCCAGTTGATGCACCGGCAAAGCACCATATGCACGCATTGCCACCTGGCCTGCTACATTTACACTGTTTTTCAGCAAGGGCAATACATAGAACTGCATCCCTTGTTCTTGTCCACCGTCGGGCTCGAACTCCATGCTTCTGCCAGCACCGCAACCACCGCCACCACCGCCACCACCATCATCATCGTAACCACCATCACCGTTACCGTCACCATCGCCGTCATCATCGTCGTCGCCACTACCACCACTGCCGCCACCCCCGCAACCACCACCACCACCGCCGTCGCCACCGCCGCCGCCGCCGCCACCGCCACCACCACCACCGCAACCACCACCACCACCGCCGTCGCCACCGCCGCCGCCGCCACCGCCACCACCACCACCACCACCATTGCGATCATTGCGATCGTAAGCAATTGTTTGCTCAGTTGCCACATGGTTTTCACTTGGCATGTTCTGGGCTGACCATTTTTTCGCTTAGGAGCGCTACAATCCGCGCTGGTGCAGCTGGACAGGTGGCGCAGAGAACTTTAGCTTCCGGCTGCAGCCCAAGGCGGGCCGTCAATTCGGTGTGTAGGTGGATGTACGTTTCGGTGCGGCTGGTCGTTTAACTGTTTGGGTAATACGTGAAACTTGTTGGATATGTTTTCTGCCTTCGTGCCATTGCCCTATGGATGGACAAGCTAGTGCACCAATTGTTAGGTGGTTTATCCCACATTTCTTAGGGTTTCGTCCATCCCAACTGGTGCAGGATTTCGTCCATCCCCAGTATCAGTGCATTTGCAAAGACTTCGCCAAGCCCAGGCCTTTTTCCAGAACTTCGCGAGTGCCGTGCGGGCTGTGGACGTGGTGCTGGACGGCGGCTCGCCCGGATCGCAACCCCACCAGAGACAAAGCATAAAGCCTTGAACAAGAGAAGCCGAATTTGGTTTGAGAGAAGCGGTTTAGGTCGCAACCTGCGAAAAGAAGAGGGGGGTTGCAGAACCATCACGACCACTGCAGCTGTGTGCGTATTCTGTTTCTTGGCCAGACCATATCAGGCCTCGTTGGCATCCTTTCAGGTACAAAGTTATGGGGGCGCTCCCCTTTGCGAGTGTGGAAGTTGGCTTTTGGGTTGCCATGTTCTGTGATACCAAGGGAATCCTTTTGAACGTAAAGTGGTCAGGGAGAGTGTGTGATTGTCCATAACCATATCGGGTCCCGATGCTGATCTGGGATCTGGGGGGGCGTCCTATAACTGGTTGGCATTCAGGGATGGGCCAATGAGAAGAAATTACCCGGCCATTTACCCTCCCACCAATCAACATGGAACTTGACACGGGGCCGGGACGACCATTTTCCTCCTAAAGGGACCTCCTAGTTGGAGGGAGGGCAATCCGCAAACCACCAACGGGCAAACGAGCCGGCAAGGAGGGTGTGGAACACCACCAGCTTCCATGACCCGAAAACGAGGCCCATCTTAAGGAGATGAACCAGAATTGGGATAGTGCTGCCCAAGATAATAGAACGAGGTCACCTACCGGGGATTGCGACTTGACCCATGAAGGTTTCTTTTGCTTTGGGGTTCCTTATCTCAATTGGGTAAATCTGCGCCACCAGATCGCACAATTCCCTTTGGGTAAAAAGGGGATGACCAAACTTCTAAACCCAGATGGAGGAGGTTGTTTTTCTCACAGCTGAAATGCCCACCATGGATGAGATTTCCCCAACATCCAAGCTGGTCCAAGCTCCACAAGAGCGCGGGTCTTTTGGACCGAGGTGAGGGCCGGGAAGAGGCCCAGCAGTTGCTCTCGGATTTCCCGGCGCTTCTGCAGGAGGCCTTCTGCGAGGCGACACGTTTAAAACCGAGCGGCTGGTGCGTTGCTGGGAGAAATTGGGCGAAGGGCTCAAGTGTCCGGAGGGATTGGGGTGGGGGGTGGGGGTCAACCCGGATTCCATTCGGCTGTTGCGGGAAATGGTAGTTGAGCGCTGCTTTGGCTATGTTTCAAAGGGGACATGTGGGGTGTGATCAAAACGGGGTGTAAAGGTTAGACTTGGCCCCAGGAAGGGCGCCGACTCAAAGCACCGCACTTTTTCAGAGCACGGCCATGGGGCCATGCCCGTGACGGCCCCACGGCCCCTCGGGGTCCATGTCGCCAAACGCCAGGTGCGTTTGGCAAAGCTGGGCCTCAGCTTTTGGGATGCAGAGGCGGGAGAGCAGTGGACGTCTCGGGAGCCGTTTCCGGAAAAAAAACATGAGGCCTCTTGTTTTGGATGATTTTGGATGGCTCCCAGCCATCCGGTTCCTTAGCTTTTTAGCTTCTTGGTTGGTTTGGTGGCGGGTTGGGTTGTAACCCGCTCAAATTGTTGTTTTTGGTGGCAGGGGATTTGAGGACACCCCAGTTTTTTCTCGAGATGGTTGGGAACGCCCGAAGGAAAACGCAAAATCTTGGTCTGTAACGTCTGTGTCCCAGTCGAAGAAGCCGCTGAGTTGAAGTGGCTTCGATCTGAGAATGGAATTGGTCAATGTCCAGGAACGTGTCGCAATCCTTCACTGTGGAGTTGGGCTTATTGTTCTTTGTATTATTTTTGTCGAATATTTTGCAGTTTTCCGTTTCAAGTGGAAACCAGGCTTTGAAATGAGCAAGGACCCCTCAAAGTACGTATGTCATGTGTTTTCCCCCTTTACTTTTCGTCATGTTTTTGTGGATCTGAAGTTGGCAAAGGCATGTACAGGAGCAAGGCATGGAGGCTAGACGCGGTCGAATAGTGGGCAAGGGTCTTACGTATCTCATGCTGGACCCTTCAAGCCCGAGCATGGCATTCGGCTGGCTTGGGCTGAGTGCGATGCCTTGTTTGCAGGGGCACCGCCCATCACACTGTGCAGATAGTTGTTGTGATTGTCCTTGGCATATGGGGGTGTGTTTTTTGAGCGTGTCCCTCTTGTCTAGGCTTTCAAGGGAACTGAGAAGGAAACCTCTGAGAAGGAAAACACAATTTTAGTGGATCCCCTAAAGAAAGACGCACCCATATCGGGCATGGCTCGTTGTTAGTGGCGGTTGCAACTGTCCACTTTCCTAAAGCAGAAGCTTCCCTAGGCAGCCGCAAAAGCTCCGGTGGACTCTGAAGCGTTTTGAAGGTGCTCGCTTTCCATTTATGCCACCACTTAACTTGGCACCTTTATAACATTTTGGGCATACGACCCCCCCCCTTTCCAGGCCTTCCCCCCGCCCCCTAGGCCCCCGGCCCCGTTTTCGCCGTGTGGGAGGCCGCGCAGCTCTGCGATGGCTTGCTGCAGCTGATGGAGGCCTCCGCCGCTGATTGGACCCTCACCTGGCGGAAGCTGGCGGATGTGGCCGAGGCCTCCACAGGTCTCGGACGCGGTTTACGTTTTGTCAGTCAAAGGGAAGCTCAAGGGTGTGGGCCCCATGGGCTTTGCGGATTTTCCAGGCTTGCACCCAGTTTCCCCGAAGCCCATCCTTTGCACAAAAGGGCCCGTATTTGTCCCCCCATTTAACCCTCAAACCCTCGACTTGTGTACACATTGAGCCGGCGCAGGGAAACATGGGTTGCTGAGCATTATCCTGGCCGATTGGTCTCACGTGGTGATTGTAGTACACCAAGTTCATGGTAGCGGAGAACCCAGATAGCTACGGGAAATGGCGATCAGCAAGCCGCGCTACAGCGGGGAATGGAAACACGCGGAGGAGGTATCGACGTGGGAGGGCAAGGCGGCCATGTTTGATCGTTTCGCTATTGCTTGCGCGTGGTATGAGCAGAGCCACAGAGCATTTGGAGCAGTGGTACAGCAGCTGAAGCCCCCTCGCACTTCAGGCGCGCTGGCGCGGCTTTTGAAAGTTCTTCGAGAGAGCCCGTTTAGGTTGCCAGTGCTGGACAGCTTTCATCATTTGGAGCTGTGGCGCAGTCTGAAGTGCAAAGCCAACGAGACGATCATGCAGATGCTGGTCAGGGAGGAGGAGACCGAAGAGAATAGGTCACCCCCACAACGTCCTCACTTACCACAGGCCGTGGACTCGTGGACTGGACAACTACATGGCCATATGCCGATCCGCCAAGAGTCCTCACTGCTATGATCCGGACAACTACTGGGTCGAGGAGACCTGGCAAGGCGGCTGGCAGTAGGAACCAGAAGATCTTGAAACCCCAGGAGCATAGGGCCCTCGCCAGGCCCGAGCTGCAAAAGCACGCGCGGCCGAACAGGATGAACCCACGACGGGCTAGCCGAAGGGTTAGAGGTGGCAAGAGCAAATCCGATTCCCCAAGGACCAAGAGCCAGGGCGCCGAGGCCAAGAAGAGCAAATTTGGCTTCACTTGTGGAATGGACATCAGTATCCTTGATGATGATCGGAGGATAGCCTGATCTGGCAAGGACGGCTTGCGCCCCCGCATCAGTGTGATGCTCATACAGGAGGCCAGGGCCGACGAGGTCATCGACACTGGAGCTACGCAGCGGGCGTAGGGAACCAACTCGACGATGCAGATGGGCTCCGCGGTCGCGGGAGCTCAATGCCTGAATTTTGTGAAGATCCAGACAAATTTGGTGGGTCAAACAGGAAGGCCAACATCCAAATCCACTCCAACAACGTGTTGAGCAGCTTCCATGGCCTGAGTTGTTATGATTGCCAACCCGGAGGTGGAGTCTGCAAGTCGGACGAGGAAGATTGCAAAGGGGTAAACTTCGCGCATGGGCGTGCTCACCCATTCTGTCATGTCTTGGGCAGTGGGCAGATGCGAGGGACGGCGCCAGACCCTCTATTGTGGAGTTGTTCAGGGTATGAAGGGACACACCTTTGTTGGCCGCCAAACTAAGGGAGAAACATCGTCGTTGCAAGCAAGAGGCTCGGTGGTTTTGGGAGGGGCAGATCTTGGGAGTTAGACGGAGCCACATTCAACCTCAGCTTTGGTATGTTCTACCGACCTGCAAGGTTTCCCTTGATGGTTCGCGCGCCATGCCAGTAGGGCTTTCAAGTGAAGCATTGCCTTCACTGCGTGTCCCACTATAACCGTCCATGCGCGCACCCGTCCAATGTTGGTTACAATCTCCTTTGGTAGGGTTGGTTTTAGTTCGCCAGAACTGGGATGAGCTGATGGAGTCTGGCAGCCTGATGCTGCCGTTGAAGGGATGCCGCCTGGCTTCTGCCAAGCTGACGCGTGGTTTGAAAATATATAGTCGCATTGTAGTAGGTTGGGGCAAGATGTATGCCTTTCTTTCCCCATTTCAGTTTTGAGGGTGTTCCTGATCCACAGCTGACAGGTAATGTGTTTTGGTTGTTGTTCTTAACTAGCCCCCGCTTGGGTGGTTGGTTGCCCCAGACCAGCCCCCAGCAACTAATTGAATTGCCATCAAATCAAAGCAAATTGCCCGAGCGAGGCCCGTGATGCGGCCGGCCAAGCCCGAGCAACTCTCAACTACCACCAAGTCACGGCCGGCCCACCCAACCGACCAAGCAGGCAGCCAGCGAACTAACCAGCCAACCGACCGACCGACCAACCAACCAACCAACCGCCTCAGGCCCACGCATGGTCCCCAAAGGCAGGAACCACGCAGCAGGTGGTCAGGGTAGCCACCGTCAACCGAAGATAGTAGTAAAAAACGTTTAAAGAAAGAACACTCCGGCCCCTGTGGAGCCTTGTCCCAGAAGGCTGTCAAGATCCCAAATCCTTGAGTCAGGTTTCTACGAGCCGCTCACCCCACAGATGGAGCAGCAGTGGGAGCGGTGGCTGCAGCGCTGGCTGCAGCGTTTGCAGGCTGAGGCCATGGACGCAGAGGAGGTGGCACAAACCATGCGCGAAGCATCGCCCAAATACGTGCCGCGGAACTGGATGCTGATGGAGGCCCGAGGCCCCACTCGTGTGTGCCACGTTCATCGTCATTACCATGATTATTCAATCGAATATGTATGATTGCTTGCTTTGAGGTAGTCTCCCATGTCCATCGATTCTGCCGTTGCCATTGGTTTGGAAGAACATAGCCATGAGACGTGGGTTATACCTGATAGTGGCACCTGAAGCAGCTGGAAGTCAACTGTTCAAAGCAGATCGACTCAATATGCCTTTGGCTTCCCGGTGTTGGTTACTTGGGGAGTGTTTGACCTTTCCTGTTTCATGAGAAACCTGCTCGGGGGTCAGGATTCCGGGAGTGAAATGGTCCTAGAGCGCCAGTGAGAGTGACAAAGCCGGCACCCTGCTGGGATCACAGCCGTCAGCGTTGTGCGTTCCATCAGTCTCATCACTTGCGAGCTTGAAATGCGGTTGCATGTGGTTGCCATGGGGCAGCCATTCAAGAGATGGTTTGGTGGTTGTGAGCCTCCTTTCCTGGATCAACGAAAGCACGTGGGAAGATTGCTTAACCACAGACCATGCAGCCTATTCACGAGGCTTTTTTTGGTGTTGCGCTGATGCCCCTTGTTTCCACTTAATTGGCAAGCAAAAATGAGGACCCTATTGTTTCACCTACGGGCAGAGCAAAAGACAGCACGACAAGCATGGAGAGCACTCATTGTGGAGGTGCGGCTCCTTGTTGAGTTGCTGCGTGTGAGTATTGCGGCACGGTGTGATATGCATTTGTGACTGATTAGCTGGAGCTCAAACAGAAACATCGAAGTGGATGCATGTTTACATTGTTTTACATCGCATTGGGAATGAGATTGTCCCATCCTTCATCTTGTGTCGTCTAAGATTCCTAAAGCGTGCACTCAGGGTTGCGGCCTCGTGGCTTCTTCTTGACTGCTGGCTTGGATCTTGACTTTAACTTTTGGGTTGAACTCAAATTGGGTTTTCCACTCAACGACCCAAACAGTACAAAAAGCAAAGCAACTTTTTGCAGGGGGGTCAGCAGCCACCGAGTCGTTCTTAAGGAATTTTGGGGACATCGAGGCGCTGGAGCCACGCCTTTTGCTAGGCCTACGAGGCAGCAGAGGCTGGCAGCTTTCAAGTGGCCCAGCAGCTGCAGGAGCGCTGGGAGCCGGGATCCGGTTCTCCCGAAGCTTCGCAAGGATCGCCTTCGAATGTCCGCGTGCCTTGCATTGGTTTCTTCACTTCCAGGAGGAAGTGGTACAAAGACGACCCAAGAAGCTCTTCTCGAGTTTGCGTGTTGGAGTTGTTCTTTTTCTTTGGATGTTGTTCGTAACGTTGGTGATCAGTGATGATTCTCCCTTTGGATGCTGCCGGTAGCCTTGGTGTTGTTTCATTTTTGATTGTATTTGTAGCCTTGTGTTTTTCTTCTCTGCGTGTTGTCGTTTGTTGCCGTGTTGTTTGTCCCCAGGGTGGCGTGCGTAGCGTCGCCGTGCTTTCTCCTTAGGATGTTGCTCACAGCCTACGAATATGCGTTCTGTGCAGTCAGCCTTCCCTTTTTCTGCTTTGTATGTTGTTCGTTGCGTTGGTGCGTTTTGCCATGTGTTTCCTTGGAATTTTCAGAAGCCTTGGTGTACTTTCCGTGGATGTTGTCCGTAGCCTTGATTTTTTTTGGGCTGATTGTTGATAGCCTCGTGTTTTCTGTGCTTGGTTGTTGTCCGTTCTTTGGCTCGATTGGTTCCTTTGGATATTGTCAATATGTATAATTCAGTTTCTTTTCACGTGATTATCCTTTGACTGTTTTCAGAGGACTTGGTTATGTCTTGGTTAGTTTATCCTTTGGACGTTGATTGTAGCCTTGCATTCTTGGAGTGTGTTTCTTCGTTGTTCTTCCTGGTCATGGCATTCTGCACTCCTTCGCAACGAGCGTCAGCGGATGTCAGCGTTTAGTGGAGCAAACTGAATGTACTTCATACGCTGGGTGGACAGCAGGTGGAGCAATACGGAGTTCTGTGAGGAAGTTGTGCAGATGTTGGCTGAGGGGCGGCTGTTTGCTACCATGGTCTGATGTGAAATCTGCTGGCAGGAGCTTTTTCGCCGGCCCTATGAGGAGCCGAGACAGCGCACCATGGAATCGCTTCACGTGTTGAGGATGGACATGGATGGACATGAACCTGTTCAACTTTTTCCTTTTTCTGCAACAATGGCAATAATCTGCGCAAGAAGAAGAGTGGCCGCACATGAGGATTTGTTGAACATAGGTACCCTTTGGACGCAACGGCAGGGAGCGAGAGAGAGTGAACATAGGTTGGATCTTTGGCGTTGTGCTGCTGCAAAAGGTCTACACGCATGGCATTTCAGGAGCATCCGGAGCTTGAGAGCCGTTACTTCCGCCTGGCGCCCCCGGAGCTGCGGGGCCGGCCTGGAGTGTACATAATGACCTGATCTTCATAGTCCTCGGAGTTTTGTCCCACTCGATGTTCAGCGCAAGTTCCGCTGCAGCCTGAATTGGATGACATGCTGGAAGTGAGCAGCAGATGGTCACCTAACCACACGTCAAATGGGAGGCCGGCAACTTCACGGTCAGTTGCTTCGTTGACAAGCTGGGCTGCATTGGTTAGCTGGTGCCGTCCCTAGGAAACGCAGATGAGCGCCGACATGTTGGATGAGGCCTTCACATAGCTACACGAGCAATTGGGACATCTCACTTGTCCGAAGCATGGCAACCAGGGTGAGCTCCGAGGACCTAAGCTGAGGGATAGAGCTGTCTCCTTCATCTTTCCCGTGTGGTTCTTGGCTGACCGGTTGGTTTCTGCCGCGCGAATCGTTCAGAGATGTTTGGGGGGATGGCTCGCCCCTTCGATTTTCAGAAGCTGGGAGGTGCCGTATGCGTGGCCCCACCTTTGCGAGCATCGGCATGGAGTTACGTGCTCAAGTCGGGTGGGTTGTTTCTCGTGGCAGGTTTCCGGTTAGCGGTCGCTGGGTAAGTTGAGCCTGCAGTGAAAGGCGCCTCCTAGAGGAAGCTGCTTCTGTCGCGGTGCTGTGAAGCCAGCCGCAAGCTTTGCGCTTGGCTGAGATTGCGGCGCAAGAAGCGCTTCGGCAAACCCCGCTGGCGCTGGAAGACTGGCCTGGCAATGACACAGCTGCAAGCAAGCAAGAAAGTAAATTCAGAGGGTGTTGAGTTGAGCATGTTTGATCCGTGTCATCAATGTGTGTTTTGCCGGAAGGATGCACCGCCCAAAGCTCCCCCCGCGCACGGCCATAGACAAATCTTTGAAAGTCGAGCAACATTTTTTTTAAAGAAGAAAACAAAGAAAGAAAAAACGGAGCAGTTCAGCTTGACACGATTGAAATTTTGGTTGCGTCTTGGGAATCCGCGGGGTAGATCCGCCCTGGTGGCTCCAAGCATTGCCGGCGCGGCTTTTCCGGTTCGCGGTGGCCGGCTGAAACCGAGCCGGCGAGGAAAAGCGCGTGGACGCGCGGATGGGTAGGGTGGTTTCAGCGCCTGCTTCGGTGGTTCTAGGCTTTGGGTGGTTCCGGGCCTGCCAAGAAAAGTCTCGGACATATCCAACCCCCCCCCCCCCCCAATTTCTCGGGATAAACTGAAGGGCTAGCCAGAGTACACCTCCCAAGGCTCTCACCTCAGGACTATCCCCCATGCGCCAGCATCCCAGGCTGAAGCCCCGTGGAGTGAAGTTTGGTTCGTGCCAAGCTGCTTTTGTGCTGCATGTCCCGACCAGCTTGGCACTTCCATGGCCAAGTTTTTTCAGGTTGGAAGCGTAGAAGCCTGTTGCTCGAGGCCTAGTGCCTCACTAGCCCAAGTGCAGCCTACACCATAGAACGGCGGCCAAACGATTGGAGACGCGAGCATGACGCTATCCACTTTGGATTTGGCCTGCGCCTAAGAGCATCGATAAGGGTCCGACCGTATCATTCACAAGGGACAAGAGGGTGGGTTGCAGGCTCAAAGTAGGCACGCATCCAAAGGCAAGCGCCGCTCCTTTATTATGCCGCGGCCGTAGCCTGCAGTCGGAAACCCAAGACTTGGGGCCGCCAACCGAGTCGACTCCTCGCGCAGCTTGCCTGCAAAGAGAGGAGGGCCGGCTGATTGCGCAACATCGAACTTTTGGCTGAAAATGCCCCCGTGACCTGAAGATGCCTGAAGCACGGCCATCCCCAGCAAAGCCCAAAGTCAACGATCTCGGCCAGCTTCCAAAGCCCAAGCCAACAAAGTCCAAATGTTGCAAGCTGGAAACCACAAGTATATATTATATGTATGCAAATTTCCAACAGGCCCAACATTGCAATTTTCCCACAGGGGCGTATAGGGCAAGGCTCCTGGCACGCTGTTAGCAATCACGCAGTCCCCAATAACCAGATAGGATCCCGGGAAAACGAGCCGGCACTTGGGGATCCCTTTTTCCGGTGTTGGACTTATCGCAACAATTGGAGCACAGGCCTGGCATCATGAAAACTCTTCTCCCTCCCCCAAACCTCCCCCCCCCTCAGCACTTGCTAGGCGCTTACTGAGCGCATCTAAGCGTTTGCTACGGGTGCGGGAACAAAAACCTGCACAAACAACCGGGCAGCGCCCCTTCTGAAAACTCTCTTTCTCGGTAAGCTGGCTGAGAGGGCTCATTGCGGATGGGGAGGGGTTAGAAGGGGATTGGGAGTTGGTGGGGGGTGGATTTCAGAGCTGAACCGCTTTGGAATTAATTTAAAAATGGATCTTCTCGGGCTGTGCGCTGAGGACCTACGTTCAACACTTACGCTCGACTTCAAGTGTGGCTCTTGGACACCTTGCCAGCAGCCGATGCTTTTCAATTTTGTTTGCCTGCGAGAACACAGGGTTCTGCTTCCCGACCATCAAAGCTTGTGATAGTCGGGTTATAGTCCACTTCTTGGCCACTGTTTATGTGACTGAGCCAAGCCTTAGTCTACTTATCAGCCACTATGTTGGATGCTTCAGGGGCTTTTGGTTAGCAACCGGTGGCCTAAGCCAAGGCCAGTCAACGACAGTTCAGAGCTGCAATTCAGGGAGTCCTGCTGACTGACTGACTGATGATTCTGGGGTGGGATGGGGGCTGACAGCTTCTCAGCGCTAGAGGCACCCAATTTTCCATTGGAATAGACCCGGATTTGGGGGCTGCCCTAAAGCTTTAGAGGACTGAGAGCTTGGCTGGCGTTGGCGATCGCAATGCACGTCCTTTTGGTTTCATTGGGCCAAGTTCCAATCCGCCTTTAACTTTCAAGTCAAGGTCATGGCTCCTGTCGAGGAAGGTCTCCCCTCCCCTCCCCACCCCTTCCATGCCTCCTGCACTGGGATGAAATGATGTAAACGGAGCTCGGTCCATGAGCCCTTAGACACAGGGCTTCCTCCCGTTCAGGTTGGTGAATTAGAGCAGTTTGCACAGAGCCATGTTGATGGCTCCTGTTTTTTTTAAGGGCGGGGAGTCAGCATCTTTCGGACGTGCTGAGACTTGCAAGCCCATGGCGCGCTTTTGGCGAGTGTTGCCAGGGCCTCAGCATCCCCGCGCGACATATCGAGGAATTGTTTTTAAGAGCAAATTCCATGGAAGATCGGCAGCCTGATTTGATGCAGATTTGCTGCAAGCAGTAGAGAAATACATACATAGATTCGTACGTTCAGCAAATTGTTGGCCGCTTGCCTACCCCCCAACCAGCAATTATCCCCCCCCCCCCCCAAAGGAAAACTGGGATACAAGCACAGCCTGAACCAGCATACGCAGACGCTATATGGCTGTAGGTCAAAAATAGGTACCGCATATGGAACCGTGGTAAATGGAAGCATGGACCAAAATCTGCGGTCCCCTGCTGGCTTAAGTTTGACCCATACCCATATAAAGGCTTGCTCAATTTTGCCTCGAAAGTAGCTGCTCCATTTTCCGTTGGTACTGGTCTTGGAGTATGCTTGAGGCTGGCAGCGCTGCTGGCCGCTTCAGTCCCCGGCTCGACGCGGATCCATTAGATGTGTTCACAAGTTCACCGGTGCGCAGGCCAAACAAGCGATTCCACCGGTGAAGATTTATTTTGTAAACCTTATGTCAGGCTTGAATGATAGAATATCATAGCATACGTAGATTTGGCTACAGCCGTCCGCGCACGTGTCAATGTGTCGGGCAACAGGAGCTTGAAGAAGCAAAGCTTGCCCTTGCTTAGCACACAGTTCGGCGTTCGCACGTGTGCATGTCCCCGACAGGATTGCGTGTGGCATGGCGTGGCAACCTTGTTTTTGCTTTCGATGATGCATGGGGTCACATGGTCATGCAGCAGTGGGGGTCCAGGAGGGTGTTGGGAAAGTTTTTGGGGCGCTGCTGCCTGGGCATTCCAAATGCCACAAGGCTCATGGTGCAACGGATGCAATGGAGCAGTGCAAGGGCGACGAGTGTTTGGATCTCAGATCCAGGTACCCGTCACAGGTTGATTTTTCCTGTTTTGTGTCAATGTTGGCGTTTGTGACTTTGCTTTTGTTGTGTGTTATTGTTTTGTGTGGTTGAAACTGTAACTGACTGAGTGGTGTCCAAACCTGTCTTGAAGAGCATGCAGGAGGAATCAAGGCAGCGGTGCTTAGCGAAGACAAGGCGGTGTTGAGATGAGTTTGGACAGCCCTTTTTCGCCGTTTCTCTCAGAATCTGAGATGCTGTCAAACCTTGGAGTGAAGGCTGTCCTAGCAGCTAAGTTCACAACGTTGCCTGTATAATGCACCTGGGATGCCTTCGAGTCGCATGGCCTTGCGGTGGAGGGGGTGTGAATGGGTGCGAGCTATTTGCGACACTTAGGCTCCGCACCAAAGCCGCTTGGCTGACGGCAGCTTGGGGCCAACGGCTTTTGGGCCGGCGGTAAAAGGAGCTCTTTGCTGGACCGTGGTTGATGATTGCGATGCGGTTACCTCAGTTCTACCTGGCTCCCCCAAATTTGTACAGGACATTTGTAATTTTCAATTGTAACACCGGTGCTACTTTGCCCGCTTGGGACCGTTCCAAACTGTTTGCAACTTCTGCAGGGTGACTTGCTGCATGGAAACTGAACACGTGTCACTCTCATTGAGAAATGCCGCCGGCCTGGTTCGATGCAAAAACGTTTGACCTTTTGACGATTGCCAGGGCCCTTTTCCCTGACGCGCAGGCTTTAAATCTTCTTGCGGCAGTTGGGGGGGGGGGTGACACTTACACGCCCGAGGAATCTCTTACATTTCGTTTGTGGGTTCCATGTTGATTTGCAGGGAGCCTTTAGATACACACACAAATATATATATATATATATATTATTTATGCATACATATACATACCATTATGGGAGTCTTTGGCTTGCATGGGCCTTGGGACCTTTTTCACGCGATTCGGGACTCGCGTCTAGGCCAAAGAAGCCCAAGGCGAAGGCGAAGCAGCCACTTGGCCAGCGGATAGCTTGTTTTTGGGGGGCTCAAGCAACGGTCGAAGAAAGCTCCCGCGGCCAGCAACCCCCCAACGTTTGCTTCAGCATTTTTTGGGAAAAGGCAGTCGTTGGAGGGTGCTGGTGCTTGTAAACACCCTTTGGACTTCCATTTGGTGGGGTGACGCAAGGAAGCATGTTAGCAACAGTCAATATCCAACAACCGGTAGTTAAGGGGAGGACATGGGACGAACCGCCGCTCACTTAATTACCACCTGTACATGCTGCTTGCAATTGCCCCATGCCAACGGAATTCGAGGCGCAATTTAAACAAGCTGCTGGCTCACATGAGGAGAAGGAGTTTGAATTGTATGAATGGGCAGGAATCGTGTTTGGCAGCCTGTGCTGTTGTTGGTGTTTGTGTTTGAGCTCCTCCTGTTGGCCCCTGGAAAGAGCAAGCACCCAACTCTGGGTAGGCACTGGCAGAAACGATGGCTGTCGGTTGCGGAATGTCGGTGTGTTTTCTTGTTGGGTAAAATGCTTTTCCGTTGGCCAGGTCCTCGTAACTGGTGGAGCCTGTATTCCAGAAGTATTCCACTCTTTGGCAGCTTGTTCTTTGCCAGTCAGCTCATCGCTTTCTGAGGCACAGCCTGCTGCAGATGAAGACGACCTTGTCGAAGGCCTTCGTTCAACTTCTGGATGCTTCGGCTCCAGATGTTTTCCCTTCGGAAAAGGCCGAGCCAAGAGCCTAGAAATGACACACCCGCTGCAACACGCAAAGCAGCTCATGGTGTGGAATGACCAGCCTTGACCTTGTGAAGGCCCAAGTGTTGTCTGGGATTTGTTTGGACGGGGTTACGTGTTTTTTGCCGGATTGAAGCGCCGGTTGCCCAAGACAGCGTCTTTGTGTCCAAAATCGCACATGGTGAGCATATACGAGCATATGGCACCCACACACAGAGAAGTAAAGCATTGGTCCTGCCTTCCAGTTTCGTGCAGGATCTGTTTGATGATGCCATGGTCATAGCCCCAAGATGCAAGCCCTTGCCTTGGCGTAAAAAACCTTGGGGCCAGCCAGCTGTTCAAATTCTGTCCGTTTCCAGGCTGTCGTTGGGGCGGCAGGTTTGACTTGTTTCTTCTTATTGTTGTTGTTTTTGTTTTTCGACATCCTGGGCGCTCGATTGCTATTCAAATAGTTGAATCAGTCCCCACGAGGAATTGTTTTTTCCAGGCATCCTTTGGAGATGCACCTCACATCTCAAAGCACAGCAACCGAATATGGCAAATGGCTCGGCCAGGTGGTGCTGCCACCAGAAGACGACTTTGACATGGACCTGAGCCCTTGATAGCCAAAGTGCACATGGGTGAGCCTCGTAGTATCGGGCCAGAAAGTGACTCAGTGTTTGCGGTGCTTTCCGGGAGACTCCCAATGGGAGCAGGATGAATTTGCCGGGATGGTGTAGTTGTTTGTTGTCACGTCCATCTTTGCCAATGATGAGTTGTCTAGCTTTTGACATCAAAATGCGAGTGTAAATTCTGAGGGCCATATCAATGCTTGGGCTCAATCAGTGCTCCAGTTGCTAAACTGCAAGCTTTTTTCCGTTTGCAGCAACGTTGGCCCAGAAGTTGTTCTTTTTCGGCCCGCCGCCATGTCGTGGCCTGAGATTCAGGCCCCCAGCCAGCCAGGCATCAAGCGGAACCTCCAGGGGGACGTGATGTGTGTGCACGGAGTCTTCAACTATCAGAAGCCCACAGTGGAAAGGACGCTGGTACGCAACGGGAAGCTGTACACCAACCGCGATACGTCAGGCCACCCTCCCCCCCCACTTCTTTAGCGGCATGCGTTTTCAAGCTTCATGTTTGGGGCGGGTTCCCCTGCAAAAGATCAAACAACAAACAAAAACATATCTCAACTCCAAAAAGAACATGTGGCTCCCTTTTTGGCCCCTGATAGGCAGCGATGATCAGATCTGTGGGGCGCAGTGGTCCAGCGAGGAGCTGGTGGTGCGAAACGCCCGACTGGAGGAGCCGTTTCAGCTGGATCTGCAGGGCTTCGAGCTGCACAGGTGCCCCACCGCCGTGGCCTACGAGGACTTCTTCCTGGAGGAAAACATCCTGCGGCGGTATTATCCCGAGGCTGGGGCCAACAGCCGAATTTCAGCTTTGGGTCCGGCCAAACTACGTGCAAGTAAAACACTTGAGCTTTCGCTTGGGTTTGAAAGCCAAAAAATGCCACTTTGGGTCAGGCCAAACGACATGACACGGCAAGACACTTGAGCTTTCGCCGGGGTTCATTTGGGCTGATTCAGGTGGTGGGGCTCGTGAAGAAAGCCACCGGCGCCAAGTACGTGATCCCCTTCGATCACAACATCAGGTCCGCCAGCGGCAAGTCCAGCGAGAAGCAGATCTCCGGGGGGGCCAAGGTGCAAGCTCCAGCGGGGCTGGTGCACAACGACTACACCTTGACCGGGGGGCCGTTGCGCTTCGAACTGCTGGCACAGCCCCCGAAAATCAACGACAGCGTCAAGGACGCAGGCCCGGCGATTCCAAAGGAGGTCTACGACGCGGGGCGCAAGGGGCGCTGGGCGATCGTCAATGCCTGGCGGAATATCCGGGACAGACCTGTGGAAGTCTACCCTTTTGCGTTGATGGATGCGCGCACGGCGTCTCAGAAGGATCTTTGTGTTTTGGAGATCCGCTATGCCGATCGGATCGGGGAGAACTACTTTGCAGCAAGCTCGCCGGAGCACCGGTGGTATTACTATCCTGGCATTGCCCGAGAGGAGGTGGGTGGAAAGGGAAACCAATAGGATTGTCCGACGTCCCACCATTCTTGCCAGGATATCCACATGATTTTTGGGGGTCACCGATTCTTGCACCCTTTCCAAACGGAAGGCCCCCAAACCGGGGCCCTTTCTCTGGCACAGGTGATCCTATTGAAGCAGTGGGATTCAGAGGGGTGGCTACATGGAGGCCAAAAATCCAACTTCACCTTGCATTCCGCCTTCAAAGATCCTACGAGCCCCGAAGAAGGAGAGGATCGCGTCTCCTGCGAGGTGCGCTGCGTTTGTGTTTGGGAGTAGTTTGGGTAACGTTGTTTAGGGCCCATCCCTGTCAGGGGATGGTTTCCCCGCAGACCACTGCGTGTAGCTTGGGCAATTTGGATGTCAGTCAACTTAATGGATTTCGATGTGGTCAGTTTAGAGGTGCGTCGCACTCTGAAATGGAGCATGCTTCAAACCCTCGCCGCGATATAGCTTGCGCTGGCATAGCTTGCGAAGAAAAGAGCGCAAAGCCCTGCTGCAGAGCATGTGGCTGTTGGATGCATCCTCAAAGAGCCCCGAAGTAAGTGCTGTGAGTCATGGCAATATATGCAGGATGCCCAAGTTTCTCCACTGCAACTTGTCGTTTGCGAGGCTGTTTCGTTCTGCGTGCCGCAGTTGTTTGGGAAGAGGGACACAAACTCGTTCATTCGGCCAACCAGGTTGATCCGTTTGCTCAAGCGCCTGCTCGGATTTTCAGAATAAGTGCATGAAAGAACACCATCATCTAGCACACGCAGAATGCGGAATCCTCAAACATCAGCCTCACTTGCTTAGTGCCTTGTTTTCAGTCAGGTAAGTAGTCATTCCTGTTGAATAGGTTTGCAGAGCCATTAGGCAAAGAGAAGTCGCGGCCTGCCCGGCAAATGACATGAACGTATCACAAGCATGCGTTTTGCATGGTTGCCCGCCTTGCCCACACGAATCGACCCTTCAACCTTGTGGATGTCTCGGGACTTGTCCAGGTTGTTCCATTTTAGTCAAGCTTGCACAGGGCTGCACAGGGCTCCTTAAACGATGTCCATTTTGCAACCATTTGAACCATGGCTTTTTCAACACCAAAATAAAGTGAAACCACCATTTACAAGTTGCAATGTTCAGGCGTATAATGCATCCGGATCCCTGTTGCAGAAAGGGACATCACAGCTTCCCAGTCCTTTGGGCAAGGCCTTGCAGGCTCTTGAAGCAGGCTTCGGTGCATTTGTGGGGTCGTTTGATCCAAAGATATAGTAAAGACGGCCGCGTATCAGAAGTCCCCTGCCATGCGTTGCAATGAATGTGATCTTGTCAAACCGAATGTGGAGTTTCGGGAGCTTGCCCGGGATTTGCCTGCTTTGGACCGGGTGTCGCCCGTCGAGCCGAAGGTTGACCCCAGCTTAGTAAATCCCTCCCCCCACGAAAAAAAGAAAAGAAGCCTGCCTTCAAGGAAGGGGCGCTTCCTATTGACTTCCCCAGAATGAGCTCCTTTTCTTTTCTGGGGTCCTGATTCCAGCCTAGTTGATAGGTCAGGGTTTGATCAATCCTGGGAAGCTATGGAGACGTTCCAGCCGGCGCCAGAGGGCATCTTGATCATGATGCTCGCACTGCAACCGCCAGAGCTTTCGCCGGCGACCCCCGCACGTTGGTTTTTTGGGCCGGGCAATTTTCCTGACCACGCTTTGTGGCTAGAAGACTGGCAAACCCTGCAGCGTTTTCACGGAGAACGTTTGAATGCCCCAAACCGGGGTTCCATCGAAGGTTGGTTGCAGCATCTTGGTCAACCTTCTCATATGGCTATTATACTCGCGGACGACCTCTCGTAAAGATGTCCCAAGGGCCATTCCGGTATGGTGCCCGTCAGGAACCTTATCTCGAACACATTGCCGGGCAACCCATCGCAGGGATGAGAAGCCCCCGGGCAAACACCAAGAACAAAACACACCGGCCAGGGCAGCAAACAAAAAAAAAACGGAGGCAACCCACCCCTTCGAAAGCCTTTTGTCTTGCTTGCTTCTTGGTTTGACCCTCACCCCCCTTTTTGCAAATGACAGCCACCTAAGCAAAAGGCAGCGATGAATCTTGCAAGGGGCGCTTGAGTCCCCAGTCATGCCTGTCGTTTTACCCGTTTTTGGAGTTTGGAAGGGACACCAAAGGAACCGCCCATTTGTGCAGTGTGTGCGTTCCCATTTCGATTGTCCCATTTGTAGTCGTCAAAATGGAAATTGAATGAGGGCATCCCAGGAGAATTTCAGCTATGGACAAGCCGCTGCTTCGACTCAATTAAAGGCTTGGCTTACAAAACATTCTACCGGAAACGGCTTTTTTTTTCCGGTGTTGTGGGCGCCATTTCCTGCAGATTTTCCTGTAACCAAACTCATTGTTTCGGTGTTTTGGGCCATTCACTGCATATTTTCCTCTAAGCAGCAAACTCATTTATTCCGGTGTTTTGGGGCATTCACTGCAGAGTTTCCAGTCAAACCCATCCAAAGCCTTTGAGTCAAGGACCTGCCTGGACCTCCAGTCTTTGCTTCACCTGTGGTCGGCCCTCCGCTTCGCCACGAGCTCCGTGCTGCAGAGCTGCGCCTGGTGCATGCCGAGCCTTCGGCTATAGACCAAAGCACTGGGATCCCTGGGGTTTTTTGGGGCCTGGCGAGATGGGCAACTGAAAAGGCCTTATTGAGGGCCATAAAAAAATAAGGCCGAAATATCTTAGTTCATAAGCCCGAAATATTTCGGGCTTATTTGAATTATATTTGAATTATTTGGGCCTAATGATTTCGATGATTTGGGCTTCGTGACGCAGGGGTCCCTTAGATTCTCGTCCGGACGGTTTCAGCCTCACCTTTCGGGTCTAACAAGTCTTTGGTTCCTTGTGGTCGAGTGATGCTTTGGGGCATGTTCGGGAGTTGGCCGAGTGATGCTTGAAAAGCAGGAGTTCAGACACATGGCGGAATCCCCACCTCCTTAAAAGTGGATTTGTGGGAGGGGATGGCCCCGGATGGCCCCGAGGATTCCGTTGATTTGTTCCATCTCTTTGAAGTTAGTAAGATATCAGAGCTCCCTCGATGGCGTCTGCTTATAAGAGGGTCTCATGCAAATGTGCCCCTTCTCCCTTGCCGTGGCACACCTAGGTGCTGCTGCAAGTAGGTACTGTCAAGGCGTGGCGTTCAATGGTTACACCTGAATGACAATGAATGCAACGTATGCGCGAGTGTTATGAACGTGCACGTTGCATTCACAATATAAACGGCATCAAACAGGTTTTGGAAAGCTGCCCCTGATAACTTGGGGCCTTCTTTGAGGAGTTGGCTTCTTGCCACTGCAGGAGCCTTGCCTGGCACTGCATGAGGCTTTTGCTGCGTTGGCTGGAAGGCGCGGTTGGGAGTGATCTCATGCAACTCCCATGAAAAAAGGCGTCGTTCTCCTGGTTCCTTTGGGCTTGAAGTGGCTTGGACTCGAAATAGACGTGCGAACCCCTTTGAGGTCATGCCAGGTGCCTGGGGTTATGGTCTCGGCCGCAAAGCACGTCTTTCTCGGCATGCCTTTGCTAGGCAGCTGCAGCTTCTCCTTTCCAGTGCATGGAAACGTTTATGGCAAAGCGCCATCGTAGCGTCACCCGCTTTCCATTTTGGTTTGGTTTGGGTTCCTCACTGAAAATGGTTGGCCCCAATAAAGGGAAGGTGACTGGGCAACTCGCACTTGCGGGCACGCACGGCTTTTAGAAAGGGGGGGTGGGATCGGCTCTAGGGGTGTAGGATTTAGAGAGACCAACCTGCGCACCACTTGCCAACGTGTCGCGCTGGTTGCTCTTGTCATGATCTTGGCTATCACCAGCTTTTGAACTTCTCGGGTGCACCCCATATCCTTCAGAACTTCAGCGTGCACGATGCGGCCATAGACCGCGCGACTGCGTGTTTTGCACTTCCGGCAAACGGGCTATGGCCCCTTAGGCGTTCCAGCATGATCCATTTGAGCAGCGCCATAAACCCTGACAATACAAAGTAGTAAAGGGGGGTGTGCTATGGAATCCCCGCGAAAGCCAAAACGCAGGCCGCGAAAGCTTGCGAAAGCTTATTGCGAAAGTAACCAAAGAAGTCCCGCCGCGAAGACCCGTGAAAGCCTGCATGCTGTGTGACAGTCCGCCGCGAAAGCGTCGCGAAAGCAATTCTAAAGAAAACAAAACCCGGGAAAACAAAACACGGGGTCGCGAAAGCATCGCGAAAGGGTCCGCGAAAGCAAGTTCATAGGACCGCTTTTTACACAAGAGTATTTGGCACGGCTCATTTGAATTGCTTGCCAGGCACGCCTTTTGAATTCCATCGTGCGACAGGCTTCGTGTCATGTTTGTTTGATCCCGCAATGGAACTAGGGGGGTCTCCCGAGGGTGCAACGTACGTTTCATGTTCTTTCGAGTTGCTGTTGTCTCACGTGACTTCGACTTGAGGGCAACCTGGGAACTGCCAATCACTCCGGGACCCAAAGCACGGGTTCCCTTTAAGTTCAATGGATGTTGTTTTTAAGCTTCATTTTCTTCTGCAGGGTAGCATGAGGGTAGCACGAGGGCAGCATGAGGGTAGCATGGGAACCCCTACTAAGGCTCATAACCTCTCCACCCCAGTCCTCGGTGTGGCAACCTATGTCCAGGGTCAAAATCGGGAGCCATTCGGGACCCTCCGCAGCAAAATGGGCCGTTCCCTTTTGACTTTGTTTGCATTGTAAAAGCCTGAAACGGGGGTTCCAACCAAAATTCAACCGCCGCCCACCAATTTCAAATTTCTGGGCGAATCATACAAGAGCTCCTGCTGGTAAAACAAGCTCATCCATGACGAAGGTCCTTCACTGAGAGGTTCCTTCCCAAATTGCCGCTTTTTGAATTATGGAATTGTTGAAATTTGTCCAGGCCATAGGTGTCCTTTTTGGTTGCTTTGGCAAAAGCATAGATGGCCCTGGTGTCCTTTAGATCGCCCTGGTCTATCAGGTGGTTTACACATCATCTACGGCCATCCATTCCCCCAAAAGGACACCTATGGTCCAGACCTTGTTCCACTGAGCTCAAATAAAGCCTAAATCAGGCCTTATTAAGGGCTTAATAAGGGCTTATTTGGGCTCCCTCTCCCTCCCCTCCCTCCCCTCCCTCCCCTCCCTCCCCTCCCAGCCCCCATGATCCACTGCTCCAGTGGAAATCGCCAGGCGGCGCTTTGGGCGCGACTGCCATTGCGAACCTCCTGCGCCACGCTGAAACTCTGCAGGGCCCGCTGCGCCGCGCGCGATGCAGCGCCAAGTGGGCGCTGAGCACGCGCCCCGCCCGCGATTCCGCCGCGAAGGCTCCTTGAAGAATCCGAATTTCCGGTGAAGCAAGATTTTGGCCCAAGGATGCCCAATAAAGATGGAGAACGGGGAGAGTCAATCTCCATATTTGCCCCTTGCGGGTGGTTTCAATCAACGTCACGTTTTGGGCCTAATGTTGATTTCTGCCTCGTCGAAGGATGTCAAGTGCGACCTGTGAAAAGCCAGAAATGCACGGTTGCTGTGGGTCCGAAGCAGGAACACGCGTAGGTGACCCATCGCGCAAACCGATCTGCAAAAAGATGTAGCTTGGAATGCCAGCTGTTTGAAAAACGATTATCCACTTGTTGGGTGTCGCTGGGGCCCCTTCAATGAAAACCTCAAAAGTCGCAGTTTCATTGGTACTCGCAAACGTGTGAGCGACCCTCCCATTGTGAGCCGAGGCTTGCTGTGACCAGAACTAGACTCATCTTCCAAAGTCTGCTCGCTGAAAAGCGGCTCTTTGACGCCGAGCTGTCCATGGCCGGCATTTTCGCATCTCGGCTGAAGGGGAGACGCTGATGCTGACGAAGCTACCGCAGGATTTGGACGGAACAAGACATGCTGGAACCAGGAAATGCCCGGCCACGCAAATCTGAGATAGTCTAACGACAGGAGGTTTCAGAAGACCACCATCTTGAAAAGGCCCTTGGTCAATTTCCATGATTCGGAAACAGGGCAAAAGCAATAAGACCATGTAAGACTTTTGTTGTGAAAGGGTCTGGGCAAACGTGTTGATCAGTTGAAATCTACCCGGACGGCCCTCAATGTTGACCCCGTATTCATCAACCCCAGTATATTAACAGTGGGGTGTGCCCCCTCCAAAACAAAAGTGGTCTGATTCCCCACTACCCAGGTTGACACCCCCCTGTTTATGAACAGGGGTTGATTAATACTGGATTAAGAATCCCTGGAATGATGATTTCCTCGCACATACCAACAAACAATGGTTTCCCATGGTCTTCAAGTGGTTTGAAATGGATTTCGTCTATCCACAGTATTCATAAACAGGGGTTGATGAATCTTCCCCAGAATTAGCTCCACTTTTTTCTTTTTTGCTTTTTTGGGGTCACTTTGCTTTCCACCAACCACGCAAAATATGTGTTTTTGCTGGGGTCCTAATTCCAGCCTAGGAATATGGGGTCAACATCGATCGCCTGTTCCCAGGAGATCTCCACCGGCGCGCAAGCGAGGCTCCTGGAGGGCCTCCAGCAGGCGCCGCTGGCGCTGCTGCCGGCGGTGCTGACGGATGAGGGCTGCGCCCTGCGCCCCGAACGAGCCCCGGACGCGGGGGGGGGCAGACGGGGGGTGGGGGGCGCCAGTGGCCTGGACGTATGATTCAGATTATTAAGGCATTGCAGCCAATTCAGCGTCAGGTGGAAAAGCACTGGCCCTTTTGCGGCCGCCCTGCATTAAGAGACAAAGGGGTTTAAGTTTGATTCATTTCGATAACAAGACATGGATGCTCTGTATTATCATTTCTGGGAAGCTGTCCACTTCCATGGATTTGCTCGCCTTTGCCAAGAAGGTCCCCTTTTTCCAGGATGGGGTGGAACAAAATCACAGATTCCAGGGCACTCCCTATGTTTCCCAATTTGGTAGCTTTGAACCGCACCTTTGCAGGCCAACTTTGAATGTAAGGCAAGTGTCCCTCTTGTGGACAGATGTTTGCAGTATTCTCAGGTTTTTTCCTTTTGAAAGGTGTCGTAGTCGAGTTCCGCAAGCCAGCCATGTGAGTTTTCTATGGATGGGAAGCTTGTGGCGTGTGCACCGCTTCAGCTTGACAGCTTGGAGCGAAAGAAACGAGGGACAGGCAATTGGGGACGAACAAGAGTAGCCAGACTTAGTACAGAGCACACAGCGCCTAGACACTTTCAATACAACATGCTGGCGTAGGCGTGCGATATGTCATTGGCATTTGTCATTGGCATTACTGCGGCATTACCTTCCCCAAAGAAACACTGGCGCAACAAATGAGGCTTCCTTGGCAGGGATTGCTCAAGTCAGGTCAGGCCGAGCATGTTTGAGCAGGTAGATGGCTCATGCATATAGCTTTTGCACGGCTGGTTGGAAGGCAGGTTTCTGAATTGACGCATCCCAGCCCGTGAAGAGCGGGATCCACGCAACGAGTTGCTCAGAATCGCGCAGCATGCAGTCCACAACTGAGAGGCTTGATCTTTCTGGGGGCTACTGGAAGTCCAAATGGGAGCGCGTTGTTTACTCTTGCAGACGACTTAAAGGCGCCGTATCTACAACTGTTCGTGCAGCGCGCCTAGGCTTGAACTGGTCCGACTGGAAAGAGTTTCTGGCGCACTGCCCCTGCTTTTGGCTCAACACCACCGCCGAGGCTTTGCAGCTCAGCGAAAGTGAGGGAGCCAGGGTAATGCTACAAACGAACCAGGTGCCAAGCCTTCTGCTAAGGGAGTGCCAAGTTGGATTCTTCACATGCGCAAACGCCCCTTAGTTTCCTATAGACCGGCAGAAGGTGTTCTGAAGCCAGAAATGCTTGATTATGGGAAAGGTTGGGTGCTGAATTTGCACATGTGAGGGGATCAAGCTTAGCAGTTGTGGTTTGTTTCACAGGAATCCAGGAAGCTTTCAGGTGCCCTCTATCGTTCCAACCTGGAACAGAATTCTAGCTGCAACAGGCTGGTTGAAGAATGTTGAAGACCTGACCCACTTGCTCAGTGGCGCCATGTGGGTGTGGGTCAAAATTAAACCACCAGGGGACCACTGGTTTTAGTCCTTGGTTCCATTTACCAGGGTTCCACATTTTGACCCACAGCCATGTAGTGCCCAAGAGGCCAGTCTGGTTCCCAGCAAGACTTTGGGTGGCCCAGGTGCCGGGCTGGGCCAGTTGGATAGTAGTGCCACCCGCAGAGAAGACTCGAGGCCTTTCGCGTGGTTGCAGGGATTCATGTCCACACCGTGCATGCAGTGTCTCCAAATTGGGGGAGCCCCCCAAAATGGGAATGACCCCCCCCCAAAAAAAAACAAAAACAAAACAAAAACACGAGATCCGATCTCTTTTCATGGGTTTCTCAAAAGGAAAAAAAACAGTTCCATGGGTTTCTCAAGACAAGCCAATAAAACCCCCCCAAGCCTTCGCCACACTTGGCGGATGGCTCAAGTTTTCCTGGCGAGGTGGAGCTCCGTTGAATGCTTCGGCCACGGGGATTCCGTGGAGCTCAGCTGGGAGGCACCTTCGAAGGGGCGGCGGGGGGGGGGGGTCTTGGGGAGGTTCTTGGGGTCTGCGAATCCGAGTCTTCTGCAAAACTCGGGCCCCCCCCCCGAGGTAACATGGAGCAAACAGTTGAAATGGATTTACTCCCCAAGGGAATGTCTACGGACCCTAAAAGGGTTCCTCGAGAAATGTGACCTTTTTTTTGTTAGGATGCCCTGTTGCTCTTTTGTTCGGTCCGATGTTCTTGTAGTTGGCTTTTCTGGATGTTAAGCGTGAAGGATATTTACTGTAGCATCAGCCAAGAAAAGGGGCCCCTTTTTTCCCATGCATGGCCCTTTGGAGGGTTTGGGGGGTCCTAGAAATGCCTGGGGTAAGTCATGCACATTGGCATTCCTCCTTCCGTGCCCGGTCTCTGCGGTTCGCCAGGTGAGCCACTCGCAGGTGCCGAGCCTTTGCCACTTCGGAGGTGGCGAGAGCGGCCGCCTCTTCGAAACCGCGGCGGGGCGGCAGGACCTCACAGTGGCGCCATGGCAAGCCGATTGGACAAACAGCTGGGAGCTCTCATGGCGCCCCATAAGCCGCCAGGTTCAGAGGAATCTCCTCCTCTTCCTTTTTTGTTGAGGGAAGGGGGGCCAGCAGGAACGGGCCGTTTGACGGTATCCGGAAACATTGTCAACGACTCAGCTGAGCTGTTTCCATCCCAGAAACCGCTCGGGGCTTGGGACATATGCCATTCGTGCCATGCTTAAGATGTCCTGGGAGAACTTTGTGACGGTCCAGCGAAGGTTGTATTGGCCGCCTGAGCGCTTACTCCGATGTGGCTGTGGGTCAAAAATAAGGTAACCCTAAAATGGAACCCTGGTAAGTGGAAACATGGACCAACACCTGCGGTCCCCTGGTGGTTATTTTTTTGACCCACACCCATGTGTTGTCCTAAATGAAGTGGATATGTTCGTGGGAAATCTAGATTGGTACACCCATCCTACTACTTGATGGGTGTCACCCACAAAAGCGACGGATTCACTTAACCGTTGACAGGCACACAGGTGGCTCATTTGCGCAAACAGTTGGCGGGCATGCATGGGCAGGCCCGCGGTTTTAACACGAACCTTCTGGTGCTCGCCTCTGCTTGCATACGTGCAGTATGTCTTCATGTGAGTTGCGGGATTCTGGGCTGTGTGCGTCGTTTGTTTTGATCCATTTGAGGCCCAACGTGGACGCTTCCAATAAGTGATTAGCAAACCCGGCAACAAGCCCCGAACCACCCTAATACATTTTACCCAAATCAAACTATTTATAACTGATGGATGTGTCTTTCTGAGGGTACGCTTCTTTCATATTCTCGAGCCGGTGCTCCTTTTTGTTGCAGTCGCTCTGGATCTCCTCCAGCGACCTCAGCGCACATCTGCACTTTACCAGAGAGGGTTGGCCGCTGCGTTTGAACTGCATCGTCCTGGGCTCCGACATGTGCCTGGGACTATGGGACCGACTTGCGGGCCGACGGGGGGTACCTTACCTTTGGTTCGGTTCAGCGGTTGGATGCCCGGAGCAAATGATCAGCAATGATGTAGAAGCCGCACTCATTTCCAAGCAGTGGAGTACGGCAAGGAGAGATGTTTTTTGTTTTTTTTTGTGACCAGCCATTCTCAGTGGGTCGCACATCTCATGCAGGTTGCTGCGCTTGCATTCGTTCGCTTTTGGTGGTATCTTTGGTGGTTTGGTGGGTCAGTTCAGGCAACTCGTAGTTGGTGGTTTAGAATTTTGGTTTGAACAATTTGAACTCCTGGTTCTTGTAGAGGGTCAATGGGAAACCACCCCTTATCCACCAAACCACCAATCAGGGGGAAGCTGATTAGTTGTGATTGCTGACTGCTGGAGAGGCTGCCACCAAGCTCTTGGCAAATCCACGGCAATTGTTTTGAACTTAACAAATCATCCGGCCAAGTTAAACCAGGTCAAAGTTGTGATTTGATTCATGGGGCCAGTTAGTAAGTTAAGCAAGGTTGAAGTTGTGGTTTGAGAAATGCGATTTTGTTAAACAAGGGGAAGGAATTTTCTCTAGTTAGCCGTGGGGCTAGGGTCCCAGGTTGAGCCTGAACTACAAAACCATCCACAACCCTGGGGGAAACAGCGATCGGTTTTTGAAAAGAACTGGTTGAAAAGAGGGGAAAAGGAATCAACCCTGGAATCATAGAATGAAGGAGGCCTGTGGTCATAGGTGCCCTTTTTAGGTGAGGTTCCACTGGTTTAGGGTGGTTTCGGTTGGTGCTATTCCATTTCCCCTGGATTGGTCCGAAGCTTGGACGTTTTCCTCGGCCCATTAGCGAGGCGCGCCATGAATTTCTTCGGCTCCATGGGCCGAGTGGCCGTGGAGCCGGGCGAGTGTCCGGTGGCGGAGGCGCTGCTGGTGGGCCAGCGGTCCCTGGTGAAGAGGGCGGCAACAGACGCTGGGCCAGGCCACGGGGACACTAAGGCGGAGGAGATACTCCATTTTGTCGGCCCATATTTAGAGGGAGATAGCATGTTCAGATAGATTTTAAGCGGCAACTGGAGCAAGAGGACTTGGATTGGTGGCTTCTTTCTGGTTTTCTTTAAAAAAAGAAAAAGAAAAGAAGGTAAACTTGATTCATGGACCCAGGGTCATCCTGGCGTTTTGCAACTTTGCTCGTTTTAGTTTTGCAATGGGAGCCCAGGATGAATATCCGAATCGGTTCAGTGCATCAGGTCACACTCAACGCGTGAACGTTTGTGTTTGGACTGATAGCGCCCGGAAAACGAACCTTGGCCGCTTTCACACCCCAATGCAAAAGCACGCCCGGCAGCACCTCCAAACTGCGATTCCACATCATCAAATGCATGCAAAGTGATTCAGACCACCCACCCGGTTTCGCTTGGTGCCCCACTACGGATTTCGGGTTAGAGAGCCCCACTTTCGTTCCGGTCGGCCTACGCAAGGAAAGTTTCGAGACTCTGGCTGCCGACGCCCGGGACTTCCTGCGGCAATGTGGCGAGGTTTAGGCAGAATTCCTTTTGGGTCACGGCTGTGCGAAACATATTTTCCCCAAGCTCTCAGTTCTCTTTTGAAAGGGGCAAGGGAGCCTCTGAGGAAGACTGCAAAGCAGAGAGTTTGAACATTTCCGTCCTACAAGCGCGATGGCCGAAAATGGCAGCGCACAGTGAGTAGGGCAGCGTGGTGAGCTTGAAAAAGGCATTGTCCACGCAGAGTCGGCAGAGGCTGACCTGCGGCAACTCATCCACAAGCCATGTGGTCGGTGCACAATGGAAATCAGAGACCTTGTCTTGGCTGCTGTAGGATTGGATCTTCATTTTTTGGGGAAATCAAGGGGTTTTCCACTAAACCCCCAAAAAGTTAAACTTTTTGCAGGGGGGTCAACAGCAGCCAAGTTGTAGTTTGCAATGCAGGTGTGTTGGTTTGCTGTGGAAGCGCAGCAGGATCAGATGTTCATTTCATGTGTTGTCCTGTGGAGCGGAATCCGTGCTTATGAGAACCAACAAGTGTTTGCTTCTGGCAGGAACTCATTGCAACTGTGTCGCAAGCCTTTGCTTGCTTAAGGAAAGCAACAAAGAATCAGCTATCGCGGAGGGCTCCCAGCCAGTGTTCGAAACTCAACAATTGAGTGTGGCCGTTTTCCTTTGTTTTTCGCCAGCTGCAAGTGACAGGGTCAAGACACATTGTGCGGGGAGTAGTGGTTGAAATCATGAAATCCTTCTCGAAGGAAGGGTGAGCACTGCCAGCATCCGCGGACACACAGGTCGTGTAAACCTGTCACATGAACATAGCGAGTCTGACAATTGAAAAAGTCAGCACCAACGCTGAGGCATCTCCAAAAGGAGGGCAAATGGACGTGTTTCTAGACCAGCAGTTACTCGAGGTTCACTGTGCAGTGCTCAACCGATGCGCCGCCCAACCCAACATCCTCAATTTTTGCGATCGCCCCAGGGCTCTTTGCTCCCTCGCTTTGGACCCAGTTTACTTTGTTTAGATCCTTGTCCAGGTTCTTATTGGGCAAATATGCATCAAGTCTTGGCACCTCCGCTTGCCGACACGCCCTGGCTCAGTGTGATCTCGGATGCCACAGCATGCACACGATCAGCAAGTCGGGTAGTTCTTGGTGTCAGGTTTCAGCTTCAGCCATTGTCATTTGTCGATTGCTTGGCTTGGCTCGCCATGAACGCCGGATATGTGGCCAGATGCCTCAGGGTCGGGCTTTGCCGCTGAAAACTGCCGGTTGTTTTGCTTGGATGTTTGGCCAGGTCAGCTGGATTTCTTGGAGGCCGATCAACATGTAGTTTCATCGATATTTCAGTGGGTCGAGTTACAAGTGGAAGCGCAAGAACCTTGTCGTGCGCCATCTAGTGAGTGATGTGTTTGGATAGCCATTGGCCTAAGCAACCGGCGCATGTGAAGAATCCGTGGGAAGGCGGAGAATGCTTGATTCACCACCTCGCCTTACCCGCTTGCAAGCCGTATCTATGCTTGCTATCGTGGCAGGTGGTCAGAGGGCGTGGGTCGAAGAGACCCCTAGACCACACCCCTTAAGGGAATCTGTAGGGACTGCCGAAAACAGACCGAACTTGGAGGGTTATTTGATGTGATTTGGAGGCTCTGGTTCCGCCAGGGGTGTGCAGGTTTGCCTCGAATGGGGATCCGAATGTTTATACGACAGATTTAGGACTCCGGTGGCTGAGGCGAGTGGTGCAACTTGCATGCTACGCTCCCAAAGTATCTTCAAAATGGGCTTGCTGCCAACGAACTACGAGGGTGAACTGCCTGAGTCTTTCTCTAGACGGGATGTAACACCGTGTGTCTAGGCGTCTTGTGGTGGGTGAGAGGGACGTTCACTGGTCGGTTTGTTTGGCTTAGCCGGCTTGGGCTCCGTCCGTCCGATTTGCTTCCGAACCTCAGAAGTTTCGGGCCGTTTGGCCCACAGACCTACCGAACCTTCCCGTTTCGGCGAGGGATGCGGGGTTTGGCGCCATGCATTTCGATCGCCCTCCTGCAGTGCATCCGTGCCGATGAGGGGAGCTGCATGCCAGGCCCCGAGGCGGTGCTTCTTCAGATGGATCTGAGCCTTCGTAGCCCTGCCAGCCCCGCCAGCCCCGCCAGCCCAGATGTGGCCAGCCCAGCTCCGGGCGCCAAGTTTATTTGGCATTCTGACGCTCATGTTGATCCCTTCTACCTGACGGACAGGTGCTGCGTTGAAAGAGATTTGGAGCTACTGGATCTCAGCGCGCAGCCTCTAGGATTCATGGGGTGTAACCCGCCGATCAGCTTGGTGTCCCAGGCCTTTAGAGCATCTGCGGCCCACGATGCAAGTTTCGTTCTGTACACTGGCGATTTCGCGAGGCACGAGATCAACAAGGTGGTGAGCATGCCGGATTCTCTGACTGTTGTGCCTTTGACGGCAAAACAAATACTGTAATTACACGGCAAAAAGCTGAATCTTTCGTGATTTTACCGTGTCGCAGCCGGTGGCAGGCCCGTACGAGAGGAGCATGTGTTTGCCCTTGCCTCTAGTCGGACATATTGGGCCGAACTATAAACTTCATTTTCCTTGACTCATGTGGGGTATCGCATGTTATACCGCCAAGACACCGAAACACCACCGGGACACCGGGTCAGCGCCGCGCCCCTTACCTCAGCAGTCAAAGCGACAGAATGGTTTCTGCTACAGGTTGACGTGCCTCGAGGCAATCTCCTCGTCGCAATGGCTGGTGGGCGCAGAAAGGTTTCGCCCTTGGCTCTAAAGGACATATCTTTGGACATGGCGGCCAATGTGCAAACTTAACTTTGCTTAGCCTATCAAATTTCAATCAAACTAAAGTTCCTTGTGCAAAGTGGTCTACGAGCCACAATATCAGCCGGCGTTCCATCCCTGAAAGGGTTGAAGAGGAAGAGCTTGCGCCTCCACCTTCTGTGAACTAGCGTTCGGGACACGGACACACCAGCACACCACCACCCGGACACCGCAACCGACATTGAAAACGCCACCAGGACAATACCAGGGCACCACCAGGACACCACCAGGACACCAGCGCACCCCCCCAATCTCGGCAAAATCGGATCCGCGGGCACTTTCCGAGCAACAACAACATTCACTAAATATACATATATATATATATATATATGTGTGTGTGCTTATACATATGACATACTGGATCCAGAGCTGGACGTCCGTTCATCCCCGGCATGTTTTGTTTTCTTGATTGAACACCCTTTGCTTTCTTGCTTACTTTGATGCCCAGGTTACTGACATCATCAAGAACATCTCTCTGTTGGCGCGCCAAGTTTTCAACGAAGTGTCACCCGTATTTGGCACACTTGGGAATTCAGATGCCGGCTTGGACTACTTCATGCCCATCACCTCCAACGAGTCAGTAAACCCATGGTTCTCCCAGATCGGCGGTTCTATAGAGCATGCTGGGCTGATGACCCAAGGAGAGCTACAGGAATTTAAGCATGGTGGCTTCTTCCAGGCCAGAGAGGGGAATCTCAGCATTCTGAGCCTGGATACGGTGATCTACGCCATGGATCACCTGCCCATTCGCCCATTGGAAGCTGATCCTTTTGGACAGTTTGCGTGGCTGCGGCAGCGGCTGCGTGAGGCGGCGACTGCAGGGCAGAAGGTGTGGATTGTGGGTCATGTCCCTCCGGGCATTGAAACTTTTGGGTACACCGAACTATGGCACCCGCAGTACGTGGAAAGGCGGGGCTCGCGTGTTTTTATTTTTTTGCAGCTTTCAGCCACAAAGAAAGAGAGAGATAAGGGAGAGAGAGGACGTGAGAACACACACAAAGGGAGAGAGAGGGACAAGAAGTGCTCGGGAGGGAAAGGGCGTGGAACAAGTTTGTCTTTCTTGAAACTCAACATCAATATAGAAGTCCTTCATGTCCTTGCGCAGTTGCATTTACATGCCAGTTCAATCTCATGTACACAAGTCAAAAAGCATTCTGACTGAGCCTATGTAGGTCAAATGCGCAAAGCAGCTATCTCAGTTGGCGTTGCTTGTCTAATTCGATTCAGGCATGGTCAATAAAAACTGCCGAAATTCAGGAAGGATCTTGAATATAACATGCTCTCGAGCTCAATCTAAATTCAACTCAGAACTATTGAATTTCAACGCAGGAAGGGGATCGATTTTTTAGATGCTTTCGAGTTCAAACAAATTCAACTCTAACCGGTTGCAGTTCCTTAACGCATCGCAAAACACAATTGGAGAACAGCTTTTGTCGTGGCCAGTTGAAACTGGAATCAAACGCAATTTCAAGGTGTTTGTCCCATGTGGTTTGAAAACCCATTGGGTCCGTGTGGTTACACGTCCCGCAAGCATGGATCTCGTGCCGCAAGCGGTGTGCCAATGGGGAAAGCTGTTGAGAGTCGTGATCATGCTGTCGTTTGTAAATCTATGGCGTGAAGCGAAATCGCATGGGCACACTCGTTTCACTTAGATGGTGCGGACGACGCAAGTCCTACCCGCCCCTCACCCCCACGCAAAGCCAAGGGTCTGGTGTGCCATGCAGGGCCGGATGCTTTGAAGGCTGTTTGGCGATGAAATTCAGGGGCGCAAACCAGTTCCGGGGCTGTCGGTAGGTTGTTTGAAAACGCATGAAAACAACCGGTTTGCCACGGAGGAAGTACTTGTTGGGTGATAACACATAGGGGTGGCTATGAACAAAGAACTTGCAGCACATGTTGGTGAAGTCACGGACAAGGCAGTTGCAACATGAACGAGCAGTATTGATGTGGTGTGCCAGTAAAATTTGCTTGTGGGGTGAGATCCGGCTGTTGTGGGGCGAGCAATGCGCGAAGCGGTGGGGTGAGATGTGGGTTCGTGGGTGTGAATCCACGCTGGGTCGTAGCAAGAACTGAGCGAAGCGAATAACAGTGTTTTCAAACATAGATTCTTACCATAAACAAAAAACCGCTGGAAAAAACGGTGTTTTCAGCATTTGCTTAGATTGTGTTGCTGTGGGCCAAGGGTCGAACATTCAAGATCAATCTTGCCCCCCCCCCGCCCCCAAGCGTCACAGTGTTGTCCAGGCTCTCTCAGGTTCTCCCACCTGCATGCAGATTGGACATTTCCGAGGTTTTGTTTCTTTTTGAGAATTTTCCATCCTGGCAGTCCCTCGAGAAGAAAGTCATTGACCCCACATCCCCTGTCCAGCCGACTTGACACTCAACAAGCCGAGCTTACCAGTCGGCTGGACACCCAGCAAGCAAAGCAAGAGGCAGATTTGCTTGATCTGAGCCACAATGTTACCAAGGCATGCAGCGTTCCTTCTCCGAAAGCCGTGCCCTTGCACTGCGGCAGCAAAGTGCCGATGTGCGAAAGCCGTCAAAGGATCCCGACCCTCACCTCGTGATGGGCCCGAAGATCCGCACAAGAAGCCAAAGCTGGACGCCTGACGGGACCGACCCGCCAGTTTTGTTCATGGGGAATTGACGGGAGTGGTGGGGCCCCCTGTCATTTCTCCCATTGAAATGACATTCCCATCTCTGCATGCCCTTTGCGCCTCTCCATATGCTGTGATTTGCATCTTGTACCGGGAAATTCTGCGACTAGTCTCCTTTGTGCAGCCAGGAGCCATTCCTTGCCGTGCCAAACCATTTGTGCTCGTAAAGCCTTTTGCACCCAGAAGGGATTGCAAGCCCGTGCTTTCACTTCATTCCATTGGTTCGAATGCAATGTGTTACCGTTAATGATACAAAGGCAGTGCACTAGGCACAAAGGACGACTGCTTCAGCCACATTGCAGTGGTCACTACTTTCATGTTATTTACACTCGACATTTCTTTTGCATCTTGAGGACGACACCTTGTACAGCCAATCGTGTCACAGACATTGCGTTCACCGTGAAAACCGCCAGGCGTGTACCAGGACTTGCCTTTTCTTTACTTTTCTGGAAGCTTGCCGCATTGGAGAAGCCAGCAATCCCGGGCCCTCCCCAGGCCCTTGCCAACAAGACACCTGTCCTTCAGGAAATCGGTGCGGGCATTTTGTGCCTTTCTGAGACCAGTTGTACTGCTGCAGTCCAACGCGATGAACAGCGTCTTCTCAAAGATCTCGGTTCTTCTGTTCATTGGGGTTGCCCTGTTAATTCCTCCCCACAGTGACGTTTCGAAGGGAGATGAGGCTAGACGAGGAAAACCCCTGCGGGTTGCGATTCTTTCTAAGCTCCCCATGCGGCCCCCTGCCCATTGATGATCCCTTTTACCAATCTTGTCGGTTGCAAGAAACGTGGATCAAAGTGCACAGCATCAACCTTTGTGTCATTGTGATCTATGCATTCACTGACGCTCACACGGACTCGCACGAGAAAAACCGCGTTCTCCTTTCTTACGCCCTTCAACGGGCACGTCAGGCAGTACCTTTTGTTGCAGTTGCCGCTGATTTCAACAATGCATTGAATAACTCACCCAAGGGTCTTTAATGGTTTTATCAGTGCCCGGGAGTGCACTTTCCTGAGAGAATCGAATCCACCCGACTTGTAATGGTGTCACTTTTAATGATACGATGCTGGCCAGTGCAGCAGTGTTCGAACTCATCGAAGGTGCTGGTGCTGACGCTTTGACCGAATGTGCCTTTGGTAACCATTTGCCTTTCGTTCTCACACTCAAGCCGCCGCCGCAGACACATGTCACTAAAAGACTGTTCATTCCTCAAGGTTGGACCCAACTCGACTTCGACAAACAGGCTAGTCACTCAGCACACATGTCTAACTGTCTAACCGTGATTTGTTGATAAACAATCGTTGGCAAGTGATACCTCAATCGACCATAAACTATGCCAATGGGCTCGACACGTGGGAGATTCCATTTGCATCCGCAAAAAGCTTTTTGAGACAGGTGAGCACCATCCCAGTCATACACAACTGCCGAAACGGTTTCGAGGTCGTTGCCATGGCCCCAAATTTGTGAGTGTGCAGACGCACGGGCCACCAAAAACTGGTGGCGTCAATCAGTTTTCCCCGCTGTCTGACGTGTGCACCCTTGCAGCTACTCACAAAACTCGCCAAGTGCGCCGACTCGAAAGCTTCTTGAAAAACCTTGAAGCTGCCATTGCCAATTGCAGATTGACCGAGCTCAAGGAGCACCTGCATGCAGAGTGGCGTGCCATACGCAGCGCACCTGGATGTCCTTTTGGATTTCAGCAATGGGCCATCTCTACGGCCTCTTCTCTGTGGCTGGTGTCTCTTTTCAGTGAAGGAGCTATTCCATGGATTCAGCACCTTTTAGAAGCTACACGGACTGACTGCCAAGCCTACTTCCGACTTGCACGTGAATCGCGCATCAAAAACTTCCAAGACAAAATTGAAAGTGATTGGAAGCACTTTGGTGGCAAATCTACTTGTAAGCTCATTAGGAAGACACCCGCCCATCAACCAGCTAATTGAAGTAATCCATGCCAAGGCTACTCGCCTCCGCAGCACCAACAAGGACAAACCCCGCCTCCAACTCGATACTCATCTTTGTGTCTCGCCATCGGACTTCATCTCCATTAATAGGGCCACCCCACTGTGGTCGTTCGTAAAGAGAACCTGACACTGACAGTCCGCAACATTCCAGCTCAGTGTCCTGTGCACTGCAATGTCGAAGTTGAGCTTTGGATCACGGCACCACCCGACATTGCCAAACTCATTGAACGTGAATGGCAGCCACTGTGGAATCGTGACTCGCCGGATGAAACCCGCAACATCGCTAATTGGGAACACGCCATTGCCACTATTGAGAAACTTGGATGGTAGGCCGATGTGATTTCTGCCATTAGCCGTACCCGCTCCCAAGCCGCGAAGGGACTATGTGGCTTTTCCCAGCCGGAGATGTTGTCTCTTTCGGACCCCCTGCTTGAAGACCTCATTCACATGTTCCAGACCATGCAGGATCAGCAAAGCTGGCCACAGATACTGCTGGCAGCACGTACTTTTTGCACAAAAAAGCTTCCGATTTGCGCCTAGGCGACACCAGGCCCATTACTATTTTCCCTCTCCTTTTCTGTCTTTGGGGTAAGGTCCTCAGTGAAGCCATCATTCGAATTTGGGAACCCAACATCCCCCGCTTGGTTGCGGGCGCAGTGCCTGACAAGGCCTGCTCGGATATTTGGTGGTGGATACATGCACAATGTGACCTTGCCAGCCATCGTGGGCAGGTTGTCTATGATTTGCGCAGGACTTCTCAAAGTGCTACAATTGTTTGCCTCGCGTCCCAATTTGTCGGTTACTCGTTGACTTTGGTGTTCCCCCTCACCTGGTATCTCTTTGGGAACAGGCTCTTTCGCATTTTGTTCGCTACTTCATTCTTGGTGGGGATACGTTTGGGCCGTACTCATCCACTACTGGTATTCCCGAAGGAGATCCGGTCAGTGTTCTCGCGATGCTAGCATTCTCCTTCCTTTGGAGCCGTGCCCAAACCGACCAATTCACTCAGGCCTCTACCTATGCCGACAACCTCGAACTCTTTTCTTCCAATTTCTCTTCCATTTCCACCCTCTTCAATTCCAACATGTCTTTACAGGTTGCTTGGAAACAGCGTATTGCCTGGAATAAGTCTTGGGTTTGGTCTAACAAAACTTCCGGTCAGAAAATGTGGCGGATATTCTTACAACAACGTGCCAACTCTGAGGACGAAGCTGACACGCCTCCTATCCTTAAAGCTGCCACCAAACTTGGCGCCGTTGTCCCGAGAAACGAGACAGCTTAAAAAGGGAGTGCATTTTTAGAGTATCGTTTTAGAAGCTGGAAAGTGCATTTTACATGCATTTTTACGGCAGCCATGTCAGTTTTTGAACAACAACCTGAGTACCATAGATATGTATATATATATATATACATATGTATGTGCATATTTCTGCGGGTGTTTGAAGACTGCGTGGCTTTCTCTCTTGATGTCTCTATCATCACCATGCGGCAGAAGTACTCGCTTGCTTGGACACCCACACATAAGATAATTACACAGATACAGAGACAGACAGACTGGCTGACTGACTGACTGACTGACTGACTGACTGACTGACTGACTGAGTTGTTTTGTTAGTAGAGTTCCTCTGTTGGGAGAGTCGGGGAGTTGGAGTGCGGAGAGTCAGATCGGGTCCCAACGGCCAGATACCTGGACATCGTGCAGGATGAGGTGCTGGGTGCAGTAATCGCTGCCCAGCTTTTTGGCCACGTCCACAAGGACGAGATCCGTTTGCTGCCCAAGCCGCCCAAAGGCCGCGCGTTTGTTGAAATGGACTTGGAGAGAGGTTGTGTGTCAGAAGTGGGGATTTCTTAGGTGGTTGGTTTTGGCAAAAGGGTGTAACCCGCTTCGACGCAGACTACCTTCGGGCCATCCAAAACCGGCGGTTTTTCAAGGGTTGCTTCACGAAGCCCTTTGAACTGTGTGATTTGGTGGGGTTTGAGGGACCGTACCGCGCGTTCCTGAAGGCGCCGGGCCGATCTTCCTCTCCGGAGCTCTTTCCCCGATCCACTACAACAATCCATCCTTCAAGATCGTAGAGTATGTGCCATGCCCGAAATCATCCCCAGCGCTTCCAGCTACCAGCATAGTGGGTAATCAACGTTTCTTACCTCCAGGTTGTACATGCTTCATGGTTACCTGCTAGACTGGTAGCTGTAGCACTGAGATCGGCAGCGTCTTGTAGCTTGGTATTTCGGCGTTTATCATCATTGGACCCCAGCATTGACGTGCAATAGAGAACAGAATGGGATCGAGGGTTGTCACGCCCCTTTCCGCAATCCGAGGATGGGTTTGATTGCAAAACCTTTCAGGCCCCTTGTTGCTTGTTGATTCTTTATGTGGCCTCAACAAGTCCTAGCCTGGCACAACCTTTTTCATTGTGGCCTTTTGCTCTGTTTGTTTTACGCTAGCGGTCCCCACGCCTGTTTGTTTTTACTATGGCATTAAGCCCGACCTCTCCGGGTTTCATCCAGCCGCATCCATTCGTTTGTTTTTGGCCAAGGTGGATTTGTAAGGTTTACGCCGGCCTTAGGGGGCAAGGGACCTCACCCTCAGGGGGCAATGAAATGACATCAGCCCTGGGAATCAATCAATCACCCGCTGGTGAAGTCGTGCAGTCTTTTGTGGATCCCGAGGATCAGGCCTCCGGGCGCCTCAGGAATCTTAAGACCTTCATCGCGGAGGTGGGAGGCAACTTCTCACTGAAATACGATATGGTCACGGCCTATGGCCTCCAATCCTTGTCCATGGAAAGCATGATGAACCTCTCCCAGCGCCTCTTAGATGCTTGGCGGAAAGGATCAAAAAACCCTTTTTGTTTGGTGGCTTCAAATCCAAGAGAAAAGGAGGTCGACGGTCCCTTTTTCTGTCAGGCAACTGGGGGGGTCGCGAGATGCACGTTTTCGGAAAGTGATTCCCAGCCATCTTGCCCATCCCCTCGTTCTTTTGTGTCGAGTGTTTTGTTTTTCCTGGCACATGCACCGAAACACGTTGCCGGCCTTGCGGCCGACAGCTCTGCTCATGCTGCAGTTCGTGGAGGTTGCTGTATCGCCCATGAATTTCAACCCGGTGTTCTCAGAGTTGAAACAAAGGTGCACGTTTTAAGCAGTCTTCAAGGTCTGCCAATGTGAGAATCTAATTCTAGCTTCGAATTGTAATGCCTTGAGGTTAGTTGCTTTGGGCAACTTACCGTGTCCTTTGCCTGTGCAAAGTCCAGCATGCACGTTTGCCATTCCTCGCAACACCGATCGTTAGACCGGGCCCTTTCCTGCACATGCGTGCCCATCAAGCATGACCAAACAGTTGGTCCACCTTTGTTGGTGCCACTTGTGACGAATGCCCTGAGGATGGGAGGCATCATGCCACGTAAAACTGAAGGTCCTACGGTCCGCGTCACATTGGTGATGGGTGTTCATTTCCTTTGACAGAGCTGGCTGACTTAAGACAGGCCTGCCTCGCGCGCCCAGGAGGGGACAGATGCCTGGAAGACGTACGCAAAGTGGTATGCCAGCGGCTACCCAAACGAGTTGCAGAACTTTACTGCAGGCAGCTCTGGAAACTCCAGCTTGAAGAGCCTTGGCCAAGCCCCAAGCAGCTTCCCGAGATCCCCTGAAAGCACACTTGTGATGTCAGGGACAGAGAGGCTTCTGAAAATTGTTGGGGTTCACCCTCTCCACGGCTAAGTTGGAAACCCCTCCCTGGATCCTTCTCACAGTCAGCCTCAGCCCACCTCGGCCTGGTTTGCCGGGTGCGTAGGACGTATCTTGCTTGTTCTTGGTGTGGAGGTTGGGAGAGAAGCAAACACCAGCGAGGGAAACGATTCCCATTCTGCCTTTGCTTGCCAAGTTGCGCCAAGCTTCGGGTTTCTTTCAGCCCCTAATATGGGGGTGTCATCTTTTCAGGGTACCTTTTCTTGGTGTTTTTTCAAGGTAAACCAACAGGACCACAGCAATTTTAGTGGGTGCCCAAAAAACAGCACAGACCCATCTCACGTGTTTCTCCATGCCTGCACTCATGTACAGGTCCGAAATGTGAAACGTGGTTTTTGGTGGCAATGTCCATCAGCCAGTTACAGGGAAGCCAGGGATGCCTGCCTTTTTCCATGTGGTTTCCTTGAACCCCGAACCCCGTGTTTCCTCCCACAGGTCGGATTGGGTGGATTTGGGGTTCCACGCGCCAAGCTTGCGCATGTACAGGAAAAAACGCATCGGATGATGAACCCCCCAAAGGCCAAGTGAAGCTGTCCCCTTCAGGTCCCAAAGCGCCAAAACCGTGGCTTTGGGGTTCCCAACTCGCGCAGAGGAAGTTCCTGGCGCTCCCCTTCAGGTCCTCGTGGGCCGCGAAAAACGTGGCCGTGGGGTGGTTCCACCCCCCGGTTCGTCCGGTTGCGCGTGGGAGCTCAGGATGCTGCAGCGCCAGCAGTACCTCTGCGCCATGGTCATCCGCAGCTCCAAAAACTTCGAGGCCTGCGCCGGGCTGTCGGCCCAGCTCCTGCCCCCCGGCCCTGTGGGCGCGCCTCGGAAGGATCTCACCTGGTGCTCAAAAGATGTTGTGGCCAGCTGTCTTCGTTCAGGTCCCTGTTTGGCCTGTTGTGTTCTTCTTTCTTCTTATCTTTTTTTTCTTTTCTCGTGTTGCCAGTGTTTGGACAGTTTCTTTTTAGTAAAGGCCCCAAAAGGTGATCTCCTGTCATTTCTTCCTCTTGTTTTTTTGCAAGTGAGCTGTTGCCATGTTTGTTTGCATTCATGGTAGTGCAGTCTGTTAGAAATATATTGAGGTGTCAATGTTCATGCCGTTTCCTCTTGTACGTCCATATTTGCAGATAGTATTGTCGGGTTGAGTAATTACATCAGATGTCGGATTAAACCATTTAAAAAGTGCAGCAGTGTTTAACTAGTATGGAACTAGCATGTTTTTGTTCCTCATTCATGTTGGTTTTGCTTTGAGGTGATTAGTATAGAGCGGCAACAGCCCAAATCAGATCGATTTCTATGATATTGTGTGCAATCCCTTGTAGGTGTCAGCGTTTGTTCAACCCAATGATGTCGCATGAGCTTTACCAATTGACCAACTGCCAAAAAGCATTTCTGACAAGTTCTGCGTTCAGAGCTAGGACTCTTTGTTTGTTCTTCAAAGAGCTAAGGATGTATTTCTACAAGTTCCGCATTTGTTCACCTGTTTCTATCCGTTGAGTATGCTTATATGCTGAGCCTTCTAGCAGGTTCAGTCTGAATTCTTGTTTGGGACCCCGGTAGGGATGGAGATGCGATTTGGAAGTCTTGGATCCTCAAGCCTGGGGCACCAGGAGCTTTCGTTTTTTTGGCTTTTGTCGGGTTCCTTTTTTCGTGGGTTTGGATTGGTGTAGTTTTTTCTTGGGTCATTGAGAAACCCGAAAAGCTCCAAAACTTTGCCGGCTCCACACCAGCAAGTGCGAGGAATGCCTGACAAGACACACACCGCTGGTGTCGATGAATGTGTGGCTGGCCCTGCGGAGAAGCAAAAAAAAGCAAAAAGAAGAGCAAAAAACAAAACAAAACTAGAAATCAAAAAAAAGAAAGAAAGAAGAGAACCTGCTGAAAGTGGGGTCCCGAGGAGAAGGAGCGCCTCCTCTTGGGTCGCCTGGTGCGGTGGGCGCAGAGGGCGGGCACGCCAAAGGCGGCGGCAGTGCTGCGCCTGGCCCAGGCAGGGCCGGCCGCGTGGGAGAGGGCGGGAGGGCCTTCGCGGTAAAAAAACGCACCGGGATGGGTTCTACCTTCATTTTGGGGTCCATCCAAGATGAACCGACATGAAGGTGCCATCGGAATCCTTTATCACTTTATCTTTCCTTATTTGGATTTCTGGTTGTATGACTTTATTATAATGATTGTTTGTCATGTCCTTCTTCTTGAAGTTGATAAAGCCTGCTGCCAATGATAGACAGCTCCTATAGATTCAGAATATTCATGTTATTATCATACTATTCTTTGCGGTTGTAATCAGCATTCTTGCCATAGTGGCAATGCTCTGGCCAAATTGCAGGGCGCAGTCAAGCCACAACTGGGGCCTGTTTTCCCATGCTTGAGCCACCACATGCTCAGCATCAGCAGCTCATGCAACTTGATTTGGGACTGCAGATGATGTGTCCTTGCAACAGCTTGCCTGGCCATACCTGGCCCCTCGAAGAATCGCAGTGCCGCAGATGAAGGGGACCTCCATCAAACGCCAAGCAGGAAGCGTGATTTCGGGAACAGCACAGGCTTCTATTGATTGGGGGTCCAAGCTTGCCTTGGTTCCATTTTGGTTTGACTCAGTTTCTCTGCCGTCGCATCAGCCAGCATCATGCTTGAGCAGCCGGATTCACTTTTTTGGTGTGGTTGCAGGCCAGGCAAATTTAGATGGGAATTGCTCGAAGCAAAGTAGTTTTAGAGTTCGAACGCCCCTGGCCACATGGTGCTCATTTCAAGTCCCTTGAAAGATGACCCAAAAAAGCTTGAAAGTGGCCACTGAGCAGATATGTCCCCAAAGGAGACACCTCTGTGCAATTTTTTCAAGTGAATGGGAGAGCTATCGTCCTTGTCCTATGTTCGGTGTGTTTCGTGACATGTAAGGGGGGGCGCGGGATGCCCTTAGCGGCTGTATGTTGCGCCCCCGCTGGTGGCACGTTGGAGGAACCTGGCTTGTTGGGGTTGGGACCCTTGGGCTCCTCCCGTCCGTCGGACATACAGCCAGGATATCGCCATTATGGTGTGTGTTGTTTTGCACATATTTCCTGGGGTGTGGCTTGGGGGAACCCGGACGCTTATTGATATGCGGCCTTATACGGCTCCTTTCCACGAGTAGGGTCCCCGGGCGCGCAGGAAGAGCAGTGGCGCGACCTTCTGCAGCTTTTTGGGCATTACATCCACAAAAGCTGGAGTAAGGGGAAGCCGCTGGACCTCGACTCTGATGAGGCAAGGGGGAGGCTTCCAGTGCCCTGTGTTTTTTCTCGCCCCTTTTGGGAGAGGTTTCGGGAACCAAATTGTCTTAGATACTCCTTACCTGGTTTGGATTGGTGGTTTGGATTTGGATTCGAAGCCTTGGTTCTTGTGTGCCCTGTGATCTGCAAGGTCGGCTGATTGTCTGAGGGGCGGGGTGCTCCGCCCGGAATTGTGCATTCTGGGCCAAGGGGTACGGTCACAATGGCGACCATCAATTTGTTTGGTAGCAGCTTCAATTTATTTGATTCTCACATGGGTTTCACCACGCAGCTCAGCGCCGCGACGCAAAAGGCAGGTGGTCTCCGCGAATGCATGTTCTTGCTTGGTGCCATGGCAATGCTTTGCACAGCATAATTTTGAAGGTACTCCGTTGTTGTTTCTTTTTCAGAAATCGTTGGTTTTGGGACACACCCAAAACCATGCGTTTTTGGGGCACACCCAAACCAAGAGGCACATGGAGCCTACCAAACTTGGCGAGCGGCACATGTCGCATTTACGCTGGTGTGTTTCAAACATTTCCAGTGGCCCACGCCAAGACCCCGTATCAAGTGGTGCTCCGGTTGTGCCCTTGTCCTTCGGAGTCTGGCGATATGGCCCTTGCTTTCTTCTCTCTGTTCTACACATCATCGTGCGACAATGATTGTTCACACGTGGCCTCAATCACTGCGCCTGCTAAGTCCTGGCTGATGAAAACGCGCAAGCCTCACCTACAGAGTTGTTTTCACTAGTCTGAACTTCTCCAAAGCCCAGCTTTTGATCTTTAGGCCTCAACTTTGGTCAAGGTAAGGCAAGCCGCTTTTTCTGCAAGGTCCGTTTGGGGAAGTGTTGTGCCTCTCAGGCGGGAGGAGGGCATCTCTGGCCAGCCCCGAGCCTGGTAGTGTGGGAGGGAAGTTTTGGTTTACTTTGCCGTAGGGCAAGCCAAAGTGCGCGCTGAAGCACACACGTGCCTCTAGTGTGCTATTGGTTTGGACCCTCCCAGGGGGGTCCCTTGGCACGGGGCTAAAAAAGGTCAACGCAAGTAGCTCCTGAGAAGGTACTTGGACCCGTGCTGCCCAACACCTCACTCACCTCACTCACCTCACTCCCCGACTTCCTGGAGTTTGTTTGGCCTGGCCACTCAGAAAGCGAGACAATGGTCATTTGTTCCAAAACTGTTTCGCAAGGATGCTTTTTGGGACATATGTGATTGCTGGGGAGCTTGACGCGAAAGCAACGTGTGAGTCCGGTCTGGACCTCGACGCCTCGGGCGATGACAGCGACAGCCTAGAGGCGGGAGGTTTTGAAGTTTTGTCCCGTCCCGCTTCAGGTGATACATCTGGGCAAATTCCCGCAAGCTCCGGGGGCCAAACGAGCTCACCCATGAAGGTTCCAAACGGAATTCCGAATCCGAGTTGTACCAATTTGAGACCAGGGGAGCGCCGTGAGTTTCCTGCTTTGGGCCGCTGAAAGCATGGATCAGAACCGTCTCAACTTGTGGGGCCGTGCGATTCGCGGGAAGCCTTCCAATTGCTGAAAGAATATTTCCGTTATTTTCCCCTGTTGGTTTTAAAGGGAGTCCATCACTACTGGAAGCATGTTTATTTTTCCCAGGGGGCTAAAGCAAATGGAGGAAACCCAAACATGGGGGGTGCCGTTTCTCACACAACTCGGCCGTTTCATCTTCCCAGCGCTGCTTGAGCGCCGGAAATTCGGGGGGCCTAGAAGAGATCCTTTGAGGGTTCAGGTGCTTAAGAATCTGGTAAACCGTTGCCAACCAAAGGTGGGCAGGATTCGCTTTTCAAATCGGGATTTTGCATGGCATTTCAAACTGGCGACAGGACGACGTATTCCAAGATGCCATCGGACTGGAGGACGAAATGGGCGCCGTTCTCGTCGGCTTCGGCCTTCCTGTGCGTCGATTCCGGTCCCACGGAATCGCTCACCTTGGTTTCGACACGTCGAGGGACAGTCTCCAGCAAGTGGCTTGAAACCGACTGGACCTTTTTGGTAGGACCCGATGGATGATGACGATGACGATGAAGATACTGGCACAGGGGCTCAGTTGCCCGCGGGTTCTGGGTGCTGTTTTCCTTGGGTACCTTGCTCCCCAACAGCGTCACATTGCAAGACTCAGGGCAGTGAAAGTGGACACATCCGACTCTAGCATACTCCTGCCATGTTCAAATGGTTTGTATTTGGCGCTTGGGTCAGCTGAGATCTGAGGCTTGTCTCTGAGAGAGGTTGTTGCCGGCTTCCTCAACATCAACCACATCCACGTGTGCGCGGCTCAGTTGCTCCGGGACTCGGAGACTCGGAGCCTCAAAGCCATCGGCGCATCGGCGCATCTGTTGGTTTTTGTTTTTTCCCTTTGCAGGCGGCCAGTTGTTGGCCTCGCCGCCTCGCGAAAATCCCTGAGGCTTCCTCTTTTTCGTTTTTTTTTTTTTTTTGTTTTTCTTCTTCTTTTTTTTTCTTCTTTTTTTCCGTGCTGCTTCTCTTGAAGTATGTTCATTGCAAGCGGGAAGGATGCCATACTCGCAAGTTGCAGCTCGGGCACGCAACGGCTAGAGGCTTAACAATGCGCTCCAAAGGCACTGCGTGCTGCCGTGTGTGAGCCACGCTAGCCTGTATCTTGATGTATGCCAGGTGTTCGGATGCGCTTTTGGCGTACCCCTGTGGATGGCACTCAGAACAACGGAAGTCCGCAACCACCAAAGCCTCGAGGCTGCCATTCCCCTGATCATAGGTGTGTGATCCAAGTTCGTGTTTCCTTTTGCGGTTCAATTTTAGTTGGCCTCCAAACATGTCAATCTCAGTTGGTGGCCTCAAATTCTGTTGGCCCGTGGCTCCTTTCTCCAGGATCCCTGAACTGAGTCTTGAGTCTTGACCTCGTGCCGCAGGAACTCCGGGACCTTCCAAGAAGACACTCGAGAGATCAGGCCTGATCCGCTTCCGATCCGCAAAGGCCTTTCTTTCGGTGGTAGGCCCTTTTTCCCCCCAGATAGCTTTGGCTTTCGGGGTTCTTGCTTGTAAAGAGGTGGTGGCTTGTTGTTGGTGTTGGTTGGAATGGTCATACACCCAAGTCATGGACCGTGAAATATTATTGATTGAGACAACGTTGATCAGGATGCCTATTAGGCGTCTGCGCGCGAAGCAATTCGCGCCAATGGTCCTGACTCGACCTGGGAGTGTGACTCACCCGAGCAGGGGTCACTCATCCAACAAGTGAGTTGGGCTTTCCCACGTGGTCGTGTGGTGGTGTAAGGGGCTTCGCAGCTGCCATGGGTTTCACTTGCCGTGCCAGGGCACAGCCCCATCGGTTCTGGCCTTGCCGCATGGCGCTTGCTGTCTGGCTGTGATGCAGCCTGGTTTGCAACTGTTGCAGGCATCACGCCGCTTGGCGTCCCCGATTGGACAGTAGACCGCGCCCGGCATTTGTGCGGCCGCTGAGAGAGGTGCTGTGACTATGGCCAGCCACTTTGGCCTTCGGTTCGTGAACGCTGCATTGAAGATCCTTCGCTTTCCACGGCTCTATGCCGTCCGTTTCGGCTGGCAAGGAGGTGACTTTCTGGAACTTGGCTGTGGCCTTCGGTGGGTCCTTCCCAGCGGCGCAGTTTGGCCCGTCAGGCTGCACCAATGCGGGTCTGCGTCCTGCGCCGGGGCCCATGCCCCATAGTTGCCTGCAGGGGCGGGTTTCTCTTCAAAAGCGCTGGCCGGCTCGGAGCGTTTTACGCGCAAGCCATCGGAGAGAGAACGGTTCCTGTGACGGGAACCGCGACCCAGATTTTGGCTGCTAATTAGCTGTTTTTGATTAAGCATATCCGGCGTTCCTCAAGCCTTGTGTCACATGTCCTGCCAACTGATCATGATTTCCCACGACTTGATCGGGTCTAAAGGTTTTCGAGTTTCACGCAACTTAGCAAGTTGACAGATGTCAATTTCTTGTTGGTCAGACGTCTGTGCACCTTGATCAGCCTGCCTAAAGCTTCCGTAGAACTTTGTTGGATCTCACGAGTTCATATGTTCGCAAGACTTCAGATTCCTGTACCTTCGCCAGATGTCCCAAACACTTTGTCAGATTTCCTAAAGCTTACTCAGATCTTTGCATGAATCGCACGCATGGAGCCATTCAAACATATAACCCAGTCGTGAAAGCTTTTCGTTTGAGCCAAGCAAAGACCAGATGGATGCTTTTGACATTCCTTGAGGCCCTCGCTTCTGACTGCAACAGTGCTAAACAATGGCACTTGCCATGTCTTTTGGTCCGAACACTGCGAGGTTTGACCCTCTCCCATCTCAGACTGCTCGCGGCCCGCTTAGTTAGCAGACAGCAATACTAAACACACACACACACAGTTACATGTCGTCCTGATTCTGATCATACCGGAACTGAACCGCCAATTGCAGCAACTTAACAATGACCCGCAGAAGGAGTTTTCACCAACAGCCCATATGCAGTTCTGAACATGGGCACCTCGTTTCTGGGACATTCTGGGACTGTTTGAAAGGGAAGCCAACAGCAAGTCAACAACCGGAATGGGGTCAGTCTTTAGAGGCGGCGGCAACTAGTTTATTTAGGGGAGCTCCCCAAAGAACAAAGCACAGAAGCATGCTTGCACAAACGCGGTTTGCACTGTGGTTTGGTACAGTCCCATTTCTGCCAGGCTCTGTCGCGCCTTGCTTCTTTACAAGTGGTCATGTTTGGAACTCGCTGAAGGGAAGAATCACAAAGAGGTGCGGATGGAACCTACTGCCAGAAAAGCTCTGTGCATGCTTGGCTTCGGCCTTGCCGAGCCGCAGGCATTTGCTGCCGTATGTAGATATGGTGGTGGACTCAGGCTTTTGGGCGCTTTTTTTGCCCGAGTGCAGCTTGGACGAATCCACCCGTCCAGGAAGGTTGTCATTCAACGCTCGGCAGTTTGCGGAATCAGTCTTGAAAGAGCGGCTAGCTCACAGTTGCGACTCATTGTGGATTGTTTTGTTGTTGTGTTCGTGTTGGCACACATATATATGTATATATATATATATGTATGTAGGCCAGCTGCAGGCGATCAGTTCGTCGACCAAACTGTGGCAAATAAAAATTGCAGTTCATGCCCACCCAATAAGACCTGGAATTGGGGCAGTGGGACCCTGGATTTCCCCTTGTAGTTTCCTTTTCCCTTGACGTTTTAGGGACTAATTTTGGGGGCGTGTCTTCCTTTGAAGGCGCCATTGTGTGTTCTAAGACGGGGCCCTTGTGTCCAGGCAGTTCGGAGCACTGGGTTCGGGGCCGATGGCGCCTGAGCTGGTGAGGTGTGCGCTCCGAAGGTGAGCTCGACGCAGAAGAAGCTGGGGGCCCCGGAGCGCGCGCGGGGTTGGAGTTTTGGACCTGGCGGATCAAGGGTCTCGGGGCGTGTCTCAGTGAAAGAGCCTCTGGGAGACACTCCTGTTGATCAAGGTGTTTACTTGATCATCCTGGAGGATCCTGGAGATTCCTCCCTTGGATCCTTGCCAGCTCCAGGTTCTGGAACTTGGCACTCGCAGCTTGGTGAGTTGATCCGATCTGCCACAGTCAATTGGGGAACCCCCAGCTTCCGAACCATCGACCCCAAACCACCCAGTTGGGTTAGCCCGCGGGAAGGGGAAGGGGATGGTTGCCAATGGGAATCATTCCCAAACCTTCCGGTAAGCTGAACAAATGCACACAGTGTACGGACCCCAAGCCCGAACCACATTGCCGCAAATCAGCCGCAGACGAGTGGCGTTACTTGCTCATGGCTTGGCCCTGTGGTGCTTGACATGAACTTCCTGGACCTTTTGGATGCTGCTACTTCCCTACTTGCTCTAGCAATGGTGCAATGTTGTGCCTGTGCACGGGTGGACGCCATCAGCCCAATTTTGATTTGCCTTTTCGAGGACTTAGCCAGTGATTTCGCACAGCTTCCTCTGCAGAGTTTTGGTAGCCACCTCCATCAATCGTTACTTGAAATGATCCATTTGGCTCCCGTCCCTCATGCGAACTCCACGGAACATCCCCCCATGCTTATTCCACACAGATCTCCCGCAGCGCAGCCAAATTGGAGATCAGTCAGGGTCCAGTCCTATAGTTTTGAAGGGTCTTGTCACTCCCACTTAGCGACAGGCAGGTGAACGGGAGATTCCGCTGGCCTGTGTTGACCTTTGCGTTTTTTTGTGTTTTTTTTTGTTTGCTTTTTCTCCAAGATGCTTTTGAGAATATCGGCATCTGCTCCAGGGGCACAAGATCCCGAAGGCCCTTTGCCAGCCCAGATATGTGCTCCGCACATTGCTGTTTTGCCATCTTAAGTTACTCATGTTGCCTTGGTGACAGCTACCAATGGCCAAACAAACGTCGAATAAATGGGGCGGCATAACCATTGCCAAATCAACAAAATATTGAGCGCCAAGCTTGGCATTCCTGAAAAAGCTCACTAAGATCATGCTCACCCTATGATTCCTCAACCATTTTTCCACTAGGGGTTGTTCAGCCCCTATTTTGTTGCATTGACAAATCAGTTGGCCTTAGGGCTCCATTTTGGGTTGTCACTTTGTGCTTTTTGACCTTGCCACACAGCACTCCTTAAAAAAGAGACTCACTTCCATTGGGGCATCTTCCTGAAACTGTTATTTTGCGATTCTTGACCTTGCCACACAGCACCCCTCAAACACAAACTCACTTCCATCGGAGCGCAGTCCCAGAAAAGTTCACATTACAAGACACTTTTTTTTCCGCTCGCCGAAAGCGGGGCTGGGCTGATCCCATGGCGCCTCGCGCATCCGAGGCGTTACCTGGAAGAGCTCAGCTACGCCCTGAGGCCCCAGGAGCTGCAGCCGCAGGCCACGGGGGGGGAGGGGGCGAATCCGCGGGCTTGAGACCCCAAAGGGGCGCTGAGGGTATGAGCCACGAGAGGGAAAAACACATGACATGTAGTGGGAAATAAGATTTGTCGGTTTTTCCCGGAGTTTATGAGCCACGAGAGGGAGAGCCACACATGGGAGGACGCATACGAGAGGTTAACACCTGACATGCTTGTGGGAGAGAGGCGAACACATGACATGCTGTGGGACAATTTTGTGTTAGTTTTTCCCGGAGTTTATGAGCCACGAGAGGCTATATAACACGCATGGGACACAGGACATGCTTGTGGTAGGAAACATGTTTTGTTGTTGTTTTGGGTTGCTTGTCGACCAAGGGTCATAGAAGCAGCCACAAGGCACTGGCGTTCCTGATTGATGTGTGCCGAGTGGTGCCATGTTTGTCAGCTGCGTTCGGGCGCGCTGAGGGAGGGTACTTTGTTGCCACAGCTTTGTGGTGAGGCGATGCTCTCGGCGCTGGTTTGCGCATGCAGTTGGCATTCTCAAGTGTCAAGGGTCGCATTGGACTCTGGAACTGGGGGACTTCCCTTTTGCCGAACCACGATAGGAAAGATGGAAAGGAAAAGGAAATTGCGTTGATTGATTGTCCAGTGGAGATCCATGAGCGGGACTTTGCGTGAGGGAGACCTGGCGCATGGTGCATGGGACGCAGCCCTTAGAACAGCAATGCCCTCCGCTTTGAACAGAATTGGGGGAGGGGGCGTGGCTCGTGGACTTTTGTTTCTTCCGTTTTCCGATTTGAAGATTGGATAGATCCATGGACTGTGGAAGCTTCCAACCCCCCAGCCCTCTTCCGGGGCCTCTTTTGCATTCAAGATCAATAGCTCAGTTGCCCAAAGCCAACCTTTTGACCTTTTGGTTTTCCCATTTTGGTCAATTTTTAGTAGAGGTGCCAAAAGGTTAACCTTTTATTTCCAACTCCTTTGGGCAAGTGAGATAGGGTTCCAAGCCTCGCAATTTTTGGTCAAAAGCAAGAAATGTGCCATCTACCTGCACCTGGTTGGTGTCCCTCCCTCCTTCTCCAACACAGACGGCAAAAAAAGTCTCTCTTTTTTTCAGGGCGTTAAGACAGGGCTTTGGATCCTATGACAGCTCCCTCCCGCTTTTCGCCACAGGCACGAGAGATGTTCGTTCGGCAAGCACTCGCTCGGGGCGTGGCACGGCGCCCAGAGATCCGAGTAAACCTGCCCATGGGTTGACCAATTTTGGGAGGAGGGCTGGGGAGCAGAATGTTTGGTTTTCTGAAGGGCAGGCCAAAGGCAGACAAGCATTTGTTTCGAATGTGCCCCCAGCCCTGGAATGCGCTTTCTTGGAGGTGTTCGGTAGAAACTAGTTTTTAGGGAACACCAGGCTCCTTTCCCTTGGCGGGGATGGCTAGTGGTCCTTTAGCCTCTTTGTTCCCAGTTCGTGCACCGATGCAATTCTTCTTCGGATTCAGCATGCGTTTGTCTCTTTTAGAAGCGTTGGGCCAGGCAGTCTCGGTCCCGAGTGTGTGATGAGATACTCGGCGAATCGCACTGGGCACATTCCAGCACATCTTGGTGCGGGTACGGGTTTGTTCACGTGTCTTTCGTTTGGTCACCAAGGTTCAATTCTTGACTGCAGAAGAAATGAAGGAAAGGAAGTAAAGGAAGATTCTCAATATCGGTTTCGGGAATCGACTGCAAAGGGTACGTTTTTAGCAGAATTACAAGGTGTCTTTCCATCCCAAAATTGCTCCGAAAGGCCACACCAATCTACACGCCGTGTACCCAGCTAGTATATACAACAGCTGTAGCAGACAAGATCCGAAGGCGAGGGAAGACAGGAAGGAGTTGCAGTTTTGTGGCTATAGGACCCCTCCCCAGTTTCAAACTGAAATGCAAAAAAAAAGGTCCCCTAAAACAACAAAAACGGGTCCTTTAGTTTTCTTGCCGAAAGGGAGCAGCGTGGAACAGCTAAAAGAGCCCAAGAATGAAGCGAAATTCGTGAAACAGAGTCCCGCATTGGGCCAAAATGGTGGTGGTTGGCCCAGGTGGGTGAGGCAGTGCGCCTCATTGAGCCTGGGCCTTGGGCAGAGTGTCTGCATCCCTACGTGGAAGTGGGGGGAGCTGGCAGAATTCCAGTTTATGTCGTTTACTTGATTTGTTATACTTAATTTGGCGAATTAGAACATCTAGAAAATATGCGAATGTTTTCTGAGTATTCAAATTATTGCCAGAGGGGCGGGTGCTCTTATGGCATGTCCAGATTCATTTGTTTGCCTATTCAAATTGTCCTTCTTCTGCAAACCAATTGAAGAAGTAGACTACTTAGAACAGTGATAGAAGCATAGCCATGTGTTTTTGTAGTTGGTTTTGCTATTTTCAGTCGGGCGGGTGCCTTTTGGGCATAGTTTCCGTCATGAAATGCAGTTGCTAAGACAAATAGAGAGCATGCAGGCCAGCTTGTCTCTAGTTGTTCTCAGTATCGCCAAATTTTAAAGGGATGGGAGCCCCCGTTAAGGAATTCCAAGGACATGTTTCTGTATTACACAGGGTCACGCTTTTCCCCAGCTCACGCGTGTCCATGCAAAAGTGCTGCGCTTGCCGTGAAATCTGTACCCGACCTTGTGAGTGCTCCGAGACCGCGCCAAGACCGCCTCAGTCAGGCGTTGCAACCGAGGTAGTTTGCGCACGTGCTGACAATACGTTTTCGGCCCGCTGCAATTTTCCAGCTCTCGCATTTGCTGACTTCCCAGCTTTTTCGCACGCGTGGCATCCATTCTTCGAGATCACGTACGGGTGCACGCATTCTTAGAGGGAGCTAGCTCATTTAGTTCCAGTACCACGGAATTATATCTGTTTTACCTAAATAGGAGGCTCATGAACAAACGTATGCAATCATTCCAGGTCCAACGTTCGTTATGTAGCCTTTGCAGGCGCTCGCTAATGGGCCATTGCAAAGGCTAGGAATGTGTAGGCTGAGCTGAGGGGGGGGGGGGAATCGCGAGGCTTGAGCTGCAGAGCTGCTTCCATCAGTTGCGTTGCAGCACACCATGATTAGTTTGAACACGTTGGTTGGAACTAGATGCTTACCTGAGGTGCGTTTGCGTATCAACTTGCATGCACACAGAGATGCAGCCCGCAAAGCATCCCGACATCATTGAATTGCGGGATGCTTCGGGAGCAAAAGACAATTCAACTGGGAACAGAAATAATGGCAACCGCAGACCACTGCCGTCGAATCAAAAGTGAGTTTGTTGTTGTTTGGCTGAGACGATGCAAACAATGGCACCAAACACAATGCTCGCATCCATTTCGGTGAAAGCAAGCACGAAGCCTTTGACAGGTGGCACGGTCTGGTTGAACGGATTTGGAGATCACCCAACTATATCAGGAGGCATCAAACTCAAAGAGTTCAGTAGCTTAGAGAAATAGGTACTTTGTTGTATTGTTGCTCGCTTTGTCAATGTGTGAATGCTGTCCGTTGGTGCTTCAATACCTTTGACCCACAGAATGTACGTCTCTCCCAAGCAAGAATCACTGGGCCGCGATTCTTTGTGTCAGACGCAGGAACGCTTCTTCCGCAGTAGCAGCAGCAGCCACGAACTTCTTGGGCGACTTTGCTGCTCGGCCGGAGGTGTTTGTAAGACTAAAGCTCCGTATCCACCAAACACTTTTGGGCGAAATTTCCCTGTTCAATCAACCTGCGCAGCGAGTCGCACTTTTGGCGGGCAGGTGTATGATAAAAGGGTCCAGCATGTGGGTTCAACGCGGGGAGGTTGATCTACATTGTTTGTCTTTTTGCAATCCCAGCGGGAATTCCGCTAATCGTAGAGTAGCATGTTTCCTTTCACTATTCACAAAGACCTCCATGGAAAGATGTTAGCTCCATACCCATACATTCCTCAAATCACCTTTGAGTATTTGTGTTTCTCACATCTATAATGCATTCGCTGCAAGGTTCCGATTGATAAACATGTTGTTTTCACGGCCTGCCAAACATTGCAAAGCAGTTGTTTCCAAGAATCTAACGCACATCAATATGCGTTGCAGACAAACCTTCTTCCCGAGAAAGGATGGTTCGGAGTCTGCCTGATGTGAAATCTGAATACATCTTGATCATGTCCAACATGCACATACATGTATTCGCCGTGGTTTTGGACAAAAACCTAAAATCAGCCACGGAGTTGATTTTAAGCAAACGCCCGCGTTCGGCCATGGAATTGCTGGTTGCTTAGGCACCGCCACTTGGCAATTGCCATTTGGTTTGCAGTGTATGCCGGCAGAAACGGTCAAGAAGTGCTGCACACATCCGAGCGGGACGCACCTTGCGCGATATTCATTGTTTGTGCTTCTGAGTCCTGGTGATTTTTAGGGCGGCTCAGCCCGCATTCTGGACTTGGAGACCGTATTGACAGATTCATTTTGGCTACTCGAAAGCCCCATTCTTTGAATGATCGCTGGCTCCTTACATCATCTATCAGGACTTCTTACTTTCTTTCAACAATTGAATCCACAAGTCCTGCTTCCCACCCCCTCTTCCTTTGGATAGCCTTGTCAAGTAAGTTGCGTTTCTCAGCTTCTTGCAGATGTTTTTCATTTGGCCGAGTTATACAGTCCCACTTTTCACGCTGCGTCCTTTAGGTAGCGCAGGTCCAGCCTCCCTGCTCTGCGCCTCGGCCCGAGGCTTTCAACTCAGACATGGGCTCCAGAGAGGTCCTCAAGGCGTCCGATAGTGTCATTGCCGCCTGCTTCTTTCCGGATGCCAGTGATTGGGAACCCCAGATGAACAGACGACTCGCTTTTTCTGGGGGTTTCGCCCACAAAGTGCAGGAGGGACACCCCCCCGGGTTAGTCAACCAGGGGTTTATTTGTCCGGGATTGCTTTGGCCATGCAAGTCCAAACCAAACTGATGTTTTGGTTTACTAAAAACTAAAACATCAGTTTGGTTTGGACTTGCACGGCCAAAGCAATCGAATCTTGGGTTTATTAGTTTAATTTTGTGGTTCCTGGAACTGTTGGCGATATTTGAGGCACATGTTTTATTGCTGGGCGTTCCCGTGCTTTTGGGGTGACCACCGGGTTGCTGGCCTCGTGCACTGAGCTTCATAGGTTCTGCATATGCACGCTGGGAATGCTCATCACTGGAGGTGAAGCGCGAGTTGCATTCAACAGACAGCCTGCACTTTCTGAAACGTCCATTCCCATGCTCCTTCCTAACTGGGGCTCAGCAAGCCATATCAGAGGTGGACAAGCTGTTAGGGCCACAGCATGCGCAAGGCCCTCAAGACAAGCCAGCTGGTCGTCGCTATGGCCGATGCTTCCATCTTTCGTGGGCACCTGACTTGGCAGGTTTTTGACCGCATTGCCGACCGCTTCCAGCACTTGTTCTCCTCATCCTCAGACAGGGCCGCACCCTCGGGTAGGATCGAAGTTGCCCGTAAGTGTTAGCAAGCCCACTTTAGTGACTGTGACCGGCCATATGGGGGCCAGGTGTGAAAGACGCGTGTCAACCTTTGATCTGTGGTTTTGCACTCTGCGACAGGTGCTGTCAGGTAGAAAAGCTGGCTGTGCCAGCTGGCGACGCCCTTTGCGAAGGAGAAACCCACACCAAGGCGGCGGACGACAACCAAGGCAAAAGCGACATCCGAAGAAGCACTCCAAGGCAGCAACACCCCAAAGCGAATGCACAACACGGCAATAGTGCCCAAGCTTAACAGCTGCGAACGTCATCAGAAAGAGAATTCAACAAGGCCACAAGCAACATCCGATCAAGGAAAACGCACCAAGGCCGCGTCCATAGCATGACAAGCTACACAGACACACACGCACACACAAATACCCAAACCACCTCCAAAGAGGAAGAACCCACCGAGGCCGCAACCAACACAACGCCACTGATGCCAATTCCTCGCGCGCCTGGAAAACTGGCTGCTTGAGCTCGATTGCAACGAAAATATGTTGGACACGGTCTGGGGCAAACCATTTTGTGCCATCCAAATACTGCGTCACAACATTTTGTTTGCATAAACCTGCAAACACAAAAGTAGACTCCGACAAAGAGAAAGAGAGAGAGAGAGAGAGAGAGATCCAGACACGCAAACCAGACACAAGCGCAAACACATTAGCACACACACACAAGCACAAACACAACACACACACATACACACAAACGCGCAGATGGTTCTTTGTGCAAGGATTGATTTGCGGGTTGATCAACAGGTCCTTGCAAGGAGTTGTGTATCGGGTGACCATTGGTGCTGTTTTGCATCCCTCCGCGAAAGATCTGTTAAGGTGCTGGATCCAAAGTGGCCATCAGATCCGAGGTCACATTGATGATCTCGGAGGACTGGCTCTTGCAGGCTGCGAAGGGATCTGGAAGGGCAAACGAAGAAAGTCAGAGAACCAGAAACTTACCCTCCCACCAACTAACATGGAAGTGCAAAAAGGCTCTATCCAAGAGGAAAGTAGTCTTTCTACAGGGGTCTGTGCACTTCCATGTTAGCTGGTGGGAGGGTAGCCGTTGGATGTTTGATGTTTCCATGTTTGAAGAGAAGGGCACGACCTATGCTGAATGGTGAGTTAATGAGAGATTGGTCACTCTTCGAATTCCCTTTGTGCAGCTTTGCACTCTTTGCACGTTGACCGGGACCCAACAGATGTTTTGGATGGACCTGCAGAGGCCTTGACACAGCCGGGGCAGATGCTTCAGCAGTTTTTGGCCCAATCAACTTCTTTGTGCACAAGCGCATGCTTGTGTTAGATTGCCCATGCCGCCTTAGCTTTGGTACAACCTCTGCGCTGGCTTTCGTCAAGTTTAATTGACGTCACCCCGGATATGGCACCACACGTGGAGCTATGTGCCCCTGTCTAGTGTTACAAGCAGTTGGGTGGATTGTCACCACGCTTCTTTCATTTCCCTCACCAACTGGTAGGAGATGTTGGCTTTGAGTGAACCAAGCCCTCCGTTCTGGTCATTCCATGTCTGTGCGGTATAGCTTGCTGGAAATGCTACATGGCACCAAAGGTTCAAAAGTTGTTGTACCTTTCACGGGTCATGGGTAGGAGCAGGTTTCGGATTCAAAACCTATCACAAGTACAATGGACGCACGGCGAGCTGAGTTGTTGGAGCACATGGCTTTGCTATGGCAATTGCACTGCGATGGTTGCATGCAAGGCAAGGGGCGGGTCAAGGTTTGACCTAAATCCTGGTTTTGGCAGGGCGCAAAGCTCCAACGTAGATGTGGGTTCGACCGCATGCTGCGAGGATATGGATTACCCTGCAACTCATTTCACCACGCGCTCTAGTGAGAAGTAGGGGGTTCTCGACTCGCAGTGTTGCATCTAGTCCCGAGAGCGTGCGATGCCCACCTCTCAGGCAGCCATTCTTCTGTGTGTGAATATCGCAGCAACATGCCGGTGGCCCAGAATTGCGAGACTGCTCGCAAAAAAAACACAAATGAAGCAAGGTGAGCGCAGCAGCCACAGGACCACAAGGACGCAGGAAGAGTATGGAAAAGTTAGAGACTCGATCGGATCATGTTGGCCGTAGCTGCTCCATGTTTGTTGGATTCGGCCTAGGGGCCTTTGAAGCACCGCATCTAAAGACAGGATGGCCTCACTTTGCACCTGCGCTGAAAAGTTTGCCGGAGATATTGATGAATAGCGGGGCGAGTTGCTGCGTCTGCTTTGGAAGTCGTCGGGCCTTCCCGTCCAAGATTGCGGTGTTATGCAGGTAAGGAGCCCAAGTGTCCGCATTCGCGACCAGATGCGACCAGCTTTGTTTGCACAATGGAGCACCTTTGGTCCCAATCAAGTACCCTCCACCCTTTTCGCATGGAGCCTTCCGTGGAAATGGTCCCTTTAAACGGAAAGTGGTCCAAACCAGGACCGAGACCCCCCGGTTTGGGGTGTGGGGTGGGAACCGAAGCCATCAGCGCGTTGAGGCCCCGCAGGGCACATGAAGCTGGTGCGACTGGCCGGGATCCAAGAGGGGCGGGGGAGGGGCAAACGGTTTTGGAGCTCGAGCAGCTGTAAGGTGATTTTCCTGCAGGGGATTCCGTGTTGCGGTTTGTGAGTTGTGTATATGATGTGTATGTATATGTATGTATATGTATGTATATGTATGTATATGTATGTATATGTATGTATATGTATGTATATGTATGTATATGTATGTATATGTATGTGTATGTATGTGTATATGTTGTTAGCATGTCAACATACATGTGTATATATATATATATGTGTGTGTGTGTGTGTGTGTATTCATATGAATATGTACACATAGACGTTTGGACAGGATAATCAGCAATTTCGGGATCCTCGAAGACGAATTTTGGATTCTCAAGTTGTGATGTGCCCAGGCATCGCTTGCGCAACATGTTCCCTCTTGCTGGCCAACGTTAATTGAACATGCCTTAGAGTGAGTTTGAGTTGAAGGACACAGGGACATCAGGGAACCTTGGCCGGAACATGATCTTTTCGGTTTTCCTTCGGCCATGGAACTGCTGGTGGCAAACTCTGCTGGCCTTTCCTATGAGCCATATGAGCGCTCACTGAGCGCTCCAGGGTAATCCATACCTCGGGGCCATTGGGATGTGTGCTGCCGGTTGTCGCCATGCCGCCCGTTCCGCGCTCATTGTTTGGTCTTGGGCGGGTCGTGCGAGCAGTTTCGACAGACAATTGCATCGCCCTTCGGGAATTGTGGCCTTTGCAACGGAGTCCCTAGACTAGCATGTCCCTGCTGAACGGCATTGTTTGCAGTGCGGGTTCTTTGTCTCATTTGGTTTTACATATGCCTAGGTCCCCCAGTAGTGCCCTTTTACCCTTTGTTGGTTGGAAGGGTTCCCCTACTAAAATAGACTACACAAAAAAATCGGGTACCCTTCTTCTAACCTCTCTACTGGAGGACCTAGTGCACTGTAGGCTTTTCCTTAGCTGCCTCTAGGTGCAGCCGGTCTGCCTGAAGATTCTCCAGAGTCCTCAGGCGCGATTTCTCGGCTGGCTCGGACCTCGGGTTGGACAACGGGCTGCGCTCAATGGTTTGTTCTTTGGGGGCATTTTGCCTTCCGAGTAAGTGGCAACACAGCAGGGAGGGAGAGAAGAGATACAGTGAGGGGATGACAGACGGGGTGACAAAGTGACACATGGCTGGTTGTTTTCCATATCTCTCAATACTGATCATGTGGCCTGTGTCTTGTGTGTTGTGTTGTGTTGTGTTGTGTTGTGCTGTGCTGTGTTGTGTTGTGTCTCTCTG